CGGGGGACTTCGTTCTGGCGACGCGGCAGAGGAGCGATTCCTCATCCTGTTCGATAATGTGAGTTAGCGTCACGTACAGTAAAATATGCACAGTATAACACCGACCTTGTTAAATGTGCTGAGTCCATGCAAGAAACACAGGATGTGGAAATCAGAAACGCCTTGGATAGCTTTATCGGGATCACCATGGGACATAAGTTTCTGGGCAACGTGTCGAAGCTCTTGGCTCTCGCCGATAACTTCGCGGTTCTCAATAGGGAAGTGACTGTTGGTGAATAATGGGGATGACTCTGTTGGGAATCCGTGGGTGAGGGTGACTAGTAGGAAATCCACTGGGAAACTCGGCTCGGCGCTCTCCTGTACACTTGCACCGTACTCATTAATTCGCCGGTAGAAGACTTCGGGAATGTATCTTGTCCTGCTTCCAGCATCTTCGTCATACTCCGATTGTACCAGCATCACACTCGGGTCCGCTGAGGGTTCGATGATATCCCCTCGCACCATCTCAACTGCAGACACAGATGCTTGGTACGAGCTGATAGAAATGGCACCTGCCTCGTCTCCGCTGAGCACACACGTTACGAAATCTGAACCGAACTGTCCTGTCCGGCTCCACTTCGTTGACTTGGGGTTTTGTGCCTGCAGTCGTGCAGCGAAGGCAATTTCGAGTGAAGACAAGAAGTATGAGTCGATATGTCGCTTGCAAACCACTGAACCATCTCCGCGGCCGCCATCAATCAAGTCAGTAAAGATCACACCGACCTTCTGCAATCCGCAGAGACGGGCTACCTCGTCCACTTCCTTTTCGTTGTGCCAGTCATGGAGTGTTACGCCATCGACCTCGCCCGTTTGCGGGGGCTCGTAGATTGCTTCCACGACAGCCTTGATACCTAGTGGTACTTCGGTGTACTCCTCATATGTTCCATACAAGAAGCCCAGTCGCTGAGCACCTGACTTTCGCCAGAAGTCAAGGAGGGAATTGATTAAATCAGGGGATGAGAACTCCACGTGGTCTACCATGCGGAATTCCTGGGGTTGCAGACTGATTGCACTTGGTTGACATTTCGTGCAAATGCCCTCCGGCCAAGGGGAATGGCCCGATGGGCAGTCGGTTCGCACTCGGTAATATGGTTCGTTGAGCGGAGGCATGAACGAGGTTCCCATTTCGGGCTTGTTGGTCGCAGCATTGATTTTCCGTAGGTATGAGTGGAAAGAAAGGTGCTTGATCTTCTTCTCTGCCATGTTGCTCGCATCGTAAGGCTCGAGTGGCATGCAGTAATCACACATGCCTCGGGGGCCGTGTCTGCACATCTTGTAGTCCATGCCACGCTTGATTTTCCCATCTTTCTTGTCTAGCATATTGTCCAGCGGTGACTGCTGCACTACGTCCCATGGGTTCCTCATCGGAGCGGCAACACTTGGCAGCGCACGGATCGAGACTGTCTGTTGCTTGGGGACTGTTGTTCCATTGAGTCGGTGTTCTGAAGTGGTAGATATGTCGCCGTTCGAGGGTCCATTCTGTTGTGCCTGTTCCCGGTACCCAACAAAGAGCTTATCGCCATGCCTTCAAGTGAGCGGCGCGTGAGTATTTAATTCCGTAGAGGCCAGCATAATGTTCGCCACTTACTTGAGGCCAACCTTCTGAAGCGAAACCCCTTGTAGGCCTTCTAGCGGTCTCTCCTCGCCACCTGTGCCGATCGGTTTATTTGAGAGGGCAATGGACGAAGGTTCGACATTTGCGGGGAGGTGTTCTAGGATCTAATGACGTGTTCCAGATTAGCTGTTGGCTCTCATCCTGCTATCGTTCTCTTCTGGCCAAGCGCGACGCCTACCTTTTTTTGGAGTAATGGGAAGAGTTCCTGCGGGCTGACCGTCAGTCGAAATTGGCCATTTCGACTCTCGAATCGCAGAAGCATGGAGGCCATCTTAGCCCTGAGGAAATTCTAGAGCACTGTTAAAGAGAAATATTGAGAGGCGGTAGCTTTGCTTTCCAAGGAATAGTGGAAGAAGATACAAGTGCGAATGAGCTTGACCCGAAGCTTCCCTGGTCACGTCACAGCTGGCGGGCGGTATGGTACCTGGCTGACAAAACACCCTGCGGTCGATTGTGGAGTTTTTGGGGAAGAGTCGGTAAAATTGTAATGCTGTTACCACTGATACGAAGCCATGCATCAATGTACTACACGGTATATATCGCAGCTATAGCGTTGAAATACTTATACAATGACATCCACTATCTAGAAATTTACCAAATCCTCGTATTAGGTTGCCAACTTGAGCAAGTGTCGCGATATGTATAGGACAATATAGAGGAAGATTGGCCAGTTCGTGATAGTACCAAAGGTTACCTTTGTTCGTTAGCTTCTAGATCTTTCAAATCTTCTAATTCGTTATCTATCCACACTCACTTAGTGGTAAGAAATAAGTGAGGTCGCTAACTACTCAATATCGATAGTCGTTGGGCTTGCGAGTGCATATGAGCACAAAGTGACCATATAAGAGCATCGAGGCTATAGGAATATATTAGAGAGCGCGATGGTATTGCTACGGGCTCGAGAAGAGGTACGAAAAGTAACGCAGCCCGCTTGTCCGACTTGAGCAACTTAGGAAAATAGTAACGAAGACAATGTGGTTTGCTGTTTCGCCGCAGGCGATCAATTTGGCAACCAATAGACACATTGAGAATCAGGGTAACCATTCTAGCTCTCACAGCTGACTATGATGTAACCTTAATGGAGTCCTGCTACTGCGTGGAGAGTCTGTTATCATACCGAGTGGGCTTCCACTCTTTCTATTGTATTGATGGTGCATCTACAACTTTTTATATTCTGTTCATATAGATTCCAGGGTAGCAATCACGCGGATATATCAGTTTGTTGCCAATGCCAAATACATCGAATAAAGTATTAGGTGCAGTGGATTCTAGCCTTCTATGACTTGGGGTTCCAACCTTTTTTGCAATCACGCTCCACCGGCCACTCCTCTCCGATGAACCTTACTGTACTTGGCAATGACAATTGGAATGTGAACGAAAAGTAAGCTGATTGTTAAGATACAAGCAATGAGAATCATCATCAGTAGGCGCATTTCAGGCTCGAATGTACCGCTGTTACGGGCAGCGAGTTCAAGTTGCATGACGATTCTGTCTTTCGTGGTAGCGATAAGATCAACGAAACCCCACATTCCAATACCTACATATGTAGATAGGCTGAGCCTCAAAGTCCTACTTAGAAGTCGTACTCGCTAGTATAGACGTCGAAGATCGTTATAAAAAGAAATATAAATGGCCATAGATCAGGGACTAGGTAGAGAGGATATTACGTGTAGTAAGTTCTCAGATAAATAGATCAGAATTTAATTTCTTTCTGGTCTGACTATACAAACAGAAAGCAGGTTGACTTATATAAAAATGTTCTGTTTTAGGATCTGACCAATAGAAGTAGATTCGTGGCCCAATCTCGTACACACTACGCAAGTTTGTCCGTTTTAGTTACTTGATATTGTGCCCATTTTATGACGGATAAGGACGGGAAGGTATGTCTCCATATTAAGGGGCTTAATGGATAGGTATCCCCAAAGCCCCGCGTTCGACTAGTAGACCTAGAAATCTTTTAGTATTTGGCCCAACAATAGGTCTAAAGGGGACCAACACCCTAAGTAGAGGTAGCCACACCACGCTGCTGTCTTGGAAAAAGGCCTACAATAACAGAAACGCCCAAGGTGATGCACGCCAACCCTCTAGCGGAGAATTCTTTGGCACCTTCTTTTCGAGGTCCGGCTGCTCAGGATCGACAAAGAGGCGAAATATTTGGAAGTATAGAGAGCAACGGGTGTGAATGGAAAGGAAAAGATTGCATTCAAGAGGAAAAGAATTCCATAGTCCCACTATCTTAGTGACGACACCTACTAACTAACTAGGTATCTAGCTAGGGTAGACCCTACTAAATACGCCACACTGTCATGCCGTCTTGCTGTTATGCTCTGAACAAGTGGATCGGGACTGCCAGATCTCACAAAATGCCGGAATTGCACGGGTGCGTGACGGGAGGCGCAGCCATAGAAGGTATTATAAATCGGTAACCTATTAGAATTGACATAGTAGGTGCCCGGCCCTTACACTTTACACATGCGTGTACCTACATACCTAGCACAGTTTTGAAGATCGGAGAGAGGTTGGAGAGGGCTAGACAGTAACGGGAGTTGGAATTTATAATTTCCGATTGGGAGCTCCAGTTAGGTGGATCCGCTAGAAGTTCCGTTCGGCACTGGCTTGACCCGGGGGTCCATGGGTTCCGAGTTAAGGAGTAGCATAGCCTCCCTTCAAAGACCGATTTGATATCGAGATCCTATCCCTTATTTCAAAGACCGATGTGATACCAAGTCGAGATCATCGAATCATTTCAGTGATTATATGTATGAAGACAATAATTGAACATAGTACACAGCCTCGTTTCTTCATTTGTTGCCTAGTACTATTTCTTTTCGATCTTAATCCCCTGGAGTATAACCTGCAACTCTTTACTTTCTGCTTAGTATTCCTGTATTCAAATCCTGCAATCACAACTGCTTAGAGCCACCACCCTGGTTTGTTAATAATGACAGTATCCATGGATTGTCACCTTTCGGGTCATTGACTGCCGGCGATTTGCCGGCCATGTAGTGGGTGGGGCGGGCGAAGATCATTTACTTATGCCAATAATATGATCCATGGATGTTGTTACCTACTTGGGTATGTATATCGTCCCAAGACTTAGCATATGTCATGTCTCAGTTTAAAGATCCATACAATATACAAATTTATATGGAGTCCCGAGGATTACCCGGGTCAGGTCTACATACAATGTTGTACATTTCTTCAGGACTATGCAGGCAGTCATTTTTATTCAAGCCCTCGTGTATAAGTCTTATGAACTTGGTTGTTGGGATTAACAGATATAAAGGAAGCTCTTTCCCCCACACTTTCACCATACTTCATCTTTTGTTCTGGAAGCAACTCCACAATGTTCTTTTATTCTTCTGCTCTTGTGGGCGCCGCACTGCTGCTCCAGCAAGTGCAGGGCCATCAGAGCCACCCTATAGCTATCCCCGATATATCCAAGGATAGCAGCCCGGTTTCTAGAGACTTGCAGTCATTTTCCCTTGAATTTGCCTATTTCCCTGACTTTGCCGGCAACAAATCACACCCGAATGAGTTTACTAAGGCCTTGCTGGACAACTTCGAGAAGATTACCGGTGTCCTTCCCAAAGTCCGAGTGGGGGGAACTACCCAGTATGTCTTGAATGATCCTTGTCTTGTATCAATGCTAATAACTACCGCTGTAGGGATCATTCCACTTACGTCTCCGACCAGAAAGAAAGCATCCATCTGATCTACAAGGACCCCTCCGACGACCAACCAGAACGGGTTACTTATGGCCCCGGCTTCTTCGAGTCGTATCATACTCTGGGTAATATTCAATATATTCACGGTTTAAATCTGAACGAGTCTGATCCCACCCATCTTGGGGCTGCGACTACCCAAGCCTGTAAATCAATTGGTTCCAAGTTGCATCTCCTTGAACTGGGCAATGAGTTCAATCTGTCTCCGATCATGTACCGATCTCCCAATTACACAATTGAGGATTATGTCCGTGAGTGGAATGCCAAGTCTGCATACGTTAGGGTCACGGTTCAGAAGGCTTGCGGTGGCTCATTCCCGGGTTTCATGGCGCCCAGTTTCCTATTACTTGACGGTGTTGATATGACTCCTCTTCTGGATCAATTCCCAGGAGATGTAACACAAGGACCTATGCTTCACTTTGTTGATCCTGCCACAACTGCAGAGAAGCTCTTCAATGAGGATTCATACGACAAGAAGAGCCTGATCAAGGAACTCGGTTTCCATCAGTAAGTTTTTGACGTTCTTTGATTGCTATTTCAAAATACTGATATTGAAAAGCTACATGGGCCTGAACATGGAGGCGATACCGGATACCCCTAGTGATCTCCAAAGTGAGTTGATTTGCATCCTCGGCCAATCTACCAGCGCTAATAGCAATAACAGAGATACTCATGAACCACACGAACGTTGTCGAGGCCCTCAAAACACACGTTGAACGTGCCCAGAACCTCTCATACCTTGGTCATCCATATGTCATTTCAGAGACCAACTCCATCGGATTCCAAGGACGCAACGGACAATCAGATGTATTCGGTTCTGCCTTGTGGGTGGTCGACTTCTCCCTCTGGGCTGCGCAAAATGTACGTATACCTGTCCCTTTCCCGTTTTCAATTCCCCATATCTTAGTAGCATGCTAACGCGAAAAACGCAGAACATCGAGCGTCTCCATTTCCACCAAGGCCTTGATTACCGCTACGGCGCATGGCAGCCAGTCCAAGGCAAGAAGCAGGCCCCAACCACCAGAGCACCATATTATGGACACATCATGGTTGCCTCTACTATTGGGTCCTCAGACGACGCCCGGGTCGCGAACATCCCCCTGCAGAGCGATACCGAGTCTGCATATGCAGTTTACAACGGCAACAAGCTGTCAAAGCTTGTTGTCCTCAACCTGAAAGCCTTTAACCACACAGAAAGCCCTCGCCCAAGCAAAACCTACACCTTCCAAGTGCCGAACGAGTTTACTGGAGCAAAGATTGAGCGTCTCACTGCCCCAGGGAGCGATTCGCTGGATGGTATTACTTTCGGAGGCGTTTCATACGACTATGACTTGCAACAAGGAAAGCCTGTCATAATCGATCCACAGCATGAGCAAGCCGTTTTCCAGGATGGCGTCGTCAGTATCACTGTGCCGGACTCCTCTGCCGTTCTCTTGACATTGAAGTGAGGGCGAGACCAGGAACTAGGTCTTTTGTCAAATGTATTATATTATAGTATTCCTATACAGGGACATCCTGCATGTAAATTTAGACTAGGATACAGTCAATTCCACTGTCTAAGGGTGCTAATCTGATGTCTACTTGATTTAGTATTGAGGGACAGAACGCACCTGAAGATTATCCGTTGAAAATTGGTTCCCTAGTCCCCGGACATGAGCTCATAAAAGTCCTATCTACTGGTACATCATAAAGAACGGAAAGACTTAATGTCTACTGCCGTATGAGTAGCCCCCTGAGAGCAAAACCAATGCTCAAAGGCGAATTTAGGCCTATACATAAGATAATGAGGGGTTTCAAGAACCGCTCTTTAGTGTTGTTTGGACATGCTTTCGATTATCATCATTTGCTACTGTACTATAATTATTCTCTTCCCCGCGTTTCACATTTACATGTAGTGATCCATCAACGGCTCCACTGTCCCCAGTCAACGCACCCTTTGAAGATCAGGGGGAAAAGACCATCCGGCAGAAAGGAGATCGTCACAACTCGAGCCTAATGAAGAATACATATACAGCAAGATTTGCGACACAGACATCTGTTTAGATATCCAAGCACGAAAACGGAAAGGGACAGGTTCCAAGTACCGAACGTTATCCGGTGCATATGAATACGTAAAGTACTTTCAGAAATGTACCCAAGAGCATAATCATGGAAGGCGAACCATATATACAACATAGGTGGATAGAGAAATGAATATCTACGTGTTACTATGCGGTCTTGCAAAAGCAATTGAGAAACTTCCAAATATTTCTTCCATTAGGCAGAGATGATCGTTTATTGGAAAATGAAAATGGTATCTCCGTATCATCATAAGAATTCGAAACGCCTAGAGAACGCCCAGGAGAACAGCCGCAAATTAAAGAAGGCAAGCAGAGACATGGACCTAATTAAAGGATGGTACATTTCTTGGGCAAACCACATGGCCCCTCATTGCTCTTCTCCTTCTTAGCTGGCTCCTGAGGACCCTGCTGCTTCTTGGCAGGCTGCTCGGTCTTTTGAGCAGCCTCTCCAGCAGCAGGGGTCGAGCTCTCCGGCTTCGACTCGGTGCTACCATGCAGTCACTGGACCTTGGAAACGGTCTCGTAGAAAGCCTTACCCTGAGCGGTGGCAATCTCGAGCTCAAGGGCGGAAGGCTGACGGGAACCGTCGGCACCCTGTAGACAAAATTGTCAGCAAGAGAAACGTATCGAGAGTGTGTTGTGTTAACTTACAGCGAAGGTACCAGCACCCCAGGCGCTACCACCGTGAACCTCGTCCAAGTTGCTCAGCTGGGCGAAGACGGTCTTGTAGCCGAGGGGAACGTAGACGAAGCCGTGGTGAGCGAGAGTGCTCATGGAGGCAAGAGCAGTAGACTCCTGACCACCACCCTGGGTACCGGTGGAGACGAAGAGACCGGCGTACTTGCCCCAGAAACCACCGGTGGCCCAAATGCCGCCGGTCTTGTCCCAGAAGGTCTTCCACTGAGCAGGGAAGTTACCGTAACGGGTAGGGATACCGAACAGAACGGCATCGAAGGCGAGGAGGTCGGCAGGCTCGGCAATGGGGTAGTCAGCCTTGGGAGGAGCGTACATCTTGCCCAAGACTTCCTCGCTGAGGGTCTCAGCGATCCTGGAGAACGCAAAATGTTAAGGAAATGACGTGAGCGGTAAGGATAATGGTGTGACTGACTGGAAGATCTCGGCCTGGCCACCAGCGGACTCAATGCCCTTCTTCTCGGCCTCGGCCAAGGCCTTGATGTGGCCGTACATAGAGTACTGGACGAACAGTTAGTGAGATGGAAGAGTACATTGCCATTGGAAGACGTACATAGACAATTGCGATTTTGGGAGCCATGATGACGGTTTGGGAGGATACTCTGGAGTGAATGTTCGAGGGGAAGTCAGAAGGAGGCGGGGAGGGGAGCTTATTATAAGAGGTGACACCCCGCCGGGAGGAATGTCCTAGGTACATTCTCCACCATATTAATTAGTATGTGGTCTCAGGTACCTCTATGATTAGCGAGCGCCAGAAAGCTCCAAAGTGGCTATCAGTCATCGATTACAGAGCAAATATGGGATATGATTGGCTGAACGGGCTCCACTCGGATATAGCTCTGGCCTTAGTGATTCTTACTGAGAACTGACAAATGAAAATTTACACGCTAGGGGTCTCCAGGGTCATCTCGAGTTACTAAATCATTAGTAAAAATAGTAATTTAATATTGTCGAGATTCCGCAGGGTTTTACTCTTAGTAAACAGCGGAATTAAGAGGATATAGATCTGTTTGCATGATTATCATGATGTCATAGCATCGCTTATGATACTTGTGGGATAAGGGTCCGAATGCATCGTACGAGATCGGTAAGCTGATATCGGTGTACTCAGGTCCGGTGGCTGAAGATTAAAGCATTTGGTTTCACAGCACTACAGGCCTATTTTGCTGGGCCAAGCTAGTGTAGCAGACGGCAATATGATACCGCAAGGGTGAAACAGGTATGTCTCCCTTGTAACACCAAATGTGCCATTGAGCTCAAGTAAAGGGATAAAATTTTATGAAAGTTTTTGCGTCAAATTCAATAGGGGTATCGCGGGACTAGCGCAAGAACCATAAACGAAAAGAAATCAAGAAGCCCGTGGACCCCTTGCTGAAGCCACACCTCACTCCATGCCATGCAATGTCGCCAAAAAAAACCCTTGCGATAAGAATCCAGCTAACCCCTTCCACGTCCGCGGAAGCGGCCACGCCCAAATCCACCACCCCGACCACGTTCATTTCGCCATTCTCGTTCTCGCTCCTTTTCGCGTTCTTGTTCTTCGCGGATAAGAACTCGCTCGTGCTCAAGCTCTTCCTCCGTCTTCTCAGTGCGCATTGTAGGCCGTGGAAGGTTTTCTGTCCAGCGAGGGTGAGCATCGGCACACGCTTTTCCATCAGGGCAGAATCCGGCCAGATAGAAGACACATAGACGTCGGCGCACATGTCGCTTTGCACATAGTGGTCCCAATTCGCAATATCCGCGGTCGTAGTGCTCGCAAGGTGGCAGGCGTGCGTCCTCGCGGACATGTTGGTAAAGGCAATCGTCACCATTGGTGCAGTATCCGGATCGCGAAAATGACTGGCATTCTGGCATTCGTCGAAGGTTATATTCGTGGAGGTATTCGCATTTCAGTCCTTTTTTGCACAGTCCCTTGAGAAAATGTTTGCAAACCAGCGATCCGTGTGTTGTAGATGGCGCCATTCCGGATGCTGTGGTAGTCGAGGTTGTCACACGGGAGGGAGTGGGATGACGATCTGGACAGGCAGGCCCTAATGGGCAGTGTCCTTCACTATAAGCTTTGCAGACGGGTACATCGCTGGCGAGTCCGAAGCCGAAGCTCTTGCGCAGAAAGGGCGTGAAAGAAAAGTCATTGTAGCTGGGATCGCGCGTTGGTTCGGTGGATAGGATATGCGCAGCTACACTTTGGGTGTCGGCAGCCATGGCTTGATGAAGCTGGGGAGAAGTGCTGAGGGTAAAGAGATGACCAGTGGGTGTTGCGAGTCAGGTGCGTGAATTCGACTGACTATGCCCGCCTTTTGGAGAATGAAAATGCCAGGTTTGCAATGAGAGAGTATCAATCACAGATTCTCGTATCTCAACTCAGATTGACACGGAGAAGGAGATTTGAGGAAGAAGTCTTCGTTGCGAAGGTTGCGGAGCTATCCAGGTTGTTCTCCAGTTGTCGCCTTAGAAATCAGGTGGCGACACGGTGTTTGATTCGTTTGCATTTGACATCCGAGAGTTAACCCGTCGACAACTTTGGAGGTCTTAAACAAAATTCTGATTCATACATTAATACCCTCGACTCTCGTGCTATTCTCTTCTTGGAAAATATACGGTAATAGCCCGAAATGGAGTCGAGAGAGATAAGAACTAAGTAAAGATGGAAAACAAGAAGCAACCAGGACAACAGAATTAAATCCCAACATCCAATCCAATCATTATCTACTTGACGTTGAGGCTCTAGCTGACATCTCGAAATATTGTTATTGATCTATGAACACGTATTTTGACAGAAACATGTTTACATGAACCCGAGCTGCTGATCCATCAGATCCCGCACCATCGCCTCGAATGAGCGCCATTGAATTCCAAGCTCTGTCTCCGCCTTAGTCGCATCAAATGGGAACGAAGCACTCTGGCAATCCTCAGAGATCAATGCTCCGGAATCTGGGTAGAGTCTTTGCACAATGCGTGCAATCTCAGGGGCCGTCGTCTTCGGTCCGGCCAGCAGATACTTCGAGCCATCCGCGATTTTGGGATCCAATGCTTTGATGTGCGCTTCGGCCACATCTTGAACGTGTACTCCCACGGTATTTCTAGTGGCATCGGCTTTCATGATGAGGTCCCACAAACCACTGTTAGACCCCGTCTTGACTCCGTCGGCAGAATTCTGAACAAGATTGTGGCCGTATACAAACGCGGGATGTAGTGTCACCACTGCATACTGGGGCTTGGCTGTTGCCCGAAACTCCCAAGTTGCGTTGTCTGCAAGAAGTTTGGAGGCCATATACAGTCGCATTGCTGTTACGGCCGGGTTTTGAGGGTCCTCGAAATCTCCATTTTCATCAACGGAAAAGTCCCAATCGTTGTCCTCTAGGAGATGTGTTAATGCAATTCTTGAAGATCAACGAGTGGGATATAATATACCTTTCACCACACCACCAGTAGGAATGCCAGACATCGGAATTAAGGCTGCAATGGACGAGGTAATTACTACTTTCTTGATGGTCGGCACTTTTGCTGCTGCTTTCAGCACGGCAGTGGTTCCTTTCACAGCCGGGGGAAAGTATGCTGCCTTGTCGGTTCCACGGGGAAGAGGTGATGCAAGATGAAGAACATAGTCGACGCCGTTCAACTTGTCGTCGAATGCCGTCTCATCAGTGAGGTCTGGAACGATAACAAATTCAATTTGGTCACCATACTCTGACAGCAGGGTTTGCAACTGCTCAGATGGCTTGCGAAGACAAATTCGCAATCGATACCCGGCCTTGAGAGCTTCCACTGCAGTGGCGCTCCCAATGAAGCCAGTGGCTCCGGTGATAAAGATCAGTTTGTTGGACATTTTATTGATTATCTGAATGTTTATGGGGAAAAAACGATATGCGCTCAGCTGTCTTTTATATCTGTCCTTTGAATTTGTAATCTGCTAGCGAATATAATTCGCCCAAGTCTCCACCTAGATATAATCGATAGCTTAGGATAATCAAAAATGATAATCTACGTCATAGAACCCTGGTCGGGGTTCTAAAGATAGCCTCGACTCCATGAGACACCGATATGTCATCATTTTTTTGAACGTTACCCCGAGTGATCTAACATACAACCCGAGTAATCATTGGTGCTACTATTGTGAAGCTTCCAAGGTTGAAATGTTGCATGGTATAGTAATCAAAATCGGGGCCTCGGCTGATGAAATGATCAAAAACCTTATAGTGTCACAAACGACCCGCTGTTTTATTCGACATTTTTCTATTATACTATCTCCCCGAGATATCAATACTATGGGACGGAGGAAAATAATGATCATGCATATGACGATGGCGCGACAATTTTTGATATCGCTAACCTCCCGAGGTATATTTGGGAGTTTATTATCTTCAATGCAATATAAGAATGAACAGATCCAATATATATATAGTTGATCAACAAATATTCATTCCATATTCATCTTAAAAACCTTTGGAATATAGTTATACTCAGAAGAAAGCATTCCTTCAAAATGCCTGCCTGGTACATCAAACATAGCCCAAACACCATTACGGCTCCTGAAAAAGAACAACTCGCCAAGTCAATCACCAGACTGTACGTCTCCTACGGCCTACCTGCATTCTACGTTCAAGTCCACTTCATCGAGGACATCCCAGGTACTGCATTCGTTGGCGGCGAACCTCACCCCAACTTTGCAGCCGTGACAATTTATCACGTCGCCCGTGCCTTCCAGAACGACGAAACCAAACAGCGATTCCTGACCGATGTTGATGAGATCCTCAATCCTGTATTTGAGCCGAAGGGAATGGAATGGGAGTATTGGGTCACGGAAGTGTCGAGAGACTTGTGGAAGATCAATGGTTTGGTGCCGCCGCAGCCTGGGTCAGAGGGAGAGAAGAAATGGGTCGAGCTGAACAAGGCTGTTAAGCTCTAGTGCTGTATGAAGATACCAAAGGCATAAATGGAGAACAAGAATTCCACTGTGTCTATATACTTCAAGAACTGTGCGTAGCTCGGACATTTTTATGAGCTTGTTGACCTTCCTCTGTAAACGTTTCTGATAGATGCCAAGTATATTGAGATTCTTTGCCATCAAAGGCGATGCTTCAGCAAGGTACAGCGCCTGAATCAATAGGGATTCGTGGTTAACAGTATGGATTCTTACGTTCATCGATCTGAGATCCGAGACAAAATCACACTCCTTTTGTCGAAAATAGCCGAAGGAAGGCTATCTGAACAAAGCCGAAGTAGCGACCAACCTTGGACGAAAGCCAGGGGCGCTTTAGGCGACTTAGACAGTGTAATTTGTTAGACCTCAAAGCGAAGGTTGTAGCTTTGTGTGATTGGTCATCTTGGGACTGTTCATTGCAATGAGCGCATTTCGCCAATGATATGGCACTTTATTTTCTTTTTTTCGTATTCGTCCTCTCCATACTCGCTAATTCAAGGTGATTTGAGGAGGCTTTCCCCGAAATAGTCAAACGGTATTCCGGCAGAATGCAGTAATAATCCCATACTCGATCAGTTCGGTGGAACACAAAGCCGGGGCCATATGCATCCCTGCCCTATAGTTCGCCAGCCTCATCATATAAGCTCCCTCGGCGAATCAGATACCCCTGTAAGCGATCCGGTCACCAAACCAAAAAAAGCAAAAAGATCAGCATGTCAAACATAGCCCCTCTCCTTGTTTGATTTTTAGTTTTGCAGAATATATTACGGAGTACTCACCGGGCAACACAAGCTTGACGCTTGGTATTTTCGGAAGTCACGATCGTCCATAATAATATGGTGTACGGTGATCTCCGTGCATTCCGCATAATCCTTTCAAACATGGGGTGCATCGCTCATGCAGGATGATCCACACTCATGCCTTAGCTAGAAAGTCTCCCTGACAGGATTTTCCGCTCGATCGGACCCTAGTCATACGGAGATACCCCGAGAAGATCCGGGTCTTGGAGATCTAGAATGACCTCTGTAGGCAACCGACCCCCGCATCTGGCCATGTAAACAGCCATTGCGTACGTACTTCTGTACGAAAAATCTGTGCATAGATTTCGCCTGCGTTCCCCGCATCTTGTATCGTGTTGACCGTCCACCCCCAATGAGCTTAGTGACGTGAGGTTTGCTTCTTCAAATCCGATCATACACAATACTCAAGTGTGCGAAGGCGAGGTTCCACGTGACGGATTCCAAAAAAGGAAACACAGTATTGCATTGGGCACCTTCCATTCAATTCATTTTTTCTCTTCTTTTTTTTTTGTTGTACACCTTTTTTGAATCTCCGTTCAGCTTCAGTCTTTTTCCCCCTCCAATCCGAGAGCTCTGATACTCTTGATCTTGACGTCTTGACAATGTTCTCAGCCTCCAGGCTCTTCCGCCGACGGGGCGCGGATCGTGACCCCGCCGAGTCCCATGCCTCTTACGAAGTGCCTTTGTACACAAATGCAGCTTACTATCCGAATTGGAGAATCTATCGAAAGGAACCTCCCTCATCTTTACGCTTGGGATTTATCTCTCACGTGTTCTACGCATTTGCCTGGTAAACACAGCCAATCACCGCCATTCAAAGGCTCGAGTTCTTGTAGATGGCTGACGCGCTAATCTCGAATTGGTTTCTCCCAGGGTGAAAGATGATGGTACTGTGTATGTACGTTTAAGTTGAAGCATGTCCTCCAATATGGGAATATTTATTGACGCTTCGTGATAGTTGAGTGATGAGTGGGCTGATACCCAGATGCCCGTTGATGGGGCAGAAGGTTGTCTTAGAGCCTTTGTTCAATTGAAGCAACAGTACTCTAAGATGAGGGTCATTCTATCTGTTGGTGGTGGTGGAAAAGGCAGTGAGAACTTTGCCGCTGTAGCAAGCAGCCGCTCTGGGGTGGACACTTTCGTTCGCACCGCGCGGGAACTGGTGGATCAATTTGGAATTGATGGGATTGACAGTAAGCCCGTGTTATATTTTTTTTTTGAATTCTAACGACACAAGCCCGAAGCATATGACTTACTTTATCTGCTATGCAGTCGACTGGGAACATCCCTCTGATTCCAAGCAAGGAAAAGATTATGTTCGTCTCCTCGCACGCTTGCGGGAAGTACTACCCGCTCCGCGATACGTCCTTACTACCGCCCTCCCTGCTGGCCAGTGGGCATTGCGCAACATTGACCTTGCTGCGGCACAAAAGTATCTTGACATGATCAACCTCATGACCTACGATTTCGCTGGACCATGGGAACCCGAGACGGGCCATCAAGCGCAGCTTTATGGCTCAGGTGTATCTGGTGATTCAGCGGTTTCGTACGTCGTAGGCCAAGGAGTGTCCCCTAGAAAGATCATTTTGGGTGTCCCGGTTTACGGACGATCCTTCCTGGGGAGCGATGGCCCTGGTCAGCGGTATACTGGAAACGGTGGTGAGGATGGTGTGTTTGACTATCGCGATCTGCCCCGACCGGGGACACAGGAGTACTATGACCCGAACATTGGTGCATCATTCTGTACTGGAGCTGATGGCGGATTTGTCACATACGATACCCCAGAAACAGTAAAACAGAAAGCTGAATTTGTGACTTCGTCAAAATTAGGTGGCCTGTTCTACTGGCATGTCTGCTCTGATGCCCGAGGACCGCGCAGTTTGGTTGAGACGGGATATAACACACTGCATGAGATGTGAGGGTTTTCAGCTGTTTGCAAAAGCGACATTAAATTTAAAATTAGTTTCTCTTACGGCTCGCTGGATATCCTCAGAAAGGATTGTAAAGTCTAGAATTGTATCAAGAATTGGCTTGCCGACACCAGACCCTGACCAGGTTATTTAATAGAAACGGTAGAACATGGACATCTTGTTGCAAGGCCAATAAGGCATGAACAGGCTGTCGGCGCTTTTACGGAGGGAAGGTATGAGACTAAAAGACTTCCACGAGACAACCGACGGCCGAGGTCCATCTCCCCCCGCATCTTCAACAGCTTTCATCAATTTCAATCTGAGCGTTCGGTTTGTTATTTCCCCATCGCATTCACTTGTAATAATTGCACTATGTCATCCTTACAGCCTGCGACAGCAGATATCGGCTACATCACCGATCCGGGCCCGTTGGAGAATACCTACACGTCGGATCCCAGCCTTCAACGAACACTGGCATGTGAGGCTTTCACTCATATATAGTTGTACTGATTCCTAAACATTATCCAGGGTACCTACCATCTGCCACATTAGAATCTGTGCAACCACATCTCACCCAACTCGGTGCCGAGGCTATCTCCGAGCAGGTTCGTGAATGGAGCGCCGATGCTGAACGGAATGTCCCATATGTGAAGAGCCACAATGTTTGGGGTAAGCGATATGATTATGATCGATTGGTGACCACTGAAGGTTGGAAGCAATTGGGAAAATGGGGTGCTCGGAATAGGTATCCTCTACAAATCGGCTTCGTGATGACATGCATGATCTAACTTTACCCGATTAGGATCGTTTCGGCGGGCTATGACCAGCGCCTGGGAGTTGATCGGAGAACAGTTCAGTACGCGCTGTGAGTATTTTGTTATCGATCTTCCTAAGCTATCACTCATGCCATAATTCCAGAACTTATTTGTACTCTCCTTCTTCGGGACTCTACTCCTGTCCGATTAGCATGACCGACGGTGCTGCTTTTATTCTCTCATCAAGAATAAAAAAACTGCCATCCACGCATCCTTTCCATGCTGCGTTCCAGGGGCTGATCTCCGAAAAGGATGATCATTGGACCTCGGGCCAGTGGATGACTGAGAGAGCTGGTGGTAGTGACGTCCAAAACACCGAAACGTGGGCTACATACTCGCCGCTAGCTACCTCTGGCTCCGACCCGCTGGGTGAGGGAGACTACCTTATCAGCGGATTCAAGTTCTTCTCCTCGGCAACAGATGCAAACGTTGCGCTTTTGCTCGCGAAAACACCATCCGGAAAGCTAAGCACGTTCCTCGCGCCATTGCGACGGACCGTTGTGGGCGCCGACGGCGTCTCTAAAGTTGTCTCTAATGGTGTTAGGATCCACCGGTTGAAGAACAAACTTGGTACCAAAGAATTGCCGACAGCCGAATTGGAACTGAAGGACATGCGTGCGCATCTCCTCGGGGAACTAGACCAGGGTATCCTCACAATCGCGCCTCTTCTCAATGTGACTCGACTTCATACCTTCATTGGATCACTTGCTGGCTGGCGTCGAGCTATCAGCATCACGAAGAGCTTTGCTAAAGCCAGAACTACAGTTGGCGAGCCGCTCTGGCTGATCCCAATGCATTTGCGACTCCTTGCGGACTTGGAAGTAAAGCATCGGGGTGGAATGAATCTTGCATGGTTCACAGTTGCTTTGTTTGGGATGGTTGAGGATCAAACACCGGCATCCGATAAGCTCGGACATCTACCTAAACCTGGCAAGGAAGCCGAGGTGGTTTTCCGTACCTTGACTGCCACTGCCAAGGCAGTCATCAGTAAGATGGCCACCACGGGAATTCAAGAATGTCAGGAATCTATGGGTGGAGTTGGGTATATGGATGAGGCTGACGAGCCCGAGTTCAACATCTCTCGGATTATGCGTAATAACGCAGTCAATTCTATCTGGGAGGGTACGACCAATGTGCTTGCCAGCGAGTTCGTCCGCTTCCTTATCAAGAAGGACAATCTGAAGATATTTGGAGCATGGCTTGACCGTACCCTGAATTTGGTTCAGAGTGCAGATCTGCGGAATGCCCTGACATCTGCGTGGTTGGCTTTGCGTGCTCGTTTCACCACCCAGGACCCCGCTTCGACTGTTGCTGATGGGCGTCGCTTTATGTTTACCCTGGCTTGGATTTTATCCGGTGCTCTTCTGGCACTTGATGCTGAACGTGATAGCGACCCTGTGACGACAGAGATCGCTCGTCGCTGGATCCTGAGTGCTGAAGGTGGTGTGGGTGACCAAGTTTTCCATGACATTGTTACAGTTAGGGGCACTGCTAGCGCTACCTCTGGAGGCGAGGAACATCTGCAATGGGACTGCCGCATTGCATGGGGAGTCGACCTGCCTGCAATCCGCGCATCTGGTCACCGGTCCTTGCAGAAGGCGAGCTCGAGGCTCTGAGAAATCCAAGCGTGAATATTGCTGTCATATATAGCATGCCATATTAGCCGATATTTGAGATGGTCAGGTACATTCCTCGTTGTACATAGTCAAGTCGCCTGTACAGTTTAAGTCTTTTCCAGTCTTTCCTCTGTCGTCTATGTAGTTATAAATCTGAGAAGGGCGAGGAAATATATAAAAGGACATGCATCTTGGACATCAACGGGCGTTTGTACGACAGCTCGGAAATATCACTGATGGGGTCTTCTTGCATTACGTGAACACCTTTGCTTATTATACGACTTGCTACCATCGCCTTGTACCTATACTCGGTCTGTTATCGTCACGCATTTTCTATTCGGTTTCTCACTCAATGTCGGGCTCGGCTGGAGAAGACGCGCTCAGTGGAAAGTAGGAATGGATTTTACATAAAGAGAAAAAAATCACCGAATATATGACTATGCAATTCAAAGATCGATCTTGCAATATCATCGACAAGGATGGCAAGGACGGCAAAACCATCCACTCATTCAATGCACCAGATGATAGTCCGATTGTTGAGGAGACACGAAATGTTTCAGTTGGTAACCTTTGTTACATTATGTTGGCAAATGTAAAGTTCGACAAAGGACATAACGCCGGCTGAATTAAAGTGAGCAGATTATTCATCTCTTCATCATTATCCAGTTCATTTTCTGGCCCCAATCTACCTTCTTCTAACTCGCCTCCCTGCTCTAATATGACTGACTCGCCACGTTGGAGAAGATCCGAAACCAACGTTATAACTCATCCTGATGGTGAGGATTGTGTCTTGGGATGTTATTGGCAAGGACAAAGACAGTTTGTAGCTAGAAGACCTTGTGCCTGCTCCTTTTCCTACAAATTGTTGTTATCTATTCCTGTTTTAATAAGATCGGGAAGCTTTAGTGTCTAAAATGCCTTTTTGCCGGCACCCTGTCAAGATAGGTACATTTTGTTTCGGGTCCTCAAAGACAAGAATGGCTTCGTAGCAGGCCTTTGCAGTCAAGGGGCCGACGTCATTCATCCTATCAGGGGGATTGCAGTCACCCCAATACCAGAATGAGAGGAAGTATCTGCTGTCACTCTATTTTGCTCCGCCATATTAAAAAAAACAAGGGAACTATAAAAACGAAATGTTGCTGGTTAAGCGTTTTATACTGCCTCGGCTAAACCCCACTCTTGACCTTCTCCCTACCATCACTCGGATCTACGCTGTCGGGCATAACGCCATGTCTTCGGCATGCATAATCTGTCATAAAAGAAAGGTGTCGCATTGGTTATTGACATGTTCTCGAGTAATTGCTAATGATTATAAAGGTGAGGTGTGACTTTGCCACCCAAGACCCTTGCACCAACTGCAAAAAGTCAGATGTGGAGTGCAGGTAAGCAAACCCGAAGAAAAGTCGAATAATCGATAATTAACTCCCTTCAGACCATATACAAGGAAGCGCAAGAGGTTTACCAACAGCCTATCGCCAGGGCGCAATGTGTCAAACTCTGCTCCCTTGAGTCAGACACCGAGGGGCTCACAGGTTCCTCCCGAGTCACCGGAGGCGCAGGTGGATTCACAGCGGAATTCTTTGAGTGTGTCTCATGCGGTAATTCCAGTTGAAACCAATTCAGCCGTGGTTGCCAGTAATGGCAATCCGTTCATTAAAGAAGAGAGCTATCGCGGCCGCAGTGAATATCTCGGCGGCAGCGTTCCGTTTGATGAAAATATGGTCAAACCCGGTCGCGAAACTACGTACACCAACCCCAAAGCATCAGCGACCGACTTGCAAATGCTGCGCGACCAGGGTGCCTTTGAATTACCTCCTGTATCGGTTCAAAAAGAACTGATGGCCAGTTTCAACATGCACTGTGCACCCTGGACACCGGTTGTGGACCCGAAATGGCTGGAAGAGAATGCGCCACGATCGATGCTGCTCCTCCAGGCCGTCTTCCTCGCTGGAAGCAGAGTTTCCAAAGCTCATTTGGACTATGGGTCTAGCGAAGTGTTTTACCGACGAGCAAAGCTACTTTTCTTTTTTGGTGGTTGTGACGACCCCTTGATTTCTATTGTGGCCGCCTGCCTGCTGCATTGGTATAATCCAGTTGGACCCGAGGATGTCTCCACCGACACCAGTGGTTTTTGGATTCGAACAGCTGGAGCAATGGCCTTTCAGATTGGGCTACACAAGGAACCCGCGCCCAATGCCCGAGATCGCGGCCTCCGGAGAAGGCTGTGGTGGTCTCTCGTGGTACGTATCTCATTAGAATTCCAACCTACAAGGCATTCATGGGCTAACATACTTAGGTGCGAGACAATATAATTTCTGTTGGCGTCGGCCGACCACGGACTATCAATCTACGCGACAGCGATGTGCTTCCGCCATCAATCAAAGATTTCCCCGTGAACAACTTCAAATCTCAATTATTCCTAGCCTACTGCACGATATGCCGGCTTCTGGGAGACACAGTCGAGTCCCACTTACGACAGGAAATCTCTCGCCAAAGGCAAGTCGATCTCGAGAACGCTGTCTACCGATGGGCAAAACAAGTCGTTCCAAGATTACGATCATCTGTTGCAGACCAAGACGATGCGGCTATCTGTAATTTCGAAGTTCAACAGCTACTGGTCAAGTATTTCGTGGTGCTCACTATTCTCCATCGCTCACCTACGCCAGGTAGCGTACCACCCCCAGCATCGCTGGTCGCATCTTCGTTCATTGCGGGGATTTACGAGGAATTCTTGCTGCGCGATGAGCTTCGATACCTAGGCCCTGTCTTTGCATTCTATCCACTATGCGCTGGACTGTCCCTTCTTTCTAGCTGTCGCTATTCCCACCTGCAGGGTACCGCCGAACATGAATTAACAGTCATGAAACTCTCCCTTCAAAAGCTATCCGAAAGGTGGCTCTCAGCGGTCGGACCCTTGCGCGCACTGAACAAATTGACCGACAAAGTCCGGGAGCTCGGTCTTTTCGGCGATTCGTCGCCTACTCTCGACCCGGACGCAGCCTCTTTCTTTGAGGGGTTCGACACAAGACTCTGCAAACAATGGCAGATCATTGGACACTCCTCGGAGCCTACAAGTGGAAACACGGGCATCTCGCCTACCTGCACTATGGCAGACATCCAAACCCCTAATGATGCCCTTCGTTCCCTTGATGCTCCGCCAGGACAACCGGTGGATGCTTACGACTTTGCCTCTCTTGATGTTAGTTTAGATCCATTCAGCAATAATTGGGAAGGCGCTGGATTTGACTGGAGTGGCTCCTGGCTACTGAACATATGACATTAACAGAGCTTGAGAATCGGTGTCACAAAAAAGGTCGTTGGTCCCGGTCCATGTCTAATTGATATGCTCATGGTTTCCGTGCCGTGCGTCCGCCCTACACGCTGGGCTATTGTGCATTCCACCACGGAATCTGAGGCCACTGGGCGACACAGAGTGAGCCCCCGTGTGAACACCCCCTGCGCGGACCTCTCGCCGGCCTCGCTGATCCACTTCCATTTTTTTCTGCTGGGCCTCTACCCTTGTTACCCGCGTACGGAGATCCGCGTACTCGGCCTTTGTCGCAGCTTGAGACCTGAGCTCAGCAAGCTCAAGGCGACTTTCCGAGGCCGCTTACCGCTGGGACTGGCGTTTGAACCACCAGTCTCAGGCCTTGATCCCATCGACTATGAGTTGCCGTACCAGTATCACAATGCCAATTATCTTGGTTGAAAATTCTATGTTGGCAATAACCTCCTTGGGTGACTGGGCTATTGTTACACATTTGTAGTTAGCTAGTGTCTCCTCATATGCCGGCATATAAGGGAGGGTAAGGGGAAGGGGCCACATTTGGTGAACTATACGTACAGGTTTGAATGGACTATCCATAGTTAGCCATGTCCTCTAGGCTGAAGCAAATTTTCCATCTGGGCCCGGGCGTGGAATTGGCAGGACAGCAGCCCCATTGATGATAATCTATAATTCATTCGATTAGTTACTACTCCTGTGCCTTTCCACAATAATGCGGGGGTGAATGGTGCCATAGAAAGCTTCTGTCACGGCCCTGGCAGTCAAAGACCAAGTCTCGAAGCACAATGCCCATCGCTTTTCGTCGCTGGGACATTCGGATGAGCGAAAGGGTGACGGCGTGTTCAGATCGTCATCAGGCAGCGCAGCTGCCTCCTTGGGCAAGCTGTTGTTCAGACGTACGTTCTTGGAAGCTCGTCCAGATCTCACCCACGATGGTGTTGATGAATATGAGTTCGTTCCAGTCCATGATGTTCTCTCTTTCAGGGTATTCCGTCTGCGCGTGCAGTTAATCATCTAGGTGATAGAAAATTCATAGTTGTCCAGAGGTAGGGGTCCAGAGATAGGCTATCCAGAGGCAGGCGTTAGGTGGTGGTGATGTTTTCAGTGAAACAAGAGGAAGAAAGGAAGAAAGTGTAGGAGATCAGGACGCTAGATGTGCAGAATTATTTAGTAATCGGCCTTAGGATACTTCCAAAAGATTCCAGCTTTAGAAGGTTCGTATATATGACATCTAGCAATGCCGCCTATATACTAGTCCGATTCCCCTTTTGTGGTCCCAACCCGGACTATTCACCAATAAACTCTTCCAAAGGGGATATTCCCCATTTTCTTTTCCCGGGGTACGAGGCAAACAAAACCCGTGAGTTAATTATAATGGGTCAATATCACTGGTAGAAAAACGTCCACCCTAGATTTGACTGACGGTGATGGGTAGAAAAAGGTCGAGAATTTGGTTTAGCTAAGGCATGGGAGTCTGCAAAATGCCCAGCTAGTAGCATTTCACCTTTCTTTTCGAATAGTTCCCTTGTTTTCGAATATAGCAGAGCACGATAAAATGACAATAGAAACTTCCTCTTGTTCTGGCATCTTGGTAGTGGTATGAATATATAGCCCATTACGCTGTACCCTGTGACAATATTTTGGAAACTCGATCCTCAGAGCTTAAACCTGCTACCTAATTGCTCTTTTATGTATAAATTCTTATTTCTTATTTTTCTTTCCAAATCACTGTCTGTTGTATCGGCTACGATCTTGTCGTCTATAGCCTACTCCTATTGACCTTTTGTACCTCGAGCTCACAATACTGCCTGAAGTGATCCAGACACCCGGGATTTGCAACGGTACTGCTGATAGTCTTGGGAAGCTGGCCAGACGAAATGACCTGCTTCACCAATGTCTCAATCTTTTTACCGTTCACCGTCATAGGGAACTCTTTGACCCCAATCACGAAGCGAGGAACATGCTTACTGCTCAAGCCTTTGCGAATTGCATCCTTGAGCTCCACAGCAAGTTGGGCTGTAAACGGCTTTCCAGACTGCATGACAACGAACAAAAACACAACTTCATCAGAGTCATGCGATCGTCGACGCCCGACACAGAGAGTGGCTGAGATGTCCGAGTTGAAAGGAGCCGATTCGGTGATCGAGTATATGTCCGACGACCCGAAGCGAATTCCCTGTGGATTCAGGACACCATCACTGTCGGTTTCCAGTCAGCACACAGTTCCTTCAAGTTCCACCAGCAGGGAAATTCAACTTACCTCCTTCCGTGAATCTGCCAACCTTTCGTTTTTGGATTATAACTCGCCCAGTCGTGCTGAGCCCAGCAATTTTCAAATTTCTCGAAATATGCGCTCTTGTATTTCGATCCGTCTTCATCGCCCCAGAAGAACACTGGCATTGATGGGAATGGTTTGCGACAGACAAACTCGCCATTCTTTCCAGTCGTCTTAATGGAATCTCCTGTGGCAGGATCGGCAATGTCCACATCATGTCCAAGCATAGGAAGCTGGATCTCTCCAGGATACAGTGGACCTGCAGGGTCAGTCCCAATCCAAGAAGTCGCCAAGTCCGTTGCCCCTGTTACACTGGTGAGATGAACACTCGAAGGGAATGCGCGGTAAAACCAGTGGTATTGGTCTTCGCCCAGATGAGAGCCACCCGTCTGCACCATTCTGAGGGACGAGAGATCGAACTCGTTCTTTGGGATGCAGCCGGTCATCTCGAGCTCCTGCAGATAGCGAGGAGAGCAGCCCCAGTATGAGACTTTGTGGTACTCCGTGATTTTTGCCAGTCCCTTGGCACTGGGCCACAATGGAGATCCGTCATATAGAATCAGAGTCGGGCCTACGGAGAAGTGACCAACCATGATATTCCACAGGACCCATGAGGTACTGCTGTACTGGAAAACAACATCGTCCGATGTCAAAGAGTTGTGCAGTATGGATGTCTTCTTGTGCTGCAGAATAACACTATGGCTGTGCACCAGGCACTTTGGTTGTCCGGTGGTGCCGCTAGTGTATAGGATGTAGAGTGGATGAGAGAAAGACACCCTCTTGAACTCAAGCATGTCCTCATCCCTCGACATTGCCAAGAATTGATCGAGCCCCGGGAATACCGGCTCATGGGCGCCGGTGATAGGGATTAAAAACACCTGTGGCTTTGAGCGTAATGCCTTTACGATGCTCTGAATCTTAACAACGTTCGATCGCATTTTCCCCTTGTAGGTAGACTCGCCATCTGCAAAGAGAATTCGTGGAGCGACTTGTTGCAACCGTGACACACAGCCCTGGTATGTCCAATCAGTCTTTGATATCAACAACGATTTCCATTCCTTCACAACGTACCTCTTCACCCAAATCCGGTGCGATACTGGTCCAAATCGCGCCGATACTAGCAGTGGCCAGGAACATACCTATCGACCAGACGCTGTTTGAGATGATAGCAGCAACTCGATCTCCTTCCTTAACACCGAGCTGGAGCAAAGCACTCCTTGCCTTTCGGACATTCTCCCTCAACAATCCCCATGTCCATACCTCCCCACTTAAATCCTGGCCCTCTCGAACTCCAACAAGAGCTGTCTTGTTCAAGTCCCAGCCAGACACAACATTTTCCGCGTAGTTGACAGTTGCTCCGCTGAAGAATTTGGGAATCTTGTCCATTGGCGTGGTAGGATCAAATGCGGATGTTACTGTCGGAGGCAATGGCGGGATGATTCCCGTATAGCCATGGAGATCCGTCCAGAATTCTTGCATATTTTCAACAGACCATTGGTGCAGATCATGGGAGGAGCGAAGCTGCTGATTGAATTTCTTGTTGATGTGCTCACGATAGATATTCATGGGTATTTGGTCTTGGGGGACGGTAGGCTCCCAGATGGGACGAGCCCTGAGGGTGTCGCTCTTCGTTGGGTTTATCATTTCCTTTTTGTGTCAATCGTTGGCTTTGAAAGTATAGGATCGGAATTAATTGAGTCTAAAATGGTTTGTAGCGACGGATAGAATACACGCAGTCGCTTTCAATCACATTAATAGTCCTTCGGTAGTCGGCACCCGGCCTTTGGATCCCGGCATAGACAATCTCATTCGGGTATTTATTCACACACAAGATGCTGTAGTTTCTTTCGGTAATTTTCGGTGGAGGTCGGTGATACATGCTGCCAAACCCCTGAACTTAACTATAACATCAAGCGGAGGCTTTGCTATGATCCTTGAAGCTCCCTTGCCACCCTGAGCCTTTGCCGAACTTCGCTGCACCTGCAATGGCTTCCTGCGAAATCATCTTTCTCCCAGCATTAACCTCCTGGGATATCGGATCCTGGAATGGTGATGCCTCATACCTGTAGTAGCATGGCTGGCGATCTGTGTTGAGACACATCTCAGAGAACATGATGAGTTGTCTTGCTATCTCAGTAGCTTCCTCTAATGATTATCCTTTAGGAACCACCCGGCTGGCCAGTCCCATAGTCAGCGCTTCCTGGGTGGTCATATGCTGACTGGTTGATATCATATTCAAGGCACAACCAAGCTCGACAATGGCTTCCAGCCGAACAGTTCCTTCAATCAGAGACACACACCAACGCCAACAAAGATCACTAAGACTGTGTCTCCTTCAAACACACGCATATCCGCAAATCAGCCCAGCTCTAGACCTTCTGCGGCGATATATCTAGAGATGGACCATCAGACTAGTTTGGGGTTTACAAATATAGATCCCCTACCTAACAATATAGGAAAGACAATATAGGAAAGTAAAATGCAGGCAATTAGTGACTTCAAAAAATAAGATGTGAAGAGCAAGAGGTTCCTCTCTTCCATTAAAGGAGCTTACATTAACAAATTAATTTTTAGATATCTAAAACCAATTATAACTGGTGGTGGCAGTCATGTAAAAGCCCTTTGTGGCAATACAAGCCAGGCATACATCTCTAGAAACATGCCGTATTGTGTGAATATAGACGGAGTCCACGACAATATCCCTAGTTAGTCTTCTTTTCGGTCTCGCTCAAGTCCTCGGATGTGAACTTGACACGCTTGCCGTAAACCAATGGAGTACGAGAAAGCAAGGAGCCAACGGCGTATCCGATGTACGCCCCAACGAGAATCGTAATTGGGAATGCTTGCCAAGGTCGGTCCCTTCATGTCGAGTTAGCCATGTATTTGGCATTTGAAGTACAGTATGAACGTATAACTCACCAGTCAAGAGGAATAGGAATAGCGCCTAACCACGCCCCCAAGCCTGTGCCGAGCGCACTGCCCCAGACCGCATCGGCGGGACGGGCAATGCCCCAAACCTCGTTCCACACGGTGCGATCCACCCCGTGGGCGTATATCAGGGCCGTCGCGGATAGAACGGCCATGTGAGCCGCACACAGGACGGTCTCGGAATTGTGCGTTGTGAGCGGGGCGCCGAAGAGGACCAGAAGGATTGTCAGGACCGGGGTGGCCAAGGCGAAGGTCAGAGAGAGCGAGAGGAGGGCCGGCTAGACAGTCGTGTCAGTATCAATGAGCCGCGGTTTCCACCCAAGAAAAATATCTCGTACCAGTGACCGGGACCAAATGCATGCCCAACTGTTGGCGTGCTGCTTCCGCTTTCCATGTTTTCCATGGCGCACGGCACCAGCAGATCCAGATGGCCGAGGACTTGACTTGCCATCAGCCGGGGCGGACGCGCTCGTCTCCGTTGACGGTGTCGATCCGGCGGGCGGAAGACAAACAATCACGTAGAAAATTTGTAGAAGGGTGAGCCATGGTAAGGTGGAAAGAAGCTCCTTAGTAGGATCAGCCACCAATGCTTCGAAACGAGTAGCGCCCAATGCCAAAAGGAGTGCTGGGTGCGCAATTGAATAGATCCGGGCTATCAGCGAGGGGAGGATGTTGACGGGAGGGGCGGATGGCTTCTCGACGGGGGCCTGGGGTGTCAAAGAGGAAGCCCCTGGCGCGGAAGAGGTATCTGGGGCCATTGCAGAAATCAACTGGCTGTTTTCTGTGAAAAACAAACCTTGAGCAGCCCCCGGCTGATTTGGATGGAAATGGGGGTCTTCAATGGGGATGACAGCTCGGCGATGATTGGCTGTGGCCTTAATGCCGTGTCACCCGATATCTCAGGCATAAAGTAATTGCTGCCTTGAATTTCGGGCTACAAGATCATTTTCGACTTCACAAATGCATTTGTGCTGGTTGCTCGCGTTCTCAATGGTCCATAAAATTGTGTCGGCTCTTACTGCAATACTTTGACTAGTTTCGAAGGATTACTTCTTTTTCTTGTCGTTTTTATAATTTTTCAATATATTTTTCTGACATGATGTGAAATATTATTATTTCTTTATCGTTGTGAAAATAGATGTTTACAGCTGGCTCGCTATGTTATTATTAGTTATCTAAACCGATGCTAGGTAATATCAATGGATGTCCTGTATCTAGCTGCCTATATAGGTTAGCCTACCGTAGAGTCGGGGTATATACAGAAGCATTCTCCCCTTTAACCCCCCTCCAGCTCCTATGACCTCCCATCTTGTTTATGCCACCACATCGCAGAACCCGGGCATCTATCGCTTGCGAGCGTTGCAAGCGTCGCAAAACAAAGGCAAGGACTTGACGATACGTTCAAGCGATGATTGCTGATGGAAAGATAGTGCAATGGCGAGCTCCCCGTATGTTCGGCCTGTGAGCGGTCAGGATCCAGTATGTTTTGAAATAATCTCCCAAGATGAGCAACAGTGTCGAGATTCTAAGTAGCGCAGATTGTACATGGCCAACATTACCTCGGTTTGATGCTCTCCACACCACAGAGCACTCGCAACTGGCACAACATGCTAGCAGACTAGAAAGACAAGTCGCCGAGCTACAAGATCGCCTCCAGTCCCAACAGAGGAATGAAAACTGCACTCATGAAGTCGCCCCGCATTCTATCTCACCAGTCGACTACCATGGTGAGCTATCGACGGATGTTGTGCTTTTGAGTATGAACGCTGCTGCAGAGCCGTCATTTGTCGGTGCAACATCGGGCTTCTCGCTTTCTAGGCTTGTGGAGGGAATTTTGTCACAATCTATGTTAGGCGAAAGAGTTAGAGGTAGTGTCACCACTTTGTCTGATCAGACACCATTGCCAGAGCATTCGGCGGCCACAGATCAAGAGGATGTTTTGGTTGATACGTTCTTCCAACGAGTGCATCCTCGATATCCACTTCTTGATGAGGTTTCCCTTCAGAATTTATTTCGTGAAAGAACCCGGGACGAAGATCACAATGCCCACAATCTCTTCTTACTGTATATGGTTTACGCTATTGCTGCGAGGACCATTCAACTACACCCCGAGATGCGTCGATGCACAAGCCCAGAGGTATGTCACATCAGGAGCTCAAGAAGATGTATTCAGTTCTGAAACGCGCCTAGACATACTTTACACGTGCCCTTCGCCATATCGACTCTGCTCTAGCGAGCCAGAGCTTACAACGGGTCCAAGCCCTCCTATTAATTGCCGTCTATCTTCTACGCACTCCGAGTAATGTGTCAAACCTTGGAAGCTGGCACATTATTGGGCTTGCCATAAGACACGCGGTCGAGATGGGCCTCCATCGCAATCTTCGTGATTCTCGAGCGAGACAACTGAATGCAGAAGAACTCAATCTGCGCAACCGTGTCTTCTGGAGTGCGTATATTTTGGATCGAGCGGTCTCACTGACCCTTGGCAGACCATTCGCCCTAGCAGAACATGAGATTGACGTTCCGGTAATTTAAATTGGATTTCGAATATGTTGCTGCTGAATACTTATCAAGAAACAGGTGCATGACTCGAGAAAATACCAATCATTCACCCATATGTGCCATTTACGACGGCTGGAAAGCCGCATACACCGTGAAATATTTGGTGCCGACGTGCATGAGGCTTCTGACGAAAAGCTTGACTGTTTTCGGTATGAGCTGGATGCCTGGCGACTTGCTGTCCCGGTTCCGATAGATGCCTCTTTTAATCCCTCTGGCTACTCGATGTACGATACAAGGGAATTCTTCGATATTCAATATAGCAAAGCACTACGTATGCTCCTTCAACGACGTATCACTACGGCAAAGAAAGAACCAGAAGGAGACGCTTCGAAGACAGCAGAGTATCTCACACTGAGTGCTCGGGCAGCTGGAGACATCTGCCAACATTACAAAGTGCTCCATCAGCGAAGCCCTTTGGGCTGGAATCTCCTGGCGCTACATTCCATCTTCACGGCCGGTCTAACTCTCCTATACTCCACTTGGACAAGGAAGGATAGGCCCGACCTCGTCGCGTTGGAAGATATTCGAGCCTGTTCGAGTGTCCTGTTTGCCATCTCAGAGCAATGGCCGTCGACAAAACGGTTTAGGGATATTTTTGAAACCCTGACACGGGAGATGATGGATATTTTGAAGCGCAGCCAAGCTCAGCATTGGAACGGATTATTTCCAGTCGATCCGAACCCGTTCGGGGGTGAGGGCTTTTGGTCGATATTTGATGATTTAGTGGAAGACGATTACATCCGCGATCAGTTTAGGCTTGAGGAAATGATGGGTTAAATAGTTTCAAATCAGATATATTCTTTCATCGCAACTCGAAATCTTGAAATATTCCCTCGCAGGGGCAGCCTTTACAAACTCGTACCGTGCGTTTAGACAGATTATAAACGACACAGCAAACAGTCGACGTGGGCCCAGAATACGGCCCGGAGCTCTCCTGTTTGGAACTTTGTTCAACAGCATGCTCGCATAGACTATGCGGATAGCCTGCATGGTCCTGGAATGCCGTCACAATATCCTGTTCGATCAAATTTTCCTTCTGTGCCTGTTTGCGCAGCCCTGCTTCGAGTCGCTCACCGCGATACCACGAGCTCCCTCCGAGGTATGTATCGGCAATCTGCGTTTGTGCTAGGAAGGGGCCAGTCTGGAAGTGGTTACTGTGCAGGAGATACGGCTTTTCCGAAGTCGATGAAATGACAGATCTGAAAATCGTCCGCGGTGTCACTTCCAGACACATGCCAATATCATCGGCAGACGAGACCATGATATTACACGAGACGTGACGTGGGGTTCGGGCAATGCACTTCAGTCCGACTGAGTAGTTAGACTGCTCAAGGAATAGCCTTCTCAATGCCCCAGACGGGGGGATAGGGACTGATAAATCAGGAGCTTGATCAATGTCGCTCTGTAGAGAGTTCGCTGTGAGACCCAGCCCGGCCCCGTTGCACCCTGACCGGCCCAGCTGACCTGCCTCGGTGACAAGGAACATCGACGGGATGTTTTCGGAGGGATCTGGATGAATCTCGAGGTAAATAATGGCGTCGTCGGTGACCAATCGGTGTGACATATCCCAGTTCTGCGCGGTGAAGACTACCCGGTCCCTTGTCGCGGGGGCGAGAATGATTGCGGAGGTGCATTCTTCTGCAACTTCGACCTGCACTTTTTCGTCGACGGGCTTTTCTTCGGTTGCAGGTTTCTTCTCGCTGCTAGGCTCAGTAGCCTCGGTGGCCTTGGAATCTTCGACGGCGACTTCGACGGTAGTCGCCTCCTGGGAGATTTCAGGAATAGCTTCCACGATGGATTCTTCTGCGGCGGGAGTTTCAGGAACGGCCTCGAACTTTACATGCGAGAGGTCATATCGTGCATTCAGCATGACGATGTCTTCGACTGTAACACCAGCGCCAGCAGCAACACCACGCATCTCTTCCCATCCTGATGGCCAGTAACGCTGCAGTCCAGGAATATAGCAGTTATTAATGACTCTCGAAATCGAAGAACTGGAAATCAGCATCCTCCAGCAAATATTTGAGATCCGAGTGGCCTACCATGGTCCCAGTTTGCCTGGCTGTTTATAGTACGTGACATTGCGTTGGATCTTCTCCTTGGTTTGCTCGCCGTAGGAGAATCCGCGGTCGTAAGGTAATCCGTGGACCACCACATGCTGGTAAAACTGATGCACAGACATATTCCGAACTGAAGTATTTTTTGCAGATCTACCAGGGAGTCAATTGGCTATCAAAGAGTCTTATCCGGAAGATTGGCGTTCTTTATGAACTATTTACTTCGGCAGCTTTCCGATGACTGCAAATGGAAAGGGTCAGGTTATCTCGGAGATATCGGTTGTTGCCGAGACATCGGTATGAGCCGATATATCGGGATTCCCGACGCTTAACTCTCGGCTATGATCCTGTGATATGTTTACTATCATGAATATCATTACCCCAGGTCAGCTAAAGGAGCGACATTGATAAGAGAATCAAAAACAGTGCGGGGAATACCGCTAGCTCCAAGTGGCTGCAAGGGGATTCGTGAAGTACTTATTCTCCCTCGCCCGCCAGAACCATGTCATTTTGTCAAGCAGATAGACTCTTTCGTGTGTCCTCCAGAACCCCAAAACATTGCAAAAATGGGAGAACACGGTATACAGGAGACTGCCGTCCCTCATGGGGAGAAGACTATGCATGACAAGGGATGCGATGATGCCGCAGAGATGTTCAACGGCGACCTGATGGTGGAGTACAGCGCAAGAGAAGAGGCTATCGTCCGCTGGAAGCTTGATCTATCGCTCGTCCCTATGGTAAGAATTATTGTCCGAGCCCCTGTTGTCAATACACATACTTAATACTAACTGTCTAGATGATGATAAGTTATTTACTCTCCTTTGTCGATAAAGGAATCCTATCGACAGCCGCAGTTTATGGGCTCCGAGATGACCTGGTAAGAACATATCCGTGCAGAGGCTTATGGTTGTTCCCAAGTTAACAGTCCCAGCGCCTTGTTGGTCAACAATACAGCTGGTCCAATTCTATATTCTACTTCGGGTATGTTGCCTAACCGTGTTTAGTTCTGTTCCGGGTCTAATGCAACACAGCTTCTTAGTCTGGCAGTACCCCAACTCTATATTCATGCAACGACTACCCATTGGCCGCTGGATAGGAAGCATGGTATTCCTCTGGGGTGTATGTGTCGCGGCCACGGCAGGTGTCACCAATTTCGCTACGCTGGCCGTCGCGCGGTTCTTCCTAGGCGTATTTGAAGCATCAAACAACCCCGTTTTTACCTTGCTAGTCAGCCAATACTATACTAGACAGGAACATGCACTGCGGGCGTGCCTGTGGTGGGCTGGTGGTCCGATTGCAGCATTCATCGGTGACGGCGTGTCGAATGGAATCGGCCATTTCCATGGCGCATTGAGCAGATGGCAATATCTATACCTGATCTTTGGTCCAATTACAATGGCCTGGGGAATATTTCTCTTTTTTGCCATGCCCTCTTCCCCCATGACGGCATGGTTTTTGACCCCAAGGGAAAGACAGATCGCAGTTGTCAGAGTGAGTTCCATCTTCACACTAAACAGGATCGTGGCTGATATCCTCCAGGTCTTGCAAAACCATACCGGGTTGAAGAACCGGCAGTACAAGAAATACCAGGTCATAGAATGCTTCCGCGACCCCCAGGTGTTGATGCTGTTTGCCATTGTGTTCCTTCAATGTATTCCCGGCGGCGGATTGACTGCTGTAAGGGAACAATCTAACGTTGGTGCATGATTTTGATAACTGACATTCCTTTTAGTTTAACAAAATCATTCTCACAGGACTTGGCTACACCAGTGTCGAATCTACGGTAGTTGCCATGCCCGAGCATGCAATCCAGCTCGTCTCGGTAGTACTAGCGTATGTTGCTTCCGGCTTTATCTTCATGTGGTTCTATTTCTAACAAATCAGTGGCGGCGTCTGTTCCTATATTGGCAAAGGACGATGCATCGCGATGATTTTGAGTAATATTTGCGTGCTGGTTGGGAGTGTGCTACTCTACAGTGAGTGACTACCATCCCCATTGTCCCTTCAAATATTAATCGTTGCAGCTCTTCCCGCCGAAAGGAAACTCTCCCGACTGGGCGCCGTCTACTCGCTCCTCACATGTACTGTCTCATACATCATGTGCATGTCAATGATCGCATCCAACGTAGCTGGATTCACCAAGAAGATGACAGCAAGTGTAAGTTCACCTACATTTCCTATCTCACAAGCAGCGATATTTACTGATGTTATTTAGGTCATGATCTTTGTTGGTTACTGTATCGGTCAAATTATCACGCCGCAGTTCTTTATCACATCCGAAGCACCGACATATCCAACAGGATTCCGGGCATATTTCGTCACCGCGTCAATGATGATTGTCATTGAAGCCGCTTTGATGTAAGTGTCCTTTCCAAATCTTAAGGGTGCCAGGTTCTGATTCTTGTAGGATGTATCTCATAAATGAGAATCGACGTCGTGATAAACGCAGCGAAGCAACGATTATCGCAGATGAGGGTAACCAACATCACATCTTGGAGACTGATCTGATGGATTTGACAGATCGGGAGCAGCCGAACTTCCGATACAGTTGGTGATGAGGTGCAAAGTGATATAATATGTGTCTAGGTAGGGCGCTAGTACAGGGTGTCATATGTCATGTGTCGGGGCAGACGTGCAGTCCTTACATAACGGAGGATGAGAACCTTGGAAGTCACAGATCTTCAATTTATATTTCACATTCAGTAAACATTCATGCTATATATCCCACTCTGATAATCCAAATCTTCAATTTTAGTATGGGCGAGAGGTGGCTTATAACCACAGGATAGCAACTAGCGAGATGTGGTCAATCACCATATGTAGGTACGCACCATATATTTCCTTCCTGTTTTCCATTAAAAGAAGGCAATTTGAAACAGCTCATGGTCCCAAAACGTCTTGGAAAGCCATCCCTTTGTTCACCCAGATATATTATGCACATTAATGCAGGTGACCTGAGTGCCCTAGATGGACTGGGTTATCTTTGGCATCACAGCAAGTAGTTAGACCGGGCTCCAGTATTGAATGATAAATAAAATCATCATTATCGGTGCAAGGGAGTATAATTGGCCATTCCATGTTTGTGATATTGCTGCTTAGTCGTAATAATAGCCAGGGCACCTGATGGTGCTTCGCTGACTCGTCGTTGAACTCGGAACTCCACAACATCCCCTGGTCTCTAGGCGACAACATCTCCATGACGACTAAAGAGGCACAAGGAAATTTTTTTCTTTCTAGGTGAGTTTCGAGCTGATAAAAACCATTTGTACGATGTTAATTGACGAATTCTCCAGGATTTTCACGGTGCGACACTCGGGCCGGCGACACACCCTACATCTATGCAGAAGAGACTCGAAAGAAACCTTGAAAAGCAACGTCACTTTTCTTGTAAAGGGGTTTATAACAATAACATCAGCCCGATATCGAAAGCTGAGCCTAAGAATAGGACGAAATCGGGAAAAGAAAAACACGAAAAAAAGATCAAGACAGACCGGCTGCAATTGCAGAGACAGACGTACATTCATTCCACATGGCAACGTGATCAACTGAAATCTGGAAACGGGCTAATAATATGAAAAGCTTCGGACCATTGCGAGACGAGGGGAGGGTGAGAGAGCAACGGGGTAAAGAATACATGGGGGTCATTCAAAGGGGATTGGGAAAACATCACGACATCCACTCGACAGCAAAGGGATGAGAGCGAAATAGGGTCATGAATACGAGGGCAAAGCCCATTCGTCAGGAACAAAAAGAAAAGATGGGAAAAACAACCTCATTCAACGCCTCAGGTGACGCCAATGCTCCGTGAATAAGCCATTCCTTCTCAAATGGTCAAACAAATCCTGCACAACTGGATAAAAGGTACAGGTGCAATCGACGGAAGAGCAATCGTGATAATAATAGAAACGGGAGAATGGAAACACTTCATGAAAACATTTTGAAGGAGATCAAGCAGCCGAGGTGGACGGTCCTGCGATCTCTTTCGGGATTTCATGGGACACTGTTGGCTCTGGTGCCAGCACGGGCTCGGTAGCGGGAAGTTGAGCCGAGGGGCTCTCTTCAACGACGGCCGTGGCCGTAGACGCCTCGGGGATATGCGGTTCTTCGGGGATGGATGCAGGAAGGCCAGCGCCAGGCAAGGGAGATGCGGGCGAACGCATATGCTCTTCCTTGGGCTGTTCACGTGGGACTTCCACCGAGGCAGGGTTGCCATTTGTCGACTGTGTGGCAATAGGAGAAAGGGGCTGGGTGGTGAGGGAAGGGTCGTCCTCCGACCGGGTGGGGCTCTTTGTGCGCTCACGCTCATCTTTGACAACCTGAGCGACCTTGGCCTTGAATTTTCCAAACAAACTCTTCTTCTCATGCTCGGATCCCGTGGAAGAAGTGCCTTGAACGCCAGCATCCAAACTCAGTGGGTGGCTGGAGAGGTCCGTGCTTTGATAGTGACCGCTGCCGATTGAACTAGTGCTTTGTTCGGCTCGTGGATTCGTCGCCAACAGGGGCGGAGACGCGAAACCTAGTCCAAGTTGCTCGCTAGTGCGCTTGGACGACCGATGGAACCGCCAACTACGACGATTTTCATGACGAGAGGCGTCATCAGGCTGATCCATGTCAGACTGATCGGTGAACGATGAACGTGAGTTCATGGAGGGTGTGCGCGACTTGTTAGGTCGCAGCGAGTGGTCAGTGTGAGGTTGCGAAGTACTCTCTGTGAGAGCCGGGTTCGAGTCAAAAGTATTCTCTCGGTTGCCGAGTGTCGCAGTATTTGGCGGTCTCGGAGTGGTGTCACCAAGAGCAGCTTCCACGGACCGGTTGTCGTGTCTAGGTTCAAGATCCGCACTGGGATCTACACTCGAGGCATGGAGTGAGGTGGCCGAGCTTTGTGCGCTCATGCTTGCACTACCGGGAATGCGCTTCTTCTTCAAGCGATTAGGTTGCCGTGGTTCTCTCAGTTCACTCTCAGCTGGCGGTGACTTGGTGAAGAAATTTGAAAGTTTGCGTTCACGGCTCGGGGTGACAACCTGTGGGGGTGAAGCGACGGGAGGTGAGGGAATCGAAGCGTCGATATTCTCATGCGGCCTGGCAGTTTCGTGAAGACTAAGACGTTCTGCAGTTGCCGGAGGCAACGGACCATGGGTTGACGTGTGCACATAGGCGCCGCCTGGAGTCAATGAGCTAGTTGACTGACTAGGGGTCCGCTGCTCAGGACGCTGCTCAGGACGCTGCTCGGGGACTAGCCGAGGAGCTGGATGAGAGACCGACTCAGGGATCGGCTGAGGCTGCTCAGGGACTGGCCGAGGAGCCGGATGAGAGACCGACTCAGGGACCGGCTGGGGCTGCTCAGGGACTGGTCGTGGAGCCGGATGAGAGACCGACTCAGGGATCGGCTGGGGCTGCTCAGGGACTGGCCGAGGAGCCGGATGAGAGACCGACTCAGGGATTGGCTGAGGCTGCTCAGGCTGCTCAGGCTCTTCACGCACTGATGGCGTTCGACTAGTCGACTGGGAACTCTGATGGGACACAGCAAGGCCGGAAGGGTTGTTCGAGCCAGTGTCGTTGGCTCGTGAATAACGGGCAGAAGTCAAGACGGGGCCCATCTTTGAGGGCAAAGTATTGCTTCGATGGACACCACCGCCACCACCACCGGGGGTGATCGAGGTGGGAGTAACAGGGCTCTGGGCGGTGTTAGAGTGCCGGGAGTTGCGCGACGAAACGGAGACATTTCGTCGGATACTGTCCAACTTGCGATGGCTTTCGGTGTTCGCACTGGCGTTGGATACCGATCGTCGGACGGTCGGGTGAGATGCAGGTCGTGGAATGCCTCCCTCGACCTCTTTCATGGTCTGCACATCGGCAGCCGTGCCACTCATTCCGAACAGGAAGTGATCCTGATTCTCAATCAAGAAGATCAACACATCCTGACTCAACTTATATTCCTCTGGCGACATATCGTGCTGGGGGTGGGACAGCATGCCGGGTTGGAAGATCGCGGACAGATTAGCCGACGGCATGCGATTCTGATCGGATTTTGAGGCGAAAACCGCAAGAAGATCAAGGATATAGAGGAGGAGTTGCTTGTTCAGCGGGGGCAGCTCGATGATGAGGTTCTGGTATGTCTCGACGGCCTTCGCGTGGTCGAACTTCTCGGCATCGGTCGTCTCCTTATCTTCTAGGACCTGTCGCTGGTAGATACGTAGGGGTTCACGGAAGCGCTCATAAAACTCCAACGGTACGATAGGTTCGGGCAGCTGGTTCAGGTATCGGCGAAGTACGTTTGCTGCATCGTGGACAGTGTATCCGGACCAGTCGAGTCCTTTTCCATATCGCTCGGGGGAATCGAAGACCTCCTGGAGGTCCTTAATACGCTTGGCTGATCCATTAAGACGAAAGATGCCCTCAACATCCGTTGCTATTCGAAAACAGGTCAGCGATAACTCATCGAGTATAAAAAGGCAAACGCTAACCTTTTTCTTTTAGGAAAACTCCACACTTTGCAACAACAATGGGCACATATCCATAAATGGAGCTCTGGCCGTGATCGTTGGTCAAGGAGATTGCCACATTGGCATACTTGATGCTGACATTGAGCGGAATACCGAAGATGCCGCGAGGCGGTTCTACTGCGACAAACGAGTCAGCAAACCAGTTCGAGACGATGAAGAACCCAATAAATCAATTTGAAAAGTGAGCAAAGTTCTCAACTCCGACATGGTGAACTGCAGCAACTATCCTCTGTGCGACAAGAGTATACACGCGAGGCTCAGGGGAGGGGGCAGTCGCGAACCGCCGCGAGCCGGGGCGCCCGAGGAAACATTGACGCGGTCGCCGGCGTTCAAATATCACATTCAACAGAAATGGCTTACCTTTCAATTCATCTTTTCTGGTGCTCCGTTTAAACTGCTTCCACCATGACGCTAAATCTCTCTTTGATGGCGGGGAGTTGGCGCCGACCGAATCGGGTGAGGTGGGGAGAGGATGGACGGGGTCAGCACCCGGGTGCGACTTGCCGACCGTCACCATGGCGAGTCCGGAAGGCGACTCGAGATGGAATCGAGGATACTGGGAATCGGAGAAGCACAGGAAGTGGGTGTGTCGAGGGATTTCGGGAAAGTTGAAGCGGCCCTGCGTCACCGCCCTCGTGTGGGAAGTCCTGGGGCTGGGCCCAAAAATAGCACAGGCACGTTTTCGAGGGGAAGCAGAGCAGATATGGGATTCGACAAGAGAATGTGAGAACAAAGATGAGAAGAAAAGGAAGGGAAGTCTGATGGAAGGGATAAAGGGCAAGGTTTCGAAAGGGTCAATGAGTCGGGGGCACGAGCCAAGGGCCAAACACATAGATGTAGGGAAATTCAATTTTTGTATGAAACTATGAATAGACAGTCTAGAGACCCAAGGTTCCCGGAATAAGTTAGAATATGGGTCAGGGTCGCCTGTCATATTAAGGACTACAGTTAGGGATCTTTCATTATTCAATTATTCTATATTGTAAAATATAATATAGTATAATATAGTTCCCCTAGAATTTGTGGAATTTCTAGAATTTCTAGAATTCAACAATATGAAGAGCATCCGGGCCCCAGAAGTAAAGTCTGGGACCAACGGGTCTTGAACTGTCTGGAACGCGTCTCGACCCTTTTTAAGGGGGTTTTGGGAAATTAGTCGCTTATATCTCGGGTTTCATATCTTCCGGCACAGGTACCAATTTTCTTCTTTTGGTTTTTATCTTGGCGTTTGGGTTAATACCGGCAACGAGTTTGAAGTACACGGATTTATCTCTGCTTAGAGATCCATTGTCACTTGGTCTATTGCGGGACAATGTCTTTCCGGTACGGGGTAGATCGTCTCTCAGACGCAAAACGTCGTACTTGCCTTGAAGTGGCGTTTTTTTGGCGTTATTTCCATCATCTATGGATATCATTTTGGGGCGCATGATCTACATGTAGTTTTTGACATCTTATACGTCATCTAGGTTGTCGAAAGGGTAAATAACGATAATTAAAGCAAACTACTTTTTACCCCTGGGTGGTAGCTTTCTATCCACGGGCCGAAAACTCATTGACCGCACATAAAATGGCCGTCAGGTGGGATCAGCCGTCCATAGCGTCATGAAGTGAGGTTGAAGTGATATTGGTGACGTTGAGAATCACGTGGACGATGCTTTCCAGCTTTGGAATGTTTCTCCGTTCGGATAAATCTTCTTGCGGGCCCTGAAGTAGGTAGAGGGGACTAAGCATCATTACAATATACCCATCTTTATGCCATTGCTGTGAAGTTCGATTCCCAAGGTCATTGATTTTATGTTAACTGGCAGATCTTCAAAATGAAGGGCCCAACATAAATAACAAAGATAAGATGTTGATCAAGTGGTGGCCTGGTAGCTCAGGCACAAGGTTTTGGGTCGCGTGGGCTAATATTTCTCCGGCACCCGAGAAGCTCAGAACCAGCGGAGCTGGCAGCTGGCAGGAGACTTGTAGAAAGCATCTTACCATCAAAACATCTTGATTTCATTCATCTATCACAATGGACGGGTAAGTACCTCTTTTGCACTTCTCTACCTTCCTACCATGATTTCTATCCCATTATTCCTCCGGATAATTCTCCGAGCAAATCGCTAATACCCAAGCCACAGACTTAACGCATCGGAACAGCGCGAGTTCGCTTCCCGCATGGAGCGGAAGCAGATGAAGGAGTTCATGACCGTACGTACCTCCTACCTTCCTCATTGAGGATCCGACCTTGCGCTCATCCCCCTGTCTGTGACGCTACGTCCTTACCATGAACCACCTGTCTTCTCCCATGTTCCAGATCTAACATCCTTTCGTTCAGATGTACTCCAAGATGGTCCAGCGCTGCTTTGATGACTGTGTCAACGACTTCACCACCAAGTCCCTCATCAACCGCGAGGAGACTTGCGTCATGCGCTGTGTCGACAAGAACCTCAAGAGCTCCGCCCGCTTGAACGAGCGCTTCCAGGAGCAAAACGCCGCCATGATGCAGAGTGGCAACATGTCAGGCAACTAAGGGTCTATTATGATAATAAACATATTGTCCATGACTATTCGTCTTTGGCAACATGCATTCGATGAATTGGGTGATTGGCGAGGTTCGACCCGGTTGTCTCCGGCCCGACAGTGGCTTTATATGGATGTTTAGAGGGATGACAATCTGGTCGATGACCTATTGGCGAGGAAGCAGGCAGGATCGGCTCCTTTCCGTGTACCATAGAGACTAGCACGGGAGATATCTACCTCTCCTCTCCCGGGGCTCAAAATACAAAAGACTTGATCAAGTGATTGTGTATATTGAATGGGTTCGCTAAATAGAGCTCAGCTTGAGATATCTTTCTCTCAAACTCGAGATCTATTCCTTGCTATCATCAGACAACCTTCCGGCCGTGAAGACCAAGGGTGCGCGTTCATTGTTTTTCTTTTGCTTCTTATGTTTTTTTTTGGCGTATAACCTCGGATTTGTGGGTTGTCGAGTATCTAAAGCCGTTATCATCGTAGTTAATTTTCCTACTAAATACTATCTCTTAATTTTCGGTGCGAGTTTCCTGGCGGATATAACGACTATTCCCGCTTCCGAGGTCGGCGGTATTTCTTTGGTATAACATCAGTGTAATGCCATGATCAAATAGAAGAGAATAACGAATGCAAATTGGCAGTTTCCCGCGTTATTGCTCCGTATAGTGCCTATATATGGCTATATATCGTGCTTATATCGTGCTTATATCGTGCTTATATCGTGTAGTACTACGGGAGTGGACAAATAGGGTATATGAACCCCCCTTATATGATTTCCCGCGGAATTCGGGAGCATCGATCCGATTATGCATATTCTATACGGGAAAACACCTTATCTTTTTTTTCCCCAAGTGGGGAGAATAATATGAGGGGAGTTGTAATTGTCCGGATCTCCAACTCCTTTTTTGATGCTATCGTTCCCCTCACCGGATCCACCTCTCCTTCAAAAGCCCGTCATTTCCCTTCTTCCCTTCTTCTACCATCGTATTCTTGATGTGAGTCTTTTTTTCTTGGCGTGGAATTTGCTAATAGTGTCCAGTTTATCAACATACACAATGGCTAGCACAGTAGGACAGGTAAATTACTCTTCTTTCTCTCTTATGGAATACCTTCGCTGACTCGGACAGACCATCACTTGCAAGGTAAGCTCGATCCGACCGCCCCGCACATATGACGTCGACCAGCACTGTGAATCATGACTGAACAATTGACAGGCTGCCATCGCCTGGGAAGCCGGTGCGCCTTTGTCCGTTGAGGATATCGAGGTCGCTCCCCCCAAGGCTGGTGAGGTGCGCATTAAAATCCACCACACTGGTGTCTGCCATACCGGTAAGCCCCGCCATCTCAGCCCCGCCCTAGGAAAACCAAACAAACTGCCGATTAACCCGAGATAAATGACAATTATTGACATTCTTCAGATGCCTACACTCTCTCTGGCAAGGACCCAGAGGGTGCTTTCCCCGTCGTCCTCGGTCATGAGGGTGCCGGTGTCGTCGAGTCCATAGGCGAGGGCGTGACCTCCGTCAAGGTCGGCGACTACGTCGTCGCTCTCTAGTACGTTTTCGGCTCCGATCTCGGCGTCACAATTCACTGACAATCATAGCACCCCCGAATGCCGCGAGTGCAAGTTTTGCAAGTCTGGAAAGACTAACCTCTGTGGTAAGATCCGTGCTACTCAGGGTAGGGGTGTTATGCCCGATGGCACCTCCCGCTTCAAGGCCCGCGGCAAGGACCTCCTGCACTTCATGGGTACCTCCACCTTCTCCCAGTACACCGTCGTTGCCGATATCTCGGTCGTCGCTGTCACTCCTAAGATCCCCACCGATCGATCCTGTCTGCTCGGCTGCGGTATCACCACCGGATACGGTGCTGCCGTCGTGACCGCCAAGGTCGAGGAGGGTTCCAACGTCGCCGTCTTCGGTGTCGGCTGTGTTGGTCTCTCTGTTGTGCAGGGTGCGGTCAAGAACAAGGCCGGTAAGATCATTGCCGTCGATGTCAACGATGGCAAAGAGGCCTGGGCTCGCAAGTTCGGCGCTACCCACTTCGTTAACCCCACCAAGCTCCAGGGCAAGACCATCCAGGAGCACCTCATTGAGATGACTGATGGTGGCTGTGACTACACCTTCGACTGCACTGGTAACGTCGGTGTCATGCGCGCTGCCCTCGAGGCCTGCCACAAGGGCTGGGGTGAGAGCATTGTCATCGGTGTTGCTGCTGCTGGTCAGGAGATCGCCACTCGTCGTAAGTTACCCTCGTTCTTCACTTCCCAACGTATATTCTCTAACACATGTCACAGCATTCCAACTCGTCACTGGTCGTGTCTGGAAGGGATGTGCCTTCGGTGGCATCAAGGGTCGCACACAACTGCCCGGTCTTGTCGATGATTACCTCAACGGCGAGCTCAAGGTGGACGAGTTCATCACTCACCGCCAGTCGCTGGATGGTATCAACGCCGCTTTCGATCAGATGAAGGAGGGTGACTGTGTTCGTTGTGTCGTTGACATGCAATAGATGCAATATTATGCCAGCCGATAAAAAAATAACTGATGTGGAATATGACTTTAATTATTTCTTGGATTAGAAAATTTCTACATAACATTACAATCCCTGGGGGAGCATGAACTTTTGTATGGCTGAGGTTGTCATCAAGGTCCTCAACCCCGCGGCACGACCTCGGGGTCACCACTAGGATCATCCCAATAGGCTCCCAAAGGCAATGGTATCATTGGAGCTGTCAGTTGAATACCAATAGCATGATGCCATAACTAGTAGACCCGTTGATAGCTGAGCATGAACATAGTATCAAAAACTCCAAGGGCTAAAGTCCACGACTGTTTCACATCTGAGACTGTCTTCTCGCTTCTTCTCTTTTCGGGTAGATGTCAAGAAGCTCCAATCTCGAGATATAGTCTCTTCAGCCATATAAATGACCGCGGAAGAGGTTCACAGATACCGCGCAGTTTACTCTGCGGACGAGAGTCCGAATCCCCACCAAGTCTGCACCAACGAGCTACTGATAAAGACGCCAATCTAGGTTCTACTTCGGAATAACATCTCTGGCGGCCTATGATAGGATGTATCTTGCCCACGTATAACTCTATTCATGTGCTGAGCCTCTTGCTATCAAACCCAACTCCGTTCGCCGCGGCGATGCCCGTGGCGACATCTGTGAGGGGTATATAGTCCACGATATCATGTCCAAGTATACTATATCAACTTGTTTCTTTCTTCTCTACATTTCAATCTATCTTCTATCACTGTTACTTTACTTGTTCTACTCCAGAGCAAGTCTCTCCACCAACCCACCACCAAACAACCTCATTCTACACCATCCAAACACCATGGAATCTCCAACAATCACAGACACAAACCCTGTCACCCTTCCAGCCCCCTTCTCCACAATCCCCCGAACCCCCCTCCTCCTAGGCCCATCCCCAATCCACCCCCTCCCCCGCATAACCGCCGATCTCGCCAAAAACAATGCCGACCCCGTAAAAATCTACGCCAAACGCGACGACCTAAACTCCGCCTACGCCTACGGCGGAAACAAAACCCGAAAACTCGAGTATCTCCTCGCCGACGCCCAAGCCCAAGGTTGCACGACCCTCGTCTCAATCGGCGGCGTCCAAAGCAACCACACGCGCCAAGTCGCCGCCGTCGCCGCGCGCTCGGGTCTCAAAGCTCGGCTTGTTCAGGAACACTGGGTGGAATGGGTGGACCCGGGTTACGAGAGTACGGGCAATATCCAGTTGTCGAGATTAATGGGCGCTGATGTTCGACTTGATCCTTCCGGGTTCGGAATCGAACATAAGAATACCGCGCAGGCTGTTGTGGAAGAAGCCAAAGCCGACGGCGAGAATCCGTATTATATCCCTGCTGGAGCGTCTGATCATCCGCTTGGTGGATTGGGATTTGCGCGGTGGGCGTTTGAGGTGCGACAGCAGGAAAAGGAGATGGGTGTTTTCTTTGATACTGTTCTCGTTTGTGCTGTTACTGGGTCGACGTTTGCGGGGATGATTGCTGGGTTTAAATTGTTGGAGAGGATTTATCCTGAGGATGGGAAGAGGAGGGTTATTGGGATTGATGCTTCTGCGACTGTTGAGGCTACTAAGGCTCAGGTTTTGAGAATTGCGAAGAATACAGCTGCTAAGATTGGATTGAAAGAGGAGGATATTACGGAGGAGGATGTTGAGCTTGATGAACGGTATCATGCGGGTATTTATGGTGTTCCGGATCGACAGACTTGGGATGCGATTGAGTATGCGGCGAAGATGGAGGCTTTCATTACTGATCCGGTTTATGAAGGGAAGAGCTTTGCGGGGATGATGGATATGATTCAGCGTGGGGAGATTAAGGGTGGGAATATTTTGTATGCGCATCTTGGTGGGCAGTTGGCTTTGAATGCTTATTCTGAGCTTGGTCGGACTAATGAGTAGAGTTGAATGTATTTGGAGCAAGTGAATTGACTTAGAATAAATCTACGGCTTATGGATAGGAAATATGGCTGTAGCATGTTTAAGCTTGTATTGATAAACGAGTGACTATAGTTGGCGCGTAATGATCAAACTAGGGAAGCATGGACAAGTCCTCTAGAACAGCTTGTGCTCAAGGGTCATCTCCGACTCGGGCTGGAGACCAACGCAAGCACGGAAGATGTTGATAAGAGCAGAGCGCTGCTTACCCAGGGCGTTGACGACGGGAGTACCGGGAGGGGTCAGAGGAGCCTTGAGCATGTAGCTGAGAATGCTCAGGACGCTGTGGAAGCCCTTGTAGTCATCACCCTCGCCGTCACACTGCCAGCTGATACGGGTCATCATCTCAGCGAGCACGATGAGATCAATGATAAGGGGCGAGGCCAAAAGCGAGTCCTCACAGATGTTGAACAAGCTGATGGTCTGGTGGCCACCCATGAAGATCTCGGCGTAGTACTCATCCAGAGCACGCTTGTTGTCGCCGACAGCAGGCATGTACTTGATGACGACAGTGTGGTCGGGGTGCTCATCCTTCTCGTAGAGGATGTGGTTGGCAGCGACCATGTCGTCCACAACGTTGGACTTGGAGATCTCCTTGGAGCGGAACTGCTTCTGGGAGCTCAAGTTCTTTCCGTCGTTGTTGCCCAAGTGGTTGTAGCTGGCAATGGAGGTGAGCTTGATACCAGCGTTGATGAGGAAGTCAACGAGAGCCGACTTCATCTTGGTCTGGCCAGACTTGAAGTCATCACCGCCGATGAAAGCACGACGCTGCTCGGCCAATTGAAGCGCACCAGGAACAAAGGTGTTCTGGGGCGAGCCGTTGATGAACGGAGTGTCCTCGAGGATGGCTGCGACAGCGAACACGGTGGAAGGAGCAACCTCCAGGTGACCAGCCTTGATCGAGTTGATCAGGTTATCAGCAGTGTCGTTGACACCGGGGATGATGTCGGCGTAACGCTCAGTGTTGGCGGTCCACATGATAATGACCTTGTCCAAGCCGTTCTGGGCCTTGAAGTCGCGAATATCCTTCTGGATCTGCTCAACGTGGGCCCAGCAAGCCTTGTCACCCTCGATGATATTGTCGGCACGGTCCTCCTGGTTGGCAGCGATGAAGTCGGGGTAGTAAATACTAGGCAGGGGCTTCATCTCGGCCATCTCCTTGCGGACTTGGTTCTTGAGGGTGGGCTCAAGCACCTGAGCACGGTCCATGGACTCGGCGAGGTTCAGGCTGCTGATATCCCAACCGCCAATGGCCAGATCGTTAGGGTGGGCCATGGGGAGGAGGTCGTGGAAGGGGATGTTGATCTCCTCTCCAGTCTTAGCATCGGAGCCCAACTTGACAGTGGAGCTCATGACGATAGAACCGTAGTAGTTGGAGGTCTGCTTGCCATCGCGAGTCTCCCAGGAGAGCTTGCGACGGTTGGCCAAAATACCGGCAGTGACGGTGGAACCATTGTTTCCACCCCAACCGACCAGCATCATACCGACCTTGCCAACCTTGCGGTTGACCTTGAAATTGTAGTTGGTAGCCTTGGGAGTGGCAACCAACTTGTTGTCCGCGGTGCGGGTGATCTCAGTAGTCTGATAGGCGTACTTCGACTTGATCTCGTCATCGGTATAGACGACATTGGGAGACTGGACAGTAAACAGTTCTTGGTGAACCGACCCGTTCAGGGTGCCATTGGCAACATCCGAGTTAGCGTGAGGAGCCATTGCGTTGATAGCGGGATGAATTGGCGAATTTAGAGTAGTGTGTATGATAGCGTAACTTTAGCGGATATAGGGTGCGCAATCCGATGCTCCTCCACGGTTGGATGAGCGTCGGCCGTTGAACGGGTGGTGCCGGCTGGTGGGGAGTTAGCAATTGGACTATAATCATGATTGCCTCTATATAGAGAAGGGAACTCACGAGTTAAGACTTGTCGCGAAAATTGTGGCGGTTGTATGTGACCACTGTCTCGACGAGAAGTGATCTGACCTGCTGACAAGGTTTATACGAACCTAAAATAAACGGACGAGAATAATATGAGTGAGGATAGAGAGAAGAAGAAGAAGAGAGAGGAAGTGGCAGGAAGGGCCACCTTATATGGTCTCCGCCTGTCTCCGGTGTCTAGTCCCCCGGTCCCCCCGGTCCCCCGGCTTCCCCTTTTTTTTTTTTTTTTTTTTTTCTCCTTTTAGCTTCAAGCTATTTGGCTGTCATCTTATTATTGGCTGCAATATCTCACCGTCTACCTAGGTATTCTCGTGGTCTAGCCGATACCGCATCTTTTTGTTCCTGCATATGGAGCCATACTCTTTTTTACGTGTACAATACTCGGTATACTAATCCAAGGCATATTATGGAGTATAGCCAATGCATTATGATCAACTTAACCCATCCAATTTCATAAGAATATCCAGTTTTATGCCGATTACCGTGCTCCGCTTGCGGCCAGTCCCAAGGTTTCGGTACCTACATTCCTTTCCGAATACGAATATCGGTGACCTTTCTCGGCTCTAATTTTCCATTGGATTAGAAGTGCAGGAATCAAGTAACCCTATACATCTGGCCACGAGCCCTCAGTTGAACCGTGCTGCACATCTGCACATCGGAGGGGTAACCTCCGCGGGGCAGAATGGCGGTCAGCCCATGGGCTTGTGTATTTTGCTAGTTTTTTTTTCTTTCTCTTTATATTAGTTATAATAGTTACTAGTAACATTCGCGTATTTCATACCAAGGAATTGAACGAGTACTGTAGAAACACATGTCAAATTTGCGGGCCTAGGGAGACTTGGCCCGATGGCTACGATACCATGCCATAGTTTGCTAACATTGAAACTGACGCCTTTGCAGGGGTTCAACTATGCTCAACTTATGGCAATAATATGTAATAATATCAGACAATTGGTGCTCAACTTGACTATAGAATGGATAATAGATCTTGAAATATTACCAGAGCGCCACAGGGGCAATATCTTCGCAATTTCAATTCTCCAGTCCACGAACGCCTCTACCAGCCCCTTCACGATAACCGTCAAAGCGTGCAACGCACCAGGCTGTGCCAAAATTGGCCTTTGGCCTGCTCAGGAGATAAGCTGCCCAATGCCAAGGCCTGGTACTGCAGCAGATACGGCCAAAATGCCGACTTCAAGGTCCACAATCGACTGTGCCCGTACAACTCGATACAACAGTGTCTGATTCCGTTCTCACTCGTGTATTCTGCAATGATTTGCTTCTCTTACGTTGCTCGGACGTGTTAGCGCTGCTTGATGCCTCTGCCGTTATTAAGTGGTCATTTTCAATATTGTCTATTCCGAAAATATTGTGCGGTCTTCTATTGAAAGAAATCATGTCTGCAATCCATAGAGACCTCCATAGTATTGCCATCTCTTATTGTTCAAGTCTTCCTGCAAATCACGCCCTCGCCCTCGTGCTTCTAACAAATATTTATACGCTCAGCCCTTCGACTCTCCATCGTCTTTCTCCAAAGGAGAGTCTCCCTGGGGTTGTCGACCATTTAATCTCTCGGGCAACCGCTTTGCCACACGAACAGGGTCCAACCACCCCGTAGACATAATAAACACCTCATCTATATCTTCCAGCGACAGCCCTGCCGTTTCCGGGTAAAACAGATAAACAATCGGTATCATCGCAAAGTTTGTGCAAGCAAAGATCAGAAAGTATTTCCATCCAATTGCATTAAAAGCGATTGGGGTCACCTCGGCGATCAAAACACTCAGAGCCCAATACATGCCAGAGCTAATACCGTTGATGGTGGTACGCAGACTGAGAGGTGAAACCTCGGATGCGTAGAGAAAAGGGATCCCACCAAAACCGACAATCATGCTGAAGTGAAAGATGAACATAAAAACCACGGCGGCGTGCATGGCGATGCTGTTTGTCGACTGAGAACTAAGCGCAGCAACGAGGACCATGCAGATTGTGTTGACCGTTGCACTTGACAATAACAAGACACGACGACCGAAGCCCTCTATAGTGGACACGCAGACAATGCCACCAAAGACACCGGAGAACTGGTAGATCACCGCCAGGATCTTTGATGTTGTCGGTTCAAGGTGGAGGTTGGTTTGGAAGATCGTCGTACCTGGTGGATCCATAAGCGAGAGCATTGCATGCGATCAAGGTTAGAGTACGTACTGTAGAACGTGATAGTGTTGACACCCGTCAATTGTAACAACACCAATCCACCTGCCGCAAGAGATACACGATGACAGATTCTCTGATGTCCCATGTGGAAAATTTGGCTCAGAGAGCCTTTACCGGCAATAGCCAGCGACGCCTCCACATCAAGTATCTCCTTCTTGACCACCTCACTGTCCATTTCAGTGTCCCTCAGAGCTGCCAATACCTCACGGGCAGCAGAGACTTGACCCTGCTGGATCAACCAACGGGGAGACTCGGGCATATTAGAAGTAAATATCATCACAGTTAAGGAAAGTATGATAGGCAGACCAACTGGAACACGCCAACTTGCGCTGTTAGGGACATACGACATCCCAAGATCGACAAGTAAACCCAGGGTAAGACCCAGAGAAGCGAAGATGCCTGTAGTCCCAACATGCGCACCACGCTTGCTAGCTGGTGATATCTCCGATTGCCAAACAGGCACAGTGGCTAGCTGTCCACCAGTTCCCAGACCTAGAATAACTCGCGACACGACAAGCTGAGCAAAGCTAAAAGAACTAGCCATGAGGAAAGCACCGATCAATTGCACTACTGAAGCGAGTATGATGGTTCGTCGACGTCCAAGCACATCACCCAGCCCAATGCAGGTGATGGCTCCTAAGAACCCGCCTGCTGCATACAAGGCCACCACAGTACCCTGCAATGTCGATTTATGGAGTTTCTCTGAAGGTTGGGCGTGGGACACGTCGATTTCAGGGAATTGGTTCTGAAACCAGGGTAGGGTGAGAACTCCCCCTAGTAATCCTTGATTATAGCCTAGTGACATGAATGCGGGCATAACCACGCCGAGGATTGCCACATAGTGGAGGCGACTGCCTCGAAGGCCAAGAAAACGTGTCATATGGCGTGCAAGGTATGAATCAGGTTGTGGTTTGATGTCAATCTGGACGACTTTTCCGATGTGTTTTGGAATAAATCAGAGATCCGGCGACTGTGTCAGGTGAACCCGGTCCTTGCATATTTGTATATTTGTTTTTTTCGTTGCATTCCGATCTTGGGATCAGCCTCTGGAAACGCGTGTTTTACCAGTTCAGCAAGGTGTAGCAGAGATCTTTTGAGTTTCAAATAAAGATGAGCGATGAATGTTGATATATCTGCAAGGGGTATATCGGTTTACTGTTTGGTGAACTCTGGCATAAATCGATCTCAGTATAAGATAAACAAAACAATAGGACTGCTATACAATATATTATGATAGTCTGTCATTGAAGTCCGTTGCACGGTTTTTCTATCAAAAAATTCAGTCGTGGGAGTAGGGGCTGCTGGGGAATCATTTGGTGGATATATATATATATGCGCATCTAGATATCCTTGGAGAAGTGGACAATTGTTTTATTAAAAAGTCAGTCATCTTCCCTAGAATACATTATGTAGTTATTAAAGCATTTATACCAAGTGTAATAAACCCTGAATACTGCCATAGATATCGTGGCACCGGATTAAATCCCCCGCAGTGGAGAATGGGGAACTTCCCCGACGGAGGTGAAGAAATCAACTCCGTCATGCCCGGTCCGAAAAGCCAATGCTGGTAAGTAACTTAGATAGCTTCTGGAATTACACATCTAACTATATTCAGTGATCCATGCCGTGTACTTCACCATAAATGTAAGAATGCCTATGCCCGCTAAGAACCACTCTAACTGTCGATAGGTGACGGAGTCTTGCCACAATGCGGCCGATGCGTCCGCACCGGTCGAGAATGCACTCGAGGTAAAAAGGAAACCAAATTTCGACAGGCAAAGGGTCGGACGACGCGCACGAAGTTTCCGAGCAACCAAGTTTGGCTTCGGCCACCACCTAGAGGTTGGATTCTGCACCCGATTTCTTTGAGATCTAGTCTGACATCAGATCGTATGTAGTTGACTTTGTACTGGAAAGTGGAAGTGGTCAGCCGGATACCCCGATACAGAGGACATCCGATGTTGAGTCGCCTGCTGGGAGTTCGCATAGTCATCCCGAGTCCATTCCTATACCGGAAAGGCTGTCTCCCGGGTCCTCATATACCACCACTTTACCACAATATGGGTTCTCAAACCACCAAGTACATACGAGTAGTGTTGTTTCACCAATACCACCAGTGGTGAGCTCACCTGAACGATCATATCAGCGGCCATGGCCCTTGAGAGATCCCCAGGAGGCGCATTTGTTACAGCATTTTGTGGATAAAATTGCACCTTTTGTAAGTCGTGTCCTTTTGGCTCGAAATGACAAACGGTAGCCTGACTGCGATACAAGTTCGATTGCACGGATCGCCAGCAGCATTTTGCTATTCATATCCCCTACCGAGCACGCCGCTGCGAGACATTATTCAATGCAATATTGGCCATGTCAGCTCGTCATTTGAATCGCACAACAAATTTTGACCCTTTCGTGTCAGACCATTACTACCAAGCATGTCTGGAGAAGTTGATTCCCGCGCTGGATGATCACAGCGTTACGATGGATGATGATTTGCTGTCTGCTACTGTCATTCTACGTTTGCTGGAAGAGTTCGATGGTGAGTAGTGCACCCATTCTCACATGTGTCAAGAATCCTACTAACGATGATCATAGTCCCACTTGCGGGGTCCGACATTCGAGGCCACTCCTTCGGGACAAAAGCTTTCATACGGGGTCCATCAATGATGACCACGACCCCAAGTTTACGGCAGGCTGTGTACTGGAGTGGCCTCCGCCAGGAGATTTACAATGCCCTCAGCCTCCACCAAGCCCCAGATATTGACCTGAGGTCGTTGAACTTGAATTCCCACTTTAGCTCGCTGGGCCCTGATGCAGGTGATTGTGCGTGGGCGAATCAAGCAATCACGCATTGTGCGGACGTCTTGGTGTTTTGTTTTGGGGAGGGACCTCGCTCGGGGGCCGTGCATGCAGAGCTCAAGGCACATAATCAGCAATGGAGTGAGACTCGGCCGGACTCTTTCGATCCTTATTTTGTGGGTGAAGAGGTGGAGGTGGGAGTTAAATTACCCGACATTCGTTACGGGTGTCCCTGGCATGGTATGTATCGGCCAATATTCCAGGAAGTGACGTATCTTGAAAGCTATTCAAGAGGACGAAGGCTAATCGCTTGGGACTATAGCAATCGGCAACCAATATATCGATCTTGCTCAGATTCTGCTTTCTGTATATGATCCAACTCTGCCTACGGTTGGACCTCTGCGCAGGCGTCTGATCCAGGAGGCTGATGTAAGTGTCTGACTTTTCAATCTCCCGTACTCAGGCAGATACTGACAGTTGGTTCAGGATCTTATCCGCAGGGGGGTTTGGACAGTATGTGGGGCTTCACTATCCAATGCTTCTGTGCCCCCAGCCATGGTTGTCGGGTGCATGGCCATCCATCTATGTAAGCTTCGGAATCCATTGTCAATATTCTCTAATAAGTATAAATGACGCTGATCATGATCGCAGGGGGCGATCGCTTCACGGACCCACATGAACAAGAGCTTTTGATCCAGGTTCTTATCCAAACGGATACACTTCACGGCTGGCCAACCCATGCGCTCCAGCGACAGCTTCGGGAGACATGGGGCATGCGCTGACTTGGCAGTGCAATGTGAGTAGGAGAGCGATAAAGGACAACATAAGTCCCGCGTCTCTCCAATTCTGGGCCGTGTCTGCGCCGAAGGCACAGACGTGACAGATGATCGTCCTTCTCCCGCACGCAGCCCCATACTCCGTACTCCGTCTGGAGTAGCATCTCGTTTAATTGTCCCCACGTCATCGCACACGTTGTGCGAGTTTTCAAATGGCGGGGACTCAAAACACCCGGGCTTGGCTCAATTTTTGCAACTACCTAAACGGTAGAAACGTATTTGCAATGCATCCAGTACCAAGTATGTATTTCTGCTTTGGGTCAAGTGTCAGGGTAGTGCATGATCCATGGCGTTGAGTGGAAAGCAGTGGCCAGTAAGATAAGCGGGCTCGGAGGGAAAAAAAATGGCCCCGCGGATCGCCAGCACGGGGCGAATAACAAGTTGATTGTTTTTTTTTTTTTTTTGACCGCATTCGAATAATACTCCGACAACGTTTGAACTATCACACGATTTTACCAAATGGCGTATCAGGAGGGTTGATTTGGTCTATATATTGAGTAGAGTTTATGTCAAAATCCAGATCGAGTGATATCCCCTTGAGTTCATCCCCACTGATCGAAAACATTGGACTCAAAATATGACCTGGATAATGTGATTGGTGTCGGTGGAGGATCAGACATCAGGTACGGGCCAGTCGCATTGCAGTGTCTTTTTCCCTGATGTGCATATTCATGTTCCCTGTGCGCACAATATTTTGGCTCCACTGGTTTGTCTCAGGGGAGAACGCCTATAACATGGTGATTATAGGGGAGTAATAGGGAAGAAACTGCTAAGAACTGCTAAGTACTGTTACTACTGTGTATCACATAATTATCTATACTCTGTAGTATATCATAAGATAATATAATAGCAATATCATCCAATGTAGCCCCTGAACAACTTACGCACCCCCTTTCCACACTGGAGACGCTACCACACTAGCGTATTTTCTTCCAACACAAAGGACCCCCCCCATACAATCGGAATTCTCCTAGGGTAAATTCAGCTTTTCTTTAGACTTACCTTGCTCTAGAATTACCCCATATCTCGGGATATGGCTTGAATTCGATGTTCACGACCTTTGATGGCTTCAATGAACATGGGCATGTTGCCCACCATAAAATGCTCCAATTGTGGGTGCAATGTCGAGATCTCCTCCATGGGAGATCATACTTGCATTCGAAATGATTTCGGTAGGCTTTCAAGATTCAATATGAAGGATCCAAGTGCTGACTTTATCAGCCCCAGTCGCGCCTATCCCATCACCGCCTCCATCGGCCGGGTTTGAATCAGACCGATTCATAGAGGCAAAGGTTGGCCGGGGGCCTCCCCCGGCCATAGACCCCTCCGCTGCAAGTATGTCTCAAATCGCCATGTGGGGAGTTGAAGGGATCTGCGACTAACCCTACATCTAGATCGAGCATTCTTGCAGCCAAATATGCCGACACCAGCTAACAGTGTCCATCTATCACCCTTCCCTACCAGTCCAGCACCATCTACACTGCGCCCGTCTCACAGCTCGACCGAGGATCGGTTCGACAGCAATTCTGATACGGTCTTCTCATTCCCCATGCCTGGAAATAGGTCGCCGACTGAAGTGAGGACACCAAGTCCAATGACGGATCGGAATCTGCTGAAATCACGACCGATCCCATCGCCGGGAATGGGATTGGGTGTAAGGCCAGAGAATATACAGCTTCCACCTAGTCCAATGCCACCCAAGTCTCCAGATACGAATCATCACAGGGAGGATTCGGCGGTGAGCAACAGCAGCTATCGGTCGTCTTTCGCCAGCAGTCGCTACGGCGATTCCACAACGAGGTCATCGACAAACAGCCTCTCGCGTGGTTTCCGGTCATTTATGGACGACACACCACCAGTGCCATTGGCACCTCTCCGCACCCCCCACAAGACGTCTTTCCCCCGTGATTCCAATGTCTCGGTGGTTTCATCCCGAATTAGCAAGGAAGAAGCCAGTGGATTCGACTTTGGTATTCCTACAGGCCAGAACCAGACTACCGGACTACACGACCTACCGGAGGAATCCCCTTCATTCCAGGATCAGACTGAATATATCGCTTTCCGTCCTGGACAAACCCTCCTCCACCCCGCGACAGCGGTAGCAGAGCCAGGTAGCGATGCGCCAAGGAAAAGCTCCAACGCAAGTACGACGAGTGCATTCTCCGTTACAAGCTTCGCCCGAGCTCTCGGTCTGGATGACCAGATGAATCACTCAGAAAGCTCTGGCTCTGATTCATCGCCTTCCGATGCCCGCAGTGGTAGTTCCATGTCCAGTCTTCCCTCAGATGCCAGCTTGAACCGACACAAACCCACCGATCCGCTGGGTCTATCGCCCTTGGTTGAAGAGAGGCCAGCCCGGACCCGACAGACGATTTTAGAAATACCCGGCCGTACACGGAGCACCATGGAAGACGTCCCTCCCATCCCAGCTGCTTTCTTCAGCCCAGATTCACCTACCGACCCTTCAATCAACCAAGGTGGAGTGTCGTTGATTGCAGAAAGGAAAGAACCCCCGACTCCCACACCAACACAACTAAACCCATCTATCCCCCGAAAGCCAGCACCACCCCAACGTTCATTCACAGCACCCATACCCCCCAACCAAAAACACCAACAACACCAACGCGGTCTGCGACTGGACGTTCAAAGGGAAAGTGTAAGGGTTGCAATGAGACGATCACAGGAAAATCGATTTCATCTTCAGACGGCCGTCTGACAGGTCGATACCACCGCGGCTGCTTCGTTTGCTTCGAATGCCACTCCCCCTTCCAAACAGTCGATTTCTACGTCCTCAACAACCGCCCCTTCTGCGCGCAACATTACCACGAGCGCAACGGGTCCCTTTGCGCTGGTTGTAACACCGGAATTGAGGGCCACTACCTAGAGACCGTCGAGCGGAACCCTGCACGACCAGATCGCCGTCGATTCCACACGCAGTGTCTGCAGTGTCGTACATGTCACGTTCTTCTCAAGGGCGACTACTTCGAGTGGAACGGCGAAGTCTTCTGCGAAAGAGACGCTCGTCGAGCAGCAGCTGCCTCCCACCACCCACCACCCCCTGGTCCTCCTGGTCCTCCTGGTCCTGGTCGTCGTCGCCCGACGCCAGGCTCGTCTCCCCTGGCACAGTCTGGCCACTTCCCACCGGGTTCGTATCCCCCACCCGGCGGACGACCTGGACCTGGACCTGGGCCGGGACTCCACCCCGGTGCTAGATTCCCACCTGCAGTTGGAGGTGGAGGACGTTTCCCTGAACGACGCACCACTAGGCTTATGATGATCTGAGCAAATCATCTACCTCACTCTTTCCTGTGAATATTGGAAAGCGCGAGTTGCACATTCCTTTTTTCCGCATCTCCATCGCGCATGGCGTTTCCCACTTCCTTCATTCCTTTAAATATCGCGATATACCCTCTATGCTATCTCACCCATTTAACTTTCGCTGGCAATGGCGTTGATCGTCTGTTTTTCCCTTGCATCGGGGCTATTTTCTGTTTTGAAAATGCCCCATTGGCATGTTTTCTGATTTTGGGCCATCATCCGGGGTGTATTTTGTTGATTCTTCATGCCGAAATGTATCTAATGTACTCTATATCGGCTCGGCGTTTGGTTGTCTCTTGTACAGGATTTACAAGTTTAACAGACATATTTCTTTTCCAACTTTCAATAATCCAAATCATGCCTCATTATATCATTAGCCATTAATATATCATCATACTTTACCGCGCTATACAACTATCTCGACTTGCGCTCTTCAAACTCTAGTCTCTCAACCGGAGCAAGATACATCCGCTTCAAGATCCATCCAAAGCAAATAACATAAAGCGCCACAGCAATGATCTCAATCCGTTGTCTCAAAGGGATCCGATCTAAATTGGGATTAGGGACACCCAGTACACCAGTATGTTCCTTCTCCCACCCCTCACACACCTGTCGGAATCGTCCGGGCTCGTCGGATATCACTCCGTCGACCTCGTGTCGGATACACCAACGCATTAAATTCGGCGCATTCACGGTCCAAACATACACTTTACGTCGGGCTGCACGCGCCTCGTCTAGAAAACCTCGTCCTAGCGGGCCCATCAGGATCATCTGGTTGATGTTGAAGGATATAAGCGGTACTTGGAGGAACTGGCGCGCGTAGCTCACGTCGACGCAGACTAGCGTCACTGGGTATAGTGGTAGATGCTGTGTGCGCGCGGGTAGGTATCGTGCAGACCAGCAGCCGAGAACGATTCGGCGGTGCCATTCCGTTCCGATCGCGGGTATGGGTACTGACTCGATTGTTTTGGCGATTCGTTCCATTATATCGAAGGGTTCGTTTGCGAGCTGGGAAGCGGGTCGAATGTTAATCGTCTGAGACAGACTGTCTGAATGGGAGGAACTGCTAACCTTTATATCTAGCAAGATCCAGAAATTCTCCCGACCCGGTTGACTTAGGTATTCCAACACATCGACCAACCGGGGCATGGGTTCATGGGGCGCTTGTAGAGTTCGCAGAGTTTTCAAATACTCCCAATCACAGTCGATGACCTTTTTCTTGATACCGTAACAGCGCATGAGGCTTGCGTCCTTGAATCGATGAGCGTGGTCCTAGATCGTGGAGTGTGTGTGCCTACATGTGATAACACCACGATCCCATCGCGGGAGATGTGAAGGTCGAGCTCGAGGGCTTGAGCTCCTGCCCGGATCGCTCCATCGATTGATAGTAATGTGTTCTCGGGATATTGGCCTTTGAAGCCTCGGTGGGCGATGGCTTGAGGTAACCGCGGGAAGGCGTGGGTAACCGGTGAGTGGTGGAAATGTGCTTGCGGGGAATGAGTTAGCTTGACAACGCCTATTATGGAGGGTTGTGTACCTGGAATTTCATGTGTATGCTCTTCTAGAGCTAGAGGTGATGCGTCGCCCATCTTGAGAGGTGTTGTGAGAGTTGGTGGAGAGAAGAATGGAGATCGGATGATCGAAGAGGGAGGGCATCGGAGTTTGGCGGAGTTAGGCCCCGCCGCACGGTTTACTGTGCACTGTTCATATTTGCTGACTGGAATTGCATTTCTGTCATGTGCGACAAGAATAAATGGTCGGGATGAGCATTCGACATATTCAGAGGGTTATCCACTGAGAGAAAGCAGCCCTGGTGTCTTGGAGAGAAGTTGGCGAGGTCGAATACCTCGATTACTCAGCTCCTGCAGGCCTGCAGAGCCCCACCTGAGGTCTCAATGATGGATCCATACTCCAAATTTCTCCAACTTGATTTATAACCTGCTTCAATTCTTGACTTGTTACGATCCTTCTCAATTATTGTTCTTCAATCGAAAAAATGGCCGTTCGACAATGGATCACGCCCTTGAAGGGCATTGACAGCCTTAGCCAGACCGAAGCTCCAATGCCCGCACCAGGGCCGAGCGAAGTATTGGTAGAGATACGAGCTGTCTCTCTGAACTACCGCGATGTGGAAGGTAAGTCGCCCGCCAAGACCAGAAGTGCATGAATCAGGCTGACCGAATTGCTCAAAGTGACCAAGGGCGAGTATAAGCATCACAAAACCGCCGAACAGGATGCCACCATTGTGCCCTGCTCGGACATGTGTGGAGTGGTGACGCAGGTTGGATCTGGGGTGACCAAGTGGATAGTCGGCGATCGGGTGCTTTCGACTTTCCTCCCCGATCATCAAACGGGCCAAGTGACCGAAAAAGAGCTCGGCAGGAGTCTGGGGCTGCCGCAGGATGGTGTCCTTGCAACCCACCGCGTGTTCCCCGACTACAGCTTGGTAAAAGCGCCTAGCTTCATGTCTGATGAGGAGGCGGCTACGCTTCCCATCGCCTCGGTCACGGCGTGGATGTCTATCAACGGCATGCGTCCGATGGGCCAGAGTGGCGGGAAGGACGAATATGTCTTGCTCCAGGGAACTGGTGGTGTAGCTATCGCCGGGTTACAGATTGCAAAGGCCGCTGGCGCAAAGGGTGGGCAATGTGATTTATTACCTTTTATTGGACGCAAACGCTGATCATGCAAACAGTCATTATCACCTCCTCGTCCGATGCGAAATTGGACCAGGCTAAAGAGCTAGGTGCTGATTTTACTATCAACTACCGCACCAACCCGAACTGGGAAGCCGAAGTGATGAAGGTGACTGAGAACCATGGCGCTGATATCATCTTGGAAGTTGGCGGCGCCAAAACACTGCGGAAGAGCTTTGATTGTATCGCCTTCGGAGGATTGATCAACTGTATTGGCTATGTCTCAGGCAAGATGGATGCTGATGATGACCGCCTGAATGTGAATCTGCTGGCTCTCCGTCGGACGGTGACCCTCAAAGGAATTATTAACGGTCCCAAGGATCGGTTCGAAGAGATGATCCGTTTCTACGAGAATACTCAGGTTCATCCAGTAGTAAACCGGGTCTTTTCGTTTGCCGAGGCCAAAGAAGCATTCAGGTTCCTGGAAAGCGGCACCCACTTTGGCAAGGTAGTCATCAAGATTCAATAGAGCCTTGAAGCTCTAAAAATGAAATTCATTGTCAAATTATGTGGGAACATTCAATTCTGATCATTGCCACTTGGCTTGAGAATTCCAGTCGCAACTCCCAGGTCTTCTCCCATTTCCTTCCCAGCTACCGTCAATTTCTTGCAATCCTGCAGCACAAACAGGAGACGGGCCCATTCCGTCTTGCTGGGGTTGCGCCATCCATGCATCGTAGCCCGCTGTACCGCAACATCCCCTCGGTTCATGATGACTGGCTCGCTATCTTCCAAGACCATTTCAATCTGCCCCTCAAGCACAACGCCGTAGTCGAGACTCTGTGTCCGGTGCACTACAACAAGGTTGTCCGGGGCGAAGTCCACAATTCGGCATACGGTTCCACCAGGGTTGACGAGGCCCAGCTCGTTCGATTGTGTCAATGTCTCGTGGGTCTTGATATCCGCATCATTGTTGAGATCTGGAGGGAATTTGGTCGTGTAAACAACATTGAAAGCCATCTTGCTTTCTTCAAGTGATTCCCATTCAGCCGGTGTCGAGGAATGGATTACTGCTCTCCCGGCCTCGTTGTGGCCTGTGATATGACGAGTGACGGGCCGCAAAGGCGACATTTGGCTGGTATTGGAAGCCATTGTTTATATGGCGTTAAGTGTGTTTGGAGGTGTCAAACTGTTGAAATCAGATAATTGTACAACGTGAGGCCTCTCGGATGGTTTTATAGTGATGTCGACACCACCAGACACGTACCTTGGTCCACGTGATGCGGGGCAGGTTGCATACCAGCTCGTACACCGGTGAGCTGGATGAGAAGCGCACATCCTTGTTCGATGTGGGTATGTTCGAAAGCTACTTTTTGTACACATCAGATCTGATTGAAAGATTGGCAATTGGGTTGCCATTTTGGGCGGACACTGCGGGCCTAATGGCTCATGATTGTGAGATTGATTACTTAAAGGGGAAAACAGAGAGGAATGCACCAGAGATATTCGGCTACATCGATGCCCTGGTCCGAGGTAGGTTCATGATTCTTTCTCTACCTTGGTCCACGGGTAGGTACCGGCACCATCTTACGCCAAGCACGCCTCCAGGGCTGGGCACTAAAAGGAGATTTGGATTAGTTGAATATCTCAAAGGAGTCCGGAGTCCGGAGTAACTTTGGTTTAATATAGTTTCGGTTGCTCTATACCGAGTCCCTCCAAGGTTAACGAATTTCGCTGACTTATTCCAACCCCAATTTTGTCCACCCGACCCCAAATGCTACATAACCCTGAATTAACGGCACGGACCCTGAATATTCCAAAAGAGGAAAAACAATCGCTAGACAGGCTCCTCTACCCCAGAAACCCCCACGCTTTCCGTTTTGCGGGGAGATTTCGCGGGGAAAAGGGCAGCAGTGTATTATGGACAGATTGATATTCATTTCGCTGAACTAAGTACAGATATGACGTCCGACCATCCTTTTACAAGAACCACCGGAACTCAACAGATGCCGGTCCGTCTCTCATTCGCTCCGTCGGAATATCCCGTGCCCGAATCGTAACTCCATCACGACGATCGCGTCGCTTATTATCCAGCCACATGTAAAATGCCAGTGCAGCCGTCAAACAAGCGCCAGTAGCACCGAATGCAGCAACACTGATCAGCGCGGGCATATACTTGGGTGCATCTTGCTTCCGGAACAAGTTGCTACTCACCAAGCCCATCAAGTTAGCTAGTGGTACGCCGATACTCGTCAACAGTACACGGCGACCCTCGTGGGCGATGTTATTATTATACCAGGTGCTGAGCATGACGGATGGAGCGGACGTTCCCCATGTCATCATGAAAGTTGCGAAGTAGGCGACCTGTATTTCATTCTGGACATCGTCAATGGATGCATAGATCATGAACCCCGCGAAGGTGAACAGGAAACCCAGAATAATGAATGGCGATCGGAGTCTGGTCCAATCAGAGGAGAAGGCGAGTATCAGCAGCATTACTGCCCCTGTCACATTTGGTGCAACGGTGTACAGGTTGGTTTTGACGGTGGGATAACCCAACCGTCCAACGATCTGCGGCATGAAAAGTGCAACACCCTGCAACGGTACACCGAGACAGATTTCAATGCACAAGAAAGCGTATGTAGTGGGATGCTTGAAGATGCCAAGGGCCTCGCGGAGGCTAAACTCCTCATTGACGACTGCACTAGAGTCGACTTGGATTCGGTGGAAAGCTAGCGCCTTCTCCTCCTCAGACAAGAACTTTGCCTCTGCGGCGCTCCGTGGGAGATATATGAACGCGAATATAGCGAAGAGGACTGTAACGCCGCCTTCAATAATGAACAGATAGCGCCAATTGGGGATATTAGATCCCTCGATCTGGAATACTCCGAATGCGATGAGTCCAGAGAAAGCGTTTGCAATGTTCGATGCAGCATAGAAAATAGCCAGACGACGAGCCAGCTCGCCACGACGGTAGAATGTGGTCAAGTAATAGATGACGAGCGGGAAGAATGCGGCCTCGGACATACCCAGGAACCAGCGCAAGGCGAACATACCGCTGAAATTGTAGGCGGCCGAAGAGAGCATTGTGAAGGAACCAAATGAGAACATTAGGATTGGAAGTACGCGCGCCGGACTGAACTTCTTTCCAAGCATCGAGAAGGGCGGTGCGAAGATCACGAAAGGAACAAAGAAGATCGATAGTAGGAGGTTGTACTCATTTGGCTTGAAGTTCAGGTCTGCCCGTCTAATTAGTCTCAAGTGTCTGCCGCTTGGATCGAGGATCATACATACCCTTGCTCATTCCATCAGTTTCTGCATTTCCCAGATTTCCCTTGTCTAGGGCATTGAATAGGTCTGTCGCTAGTTAGTTCCCCGCATGTCAAACAAGATTGCCCAGACTTACACATAACTGCTAGGATAGGGAGCAGGCGATAGTCAAACTTCCGACAGAGACGCCGTTCAGCCTTGTGGTCGACGACTCGGGTCACCTCGTCCATCACACCCGGGACAGAGCCATAGCCTTTCAGCATGCTGGGCTCTTCAGTAGTGCCCACTGTGTCTGTTTTCTTCATTGTGGCATCAGGCGACGGTGCGCGCGCTGGACTCGTCATGTTGTATACACCTTGTTATAGACAAAGAAATATAGGAAGCGAAGTCAAAGTTATAAGCTCCGATACTAGCTTCCTCTTATCAAAAGAGAGGTGACATCCCTTGTTCTATTAGATAAGAAGACCTCGGGAATGTTGCATCGCCCATGCATGGATAGCACCCCCACGTTTCTCCGCATCAAGCTTCAGCTGAATAGGTAAAGATCAACTGAGACGGTCGCATTCGGGCTTTATGGGCTGTCTACAGGCTTATCTGCGGGGAAATGATAGATACCTCTCTCGCACGCTTCAAAGATTTGAATCCTATATCCCGATTGTTGTATATGTTCGTATCGCAGCTGCCCCTTTCTCTCCCTTGATAGCTCAAGCAGATAGTGTCTCGCCGATTTACGCTTGCTCTGAAATTTGTTCTAGATATTTCTAGGACTAGAAGATCTGGAAACTGTAAACTTAGGGGGTGGATCCCCATTCCGGCGTGGAAAGCAGGGTTGCATCCGTCGCATGACCTCACCGCATTAAGCCACCGTGGAATATGACAGCAGATTTGATTAGAAAATTCCCCAAGCTTTTTTTGAATTCCCAGGGACTTGAACTTTATTTGAACTTCTATGTCTTTTCTTCAAGATATATTAGGGCATTCGTTGCAACCAGGCGGCGCAATCGTCCCAGGATTGTAAATTACATTTTTAGTCCCAATTCGAATCACTTACTTACTATTCTTAAATTGAAAAATAATATCGTTTCAGCGAGCAATAGCACCATACGAAGACAATATATACCTTGTATCCAAGAAGAGCGACTGCTTAGGATGATCTGAGGTTTATATATCCTTGTTTCTTCATGGACACCCCAGGGGGCGCGTGGACGTCATCGCGGCCTTAGCGGAGATATTGCAACATAAATCACGGGGACACCTTTGTTTCTACATCTGTCATCCACTATTATTCTTCAGGATGTCGACATTTACCCAATTATCCAGGATGTCGCCAAAAGAATAGCTGCATTTAACCACTTCCCCGCAATTTGTCTTCACGGAGAGTATATGCAGCGGGGCAATATATGAGGAAAATTATTGAACAGAATTTACCCACATTATCCGGACAAAATCCTCAGGTAAATGGCTATAAATTGGAGTTTGAAATGTGGGGAAAAAGGTGACTCTTATACCAGTTGGTCAACTATCTGCCACGACTATGACTATGTTTCAACTCAGATCTATATTTTTAATCGCTCTGTCATGTGCGAGTTTAGTATCATCTTACCCTTTGCTGGCCCGAGAAAACTATGACGGCAAGGCGAGAGACTCCCACTGGGTGAATATATGGACCACAATGCCCCAGCTGGTCGAGCCCGCTAATCTACCCCCTGTTCCATTTGTAAGTTGAAAGCCATTGTCATAGTAACCAATGTCTCAATACTGACCGTGGAGTCAGAATGGATCCACCACTGTCTTCAGTAATACTACAATTCGTCAAACCCTCCAAGTTTCATTGGCTGCACAGGAGATCCGTATTCGACTTTCTAATGCATTTGGGCCAAACGATCTCAGGATCACGAAAGTGACTATCGGTCTACCAGAGAGACAGAAGGTGGGAGTCAGTGGTCTACAAACCAAGACATTGAAAACTGTATTCTTCGATGGAAGCCCGGACCTGGAGATCCCGAACGGTGGACTGGTTGTGTCTGATCCAATAAAGTTCCCCATTGAGGCCCAATCAGCTCTCATGCTCAACATATATCTTGCAGAGGGACAGAAAGGCTTCTCTATTACTGGTCATCCTGGAAGTAGAACGACATCATACCTGGCTTTGGGGGATTGGACTGGCGCAGAGAACCTCACGGACTCATCTGTTCAAAGCACAGATCATTGGTGAGCTTCTCTCCCGCAAGCCGTTCAACTAACCTAAATGCGAACCTGTATCTAAACTCTATCTCAGGTACTTTATGAGTGGGGTAGAGGCTTTGCTATCTTCTGAGTCTAGTGGCTTCGTGATCATTGGCGACAGTATCACTGATGGGCGAGGAAGCACTACAAATGGCAATGATCGGTAAGTGGCCCGTCTTACAGTGCATGTTTATAGCTGATGAATGTAGTTGGCCGGATCTATTACTGGCAAGAATGCAAAAGCACAAACCCACGTCAAAAGTCGCCATTCTCAACCAAGCCGCTGGCGGAAATCGAATCCTACAAGATGGCCTCGGTCCAAATGTGATCAGTCGTCTGGATCGGGACGTCCTAGCACAATCTGGAGTGCGATATGCGATGATCTTCGAAGGTGTCAATGATATCGGTGTCGCCGATAGTGATGCAGCCACGCAGGCGGAGATTGAGAAGAAACTTGTTGCGGCATATAAACAGATCGCGACACGGGTGCATGCTCTAGGCATTCCGATATTTGGTGCTACTATCACGCCGTTCGGCTCGCCGCCGAGCTCTGACTATGTGCAGCCTTACTCAAGTGCCGTGCGGGAGAGGACTCGTCAAAGAATTAATAAATTTATTCGGGAAAGTGATGTGTTTGATGCGGTACTGGACTTTGACCGTGTGTTGAGGGATCCACATGCGCCATCTCAGTTGCTGGAAAAATATGATTCGGGAGATCATCTTCATCCTACTGTGGCGGGGTATCAAGCTTTGGCTGAATATTTTCCTCTCGCGGTATTCGAGTGAAAATTGAAAATCGCATGATGATTCTCAAAGGCTAATGACAGAAGAATGATTCCGAGATTTTTGTCCACAAATGCAAATATAAGTACATAGTTTTCAAATCACGAACAAAGGAAAGCTTCAAACGTTTCGGCAGAAAGATAGAAACTTTAAACACGACGCTTGAAGCGGTTTTGAACATTGCGCTTGTAAGCGCCACCACCGATCAGAGCCTGCTTGCGTCCAGGGCCAAAGTCAGGAGCACCACCCAGAGAACCAAAGATATCACCAATGTAGTTATCGGCCTCGACACCAGCAGCAAAAGTCTCATCCCACCCGTCCAAAATACCTTCGACGACCTTGATACCAGCAACATAGAGATTCTTGATAGCGGGCTCAAATGCGCCCTGCTCCGAGGATTGGAAGAGGTTGTACGTCGCTGAAGCACCGGGATAGGGGCGATCAAAGTCCGACGCAGTGCGCATGACGATAATGCGGGAGAAATCAGTCAGCTTGTGGATCGATGATCGGAGCAAGACTTCAAAGGTGGCGTTATCCTCCTGTGCGGTTGCGCAATAGTCACCCGTTCCATTAGTCAACACCTTGGTAGTGTTTTCAAACACCGAGCCGAGGATATTGCCGCTGAAGTACACGTCGGTGGTCGCAACGTCGCATTCAACAACACTAGGGGGCAAGGTGGCAGCCTTGTACTTCCCACTGGGGGTCTTGTAGCGGGCGCGGTAGGCCTGGGCTACAGTGGAGTCGGACAGGTTTGCCTTGCGCGCGAAATTGGCGGCAATCGTGCGCAGGTTGGCGTTTACCTCGAAGACCTCTGTGCCGTAGATGCTGGTCGGGTACTGGCCTGGGAACTTGGTGCCTTGCGCGATATATCCGGTGGTGAAGTTGCTAGGAAGCTCGCGGAGATCAATTTCGTACTGCAGAGCGACTTGAACTGCATACCGGGCAAAGGTTGCAGATGCAGTGGTGACTTTCTTAGGGTTGACGCCGGCAATGCCCGCGACGAAGAAGTAGGTTTGTGTGAGATCGAACAGAGGGGAGAAAGCGACGGAGGTCACAGTAGCAGCAGCATTGATCTCGCCTTCTCCAGTGATGAGCTGGCAAACTTCATAGTCCTCGGTGCAGTGAACGTCCGGGAATAGAGGTGAGAGACCAGGAATGGTGATATTGTGGGAAAGCAAGTCGAATTCGGGGATGTTCCACCAAGCTTCGGCTTCAGGTGCGAACTGTCATAATTTATTAGTGACATTACATTTCTTTTTGGTAGAAGCGCTTACCATTGACACAATAAACACCTTAGGAGTAATTGCTCCACTGTGATCATTCTGGGCGATCCCAGTAGCTCCAGCGCATAGTGAGCTGCTAGTGAGCAGCAACGAGGCCGTCAAAGTTTGTAGGAGGCGCATGGTGAGGAAATGTGCAGTTATAATTGGAGCTCTATTCCTGCACGGGGCGAGACCTTTTATTTAAAGAGCGAAGATTTTGTGTTCCTTGCGTCTTTCACACTACGGATGGACCATCGCCGATCAGTGGATATATTGGGTACCCGATTAGGGCAAGATCAACATCAGCTCGGGAGACTCCCGAGATCGCCTTAGCTCCCGAATGAAAGCCCCAAGAAACCTTGAAAGCAATGATACAAAAACTAAAGATTTCTGAATCTAAGATAGTAGAAATTCTTAATTTATGAATCCAGCATTTGACAGACGAGACTTTTAATATCGAAGATTAAGAGAGAGAATGGGGAACAATTGATTATCACGGTCGTTCGAAGTATAGTGCATTATTCCATCTTTGCCAGACTCTAAGATTCATATGATGAGATACAATGGTATTCGAAATTAGACACGAAATATGTTTCTCCAAACCTATCCTGAAACTTACTACGCAGTATACCAAATGTAGTTACAACCATGAGGAACCCTGGTTGGCATAATTTCACGTATTATGCGAAAGACCTAAGATATGGCCGAGGAACAACTGGTTTAATTGAATCAGGTTCTAAACGGTTCTGTAGAAGAGGGACCAAGAAAAATCATAGGCTGGCGTATTTGCGGACTAGCATGCTAATCCGAGAGCCCAGAGGGCTCTGTGGAAGTGGCCTGAGTCTGTTTCGCCAATTGATTTTCAGTAGATGCACCGCTGCAAAGGTTACCGCTGGATTTGGTAGACACGGAGCTACCAATGCGACCCCAGTCATTTAGAGCAGAGGTTGAGGATATTGTATCCGGGTGGCCAGGGCCTAATGATCTGTTGCGGAGCTGGGCACATTGTGTCATAACTTGTACAGCAGTATCAAGTTGACCTAATGACCTCAAAATATAAGCAAAGTTGTTCATGCTTATCAGAGTGTCGGGATGCTCTGACCCGAGAACCTGCTTGCGGGTCTCTAGCACGTGCACGTAGAGCTCTTCAGCCTCCTTCCACCGTCCCTGGTTGGAGTAGGTCGATGCTAGGATGCTCTGGCCCGAGTACCGGCTTATAGGTCTCTAGCACCTGCACTTGGAGCGCTTCAGCTTCCTTCCACCGCCCCTGGTTGTAGTAGGTCCATGCTAGGTTGTTTATGCTGCCTAGAGTGTTAGGATGCTCTAGCCCGAGAACCTGCTTACGGGTCTCGAGCACCTGTACTTGGAGCGCTTCAGCCTCCTTCCACCGCCCCTGGTGGGAGTAGGTCGATGCTAGGTTGTTTATGCTAGTTAGAGTGCTAGGATGCTCTGGCCCGAGTACCGGCTTATAGGTCTCTAGCACCTGCACTTGGAGCGCTTCAGCTTCCTTCCACCGCCCCTGGTTGTAGTAGGTCCATGCTAGGTTGTTTATGCTGCCTAGAGTGTTAGGATGCTCTAGCCCGAGAACCTGCTTACGGGTCTCGAGCACCTGTACTTGGAGCGCTTCAGCCTCCTTCCACCGCCCCTGGTGGGAGTAGGTCGATGCTAGGTTGTTTATGCTAGTTAGAGTGCTAGGATGCTCTGGCCCGAGTACCTGCTTATAGGTCTCTAGCACCTGCACTTGGAGCGCTTCAGCTTCCTTCCACCGCCCCTGGTTGTAGTAGGTCCATGCTAGGTTGTTTATGCTGCCTAGAGTGTTAGGATGCTCTAGCCCGAGAACCTGCTTACGGGTCTCGAGCACCTGCACTTGGAGCGCTTCAGCCTCCTTCCACCGCCCCTGGTTGGAGTAGGTCGATGCTAGGTTGTTTAAGCTGCCTAGAGTGTCAGGATGCTCTGGCCCGAGTACCTGCTTATAGGTCTCTAGCACGTGCACGTAGAGCTCTTCAGCCTCCTTCCACCGCCCCTGATTGTAGTAGGTCGATGCTAGGTTGTTCATGCTGCCTAGAGTGTCGGGATGCTCTGACCCGAGAACCTGCTTACGGGTCTCGAGCACCTGCACTTGGAGCGCTTCAGCCTCCTTCCACCGCCCCTGGTTGGAGTAGGTCGATGCTAGGTTGTTTAAGCTAGTTAGAGTGCTAGGATGCTCTGGCCCGAGTACCTGCTTATAGGTCTCGAGCACCTGTACTTGGAGCGCTTCAGCCTCCTTCCACCGCCCCTGATTGTAGTAGGTCGATGCTAGGTTGTTCATGCTGCCTAGAGTGTCGGGATGCTCTGACCCGAGAACCTGCTTACGGGTCTCGAGCACCTGCACTTGGAGCGCTTCAGCCTCCTTCCACCGCCCCTGATTGTAGTAGGTCGATGCTAGGTTGTTCATGCTGCCTAGAGTGTCGGGATGCTCTGACCCGAGAACCTGCTTACGGGTCTCGAGCACCTGCACTTGGAGCGCTTCAGCCTCCTTCCACCGCCCCTGGTTGGAGTAGGTCGATGCTAGGTTGTTTAAGCTAGTTAGAGTGCTAGGATGCTCTGGCCCGAGTACCTGCTTATAGGTCTCTAGCACCTGCACTTGGAGCGCTTCAGCTTCCTTCCACCGTCCCTGGTGGGAGTAGGTCGATGCTAGGTTGTTTATGCTAGCTAGAGTGACGGGATGGTCTGACCCGACAACCTGCTTATAGGTCTCTAGCACCTGCACTTGGAGCGCTTCAGCCTCGTTCCACCGTCTCTGGCTGGAGTAGGTCCATGCTAGGTTGTTTATACTGCCTAGAGTGTCGGGATGCTCTGACCCGAGAACCTGCTTATAGGTCTCTAGCACCTGCACTTGGAGCGCTTCAGCCTCGTTCCACCGTCCCTGGTTGGAGTAGGTCGATGCTAGGTTGTTTATGCTGCCTAGAGTGTCAGGATGCTCTGGCCCGAGTACCTGCTTATAGGTCTCTAGCACGTGCACGTAGAGCTCTTCAGCCTCCTTCCACCGCCCCTGATTGTAGTAGGTCGATGCTAGGTTGTTCATGCTGCCTAGAGTGTCGGGATGCTCTGACCCGAGTACCTGGCTGCGGGCGTTCACCAATTGTAACAGCAAAATTTCTGCGTCCTTCCATCTCCCGCCAAGCGAATATGCTAGCCCGGCAATTTCAGAACTATGAAGGGTGTTTTCATTATCTGGACCAAACAATCTCGTTCTTGTTTTCATAGCCAAGACTGCCATCTTCTCACACTCGATGGCATCTCCCTTTGTGAACGCAAAGAATGCTGCTCTATGCACTAGGCTAGCCCATTTTTGCAACATGCCTTCCTCATCTGGCCGTTGCGTGACAGCAGATTGTACATGTGAAAAGAGCGGCTGACATACAGGCCAGTTCTCAAAACTTCCGATCGGAAACGCATGATAAAGTATCTCGATGAATTGTTGCTTCCAACGTTCGAGTTGTCCATGGTGCTCAAGCCACTTGTGCGTAGCAAGTTGCACGAGCCGATGCATTTCGAAAGTGGCTTCATCCACGCCGATCGAAATCATTGAGTAATTTCTCAATACCAGGATATTCTCTTCAAAGTCATCGTCCACGCTAGAGTCCGATTCAGTCGTCTCATCATAGTCGTATATTTCATTCTCGTCTTTCGAATATTTATCACCACTTTCCTCCGCTGGCTGATGTTGAAGGAGAGTGCCAGGAATGCCTTGGCGGTCGAAGAAACTCATAAGTGACAAAAGGTCGGCTGCTGCTGGTTGAATTTGCTGTATGTGGTTGAAGGATATTTGCCACGTAATAAGGATGGAGTTATTCGCTTCCCTATCCCGACGCAGCCGTCCCGCATCATGCGCTAGGAGCCTTGTTCTCCTATGGTCATTCTTCTGAAAATCTGCGAGATACTGTGGCACCGAAACCCGTGGCGCTCTCTGCTTGATGTAGTTTGCAGCTTGCACGATCGCAAGTGGCATATAATCAAGCGCAGTAGCGAGCTGAATGATGTTTTCTTTCTCGGTTTGGGCTCCTAGCTTCTTTTCAAACAGCATCGTTGCGTGTGACGGATCCATCGGCTCTATCGTAATTATATTGCTGTCTTCCACCATGCTAAGTGCTGCGCCTTTGCTTCGGGATGTTATGATCATTGACCCGTTGAGGCTAATCGGGAGGTATGTGAAGAGTGGTGGTGCACCGCTGTGACTACTTTGCCCGCCTTGGGGGAGCGGCGGAACTTCGTGGAGGAAGCGACTATCATCCACATTGTCAAGGATCAGAACCCATTTTCCATTTCTCTCATCGACAAGCCAGTCGTGAAAGAGTTTGAAAATATTCGCGGTGGGATCCCTCCGTCCCGGGATCTTGACTCGGTCGGCGATATCTCGGCAACTCTGTTCAAAACGAGCGGCATTACCTGCGTGAATCCAGAACGCCCACGTCGTAGGCGATTCTTCTCGGATTCGGTAACAGCATTCGATCGCAAGTTGAGATTTTCTTTCGATGTATTAGCAATGACCAATCTGCAGACCATCTCCACTTACCCCACACCACCAAGCCCAACAAGCGCTATCCGAGCTCCTGGTGTCGTTCCTTTCTCGCATACTTGGCCGAGCAGTGTTCCACGATCGACAAAGTCTGGGTCACGAACGAAGGGAACAGTTGATCCAGGTGGAGGTGGGATTTCTGGTCGTTCTCGCTCTAGGCCTGCAATAAATGATTAGTCTGACCTTAGTGCCCAGGTGATGGCTTTGTGAAACCTACCTTGGGACAGATGGATCGATCCATAATTAACTCCCACCTGAGTCCCCGAGTTTGTGCTTCCACTAAAGTCAGCTGATATGGAAGTCATAGTCAATACGCTCGAAGTTGTGTGTTGGATCAACCGTCTGATCTCCCAAACGCACCATCTTCAGCCTCACTATCATGTGACCTAGGCGCCTAAAAATGTATGTGCATCTTCCATCGTTAGAGGCCTAGAGGGTCAAGCGCACCTTACCCGGCCAGTGCGTTAGTATCTGTATTTGCCGCACTCCAAGCTTTCTCCACGTTAATAATGACCTTGACGTATTGTTAGAAGGCATGGAAGTTAGTGTGAGAACGCCAGATTGCTTTGATAGTTGAACGATTTCACATTGAGCTGATAGATGATTCTGATGCTCGTCTATCGGGGCTATTTGCTACTACCCCGCCTCCTAATCTTCAAGTTCGATTCACGAAGTTGACTGTCTGATATTCGTTTTTGACCAGTTTATGATATAGAGATGGTATGCTTTTGGTGGTAGTGTGGTTTATCTTGCATTTGAGTTATTAGTTATGCAGGCATGTTGTCGAGCTGGGAAATTACACAACTAAACTAGATTTTCCTTTGCACTCCGGTTTGGTCGGTTATACTATCTGAGCCTTAGATAAATTAAATAAATTACCCTCAATTTTGGTGAATTTTGGTGAAAAGATAGAAAGGCCTCTAGGGCTATTAGTATGTAGTAGTTTTCGTTATATTTGAACTTTGAATGCATACATATCCAGTTGATTGGCACCCAAAATTGGCTGGTCAGAATGTTATGGGTCCTCAGCTGAAACCAGATCTGGCGCCCCACAGTTGGTACTTATGTACGGAATAGTAGATGCGCTATACTCTGTAGACCTATCTTACAAACTAATCTGGTAGGTGTAGTAGTGCTCCGTACTCCGTAGATATTTTCTAGATCTACTCCGTCTAGGATCCACTCTCCGTCGAATACAGCTATCGATTCTATCCCCCATGATCTTTTTCCTCACACATCTTGGCTCGATCCTTGGCGTGATATATCACTTACATATCTCTTCCATAAAAGTATTTATGCCATGATCTTCTCTTGGGGGCCTAGTCAGAAACGATGCCGAAGAACAGAAAGCAGAAATTGATATGTTCAGCCGGCCTAATAACACAGCTCAAGGAAAGCAACACTGTGGAAGTGTGGAAGTCTACTAATATGGGTGATCATGTGACATAATGCTCTCCAGTATTAGATTACTATGAAGGCTGTCAAATATCTCCTTCTTGCACGGATCTAAGTGGTTTGGATGATGGTGTTACGTATAGCTAAACAGGATTCTCATCCTTCAATTTGTTGTAGTCCTCTTTTTATACTCTCGCTAGGCAGAAGAGAACCACCAAAGATTCCAACAAAGGATATCAAAAAGAAGTTGCCAATGGCCCCATTTGTTCACTTGATTCCAAGTGCTTTCTTACTCTATTCCTTGTTGCTAGCGGATGCACCCATTGGAATTGGCTGCATTTTGTGGAAAACATTCTTTGGATCGTACTTCGCCTTCACCTCTTGCAGTCTTTCGAGGTTCCCGCCGAAGATATTGCTTACCACCGAGTCACCAGCTGGGTAAGATATTAGTATCTATTGACATGCAGATAATGTTGTCTCAGGTGGACTCACGTTCTGCGTAGTTGATGTACTGAGGCACGCTCGAATGAGTACCCTGGTCTTTGGTTCTAGCATCCAATTCAACCTTCCACTTAGCCTGAACCTCTCGTGCCCAAGCACGGTGCGCCAGGTCTTTAGATGGGTCGGTCCATCTTAAATAAATGATACCATTCTGGGTAGGGTTTCTGCTTGCCAGCGCGGTTGCCGTCAGCGGCACTTCGCAAATCTTCCGCATGTCGGTAAATTCGAGAATGATGGCAGACGTCTTGAGATCTGGTTCACCCTGAATCTTGGCCATGAAATCATTGAAGATCATCCTGGCAAACTTAGGATCCAAAGGCGGCTCGTAGAAAATGCCCTTGAAAGACTTTCGGTCGCCGTAGGTCGCTTGCGGGTTCTGTAGGGTGTTCACCACAGGGTATGGGATCATATCAAGGGTATTCATAACTGGCTCAAGGGCTGTGAAGCTGGCGAATTTCTTTTCGCCTTCTTCGCGTGAGCCATTGAAGAAACAAATCACGATAATCATCGGTCCAGATCCATCTGGTGCCAACGCAAAAATGCTCATCGCACCGAAACAAGTATCAGGTTTTGCCAGGGATTGATTCAGTGCATCCATGACTCCTTCCAGCTTGTCGGCAGTGAATCCAAGAATACCAGAGTACACTGGCTCTTTCTGGTCATAGCCCTGGTAAGTGAAGTCTACCACAACACCAAAGTTGTACCCTGCACCTCGCAACCCCCAAAAGAGATCGGGGTTCTCGGTGGCAGAGGCCGTGACAATACGACCATCGGCTAAAACAACGGTCGCCGACAGGAGATTGTCAATAGTGAGGCCGTACTGTCCACTCAACCACCCATAACCACCCCCTAAAGTGAGTCCCCCAACGCCGGTGTGGTTCACCGTGCCTCCTACGGCCGCCAGACCGTGGGCTGCACCGCCTTCGTCGACTTCCTTCCAGGTCGCTCCACCCTGGGCGGTGATAGTCTTCCGCTCGATATCTACCGTCACCTTGTTCATGCGCGACAGATCAATCACTAGGCCGCCATCGCTTGAGCTTGTGCCAGCGGTTGAATGACCCCCGCCTTTCACAGCAAGATCGATACTATACTCTTGTGCCCAGGACAGCGCGATCGAGACATCGATCGCGTCAATTGGTTGGACTACAACGCCCTGCAACTTATCAGTCGGTCTTCTTGTTTGTTATCTTCCATTTCGTACCGCATATTTCATTCCAGTGTCTGACCAGCGGACTAGAACTTCTTTGTAACTCTGTGATTCAGGTGTATAGATAGTCGCGGTCCTTAGGCGGCTCCGCAGAGCCTCGAGGGCTATGGCATTGATCTCAGGCATGGTTGAGAGTGGGAAAATGGTGGACACAAGAATTTACCCCGCGTGTGGGTATTTCCCCTGTGTGACAAAGAGCGAGGATCTCGGAAGCTGAATTCGGCAAGATTTCGCGCACAGCCTTCAAATTTGTTTGTATTTTGTATTTGAGTTCCAACCAGCTTAGAAATTCCGAAGACTTCTGGTTCACACGTATGAGTTCTTGTTCCATGGTGGTTTCTTGCAGGATATATATATATATATATTCAAGTTGAGCAGCTTTTGATTCAAAATTTCTCTCCTAAACTATTTGAGGACCTGCTGAGAATACTTCGCATACAACTCGGAATACCACCGTTGGCCCACGTCCGGATGGCTTAGGATGCGATTTCTCAAATGAGCCTCACCGAACTGCGATCCGTTAGTCACATGCATGAAATCGGTAAACCAGGACCACTCACGCAAGAATATAAAGGAGAAAGGAATTCACTCGGGACATCAACTGCCCGCTTCTTCTTGTCATCGGAAGCCGGAATGCGCTGCACGATGTGAGCAGCGGATTCCTTGAGTTGATCCAGAGTCAAGTCTAGTCTCACGCCCTGGAAGAACGGGATGCTGTAACGGGTCTGAGAAGTGGGCGCCTAGGTGTAGCAGAGAGTTAGAAAAGTCGTCCAGTGGTGAATGATACGGTAAACATACGATAACTCGGTGTGTCGTGGCCGCGCAAATCCCTCCAGTGATCGCCTCGAATCCCTGTTGAATATTCACAACAAGACTCCCCTCGATAGGAGGCACGTCGATCCATTCTCCATTCTTGTTGAGTACCTGTAGTCCTCCTGTGTTGTCCTGAGACAGGAAGGTAAAAAGACCCGCCGAGTCCTTGTGAGGACCAACACCCTGGGAGTTTTGCGCAGCCTGTGGGTATTTGACAAACTTTAGTCGGCTCATGTTACCCTTGAAGCCATCGAATGTCTCCCGTGGGAGAGACAAGCTTTCTGCCACAAGGCGTACGAATGCTTGCGCCAGGCTATCAGTCTTCGCGATATATTCATCGACCAGGTCCTGAGCACCTGGGTAATCTGGGTACTATTGAGAGTTAGTGGTCGGGACGGGCCTCCAAAGGGGGTTTTACCTACTTGGTTAGGACCTTCAAGCCGTTGCCAAAAGGGGTCCTGTTCTGTCCAGGGTTTCACGCCGGGGGTGCCAAAGTCAAATTGCTACGGAAAATTAGTGCCCGAGAAATGCAGCACATTCCCAAAAGGAAACAATCTTACCTCGCGGAGATCTGTTTTGGTTGCAGTGGTTTCGGCACCGAGGCGAGTATACCCGAGGAACGAGGGCGAGTTAATCATGTTACATTTCTCCTTAGCCTCTGTTGACAGGGCAAAGAGTTCGGGTAGCTTTTCATGGGTATGGTGAATTATACTCTATGTTTGGGTCAGTATCCTGGTCACCCACATTGCTCGTCGCTCGTACCTCTAATCCTGTGTTGGTCAAATATAGGAACCCGACGACGAAGATGGCTTGACGTAAATTCGAAAGCTCCTCATCTTTAGTCACAGGATCGTTTAGCCGAGCAAAGTCGACGATCGGCACGGATGAAAATGTTTCTGTCATTCCGCCTATTGCAAGTGATGCAAGTGAAGTTTTGATGATTCGATTTCCCCGCAGATGCAGATGTACAGGGATTACTCAGCCAGTGAAGAATATGCAGGAAATATTCCAAGGTCAGACTTGGATATGCAAAAATGTGTCAAAGAGCTGAATATCGGAAGATGAGGGTTGTCAATGAGTTCGTTAATTAATGCGATCACGCCATTTGCCCCATATTCCCCATATTGCTGAAGCCTCCACCATACACAAAAAAAAAATTATATAGAACAAATTTCATAACCAACTCTGAAACTCCATGGGATAGAGGCTTCTTCCTGAAACTGTCAATGAAAACCTTATAACCTCCCCCTTAACGCTTCTGAATGCCAAGACCGGAGTCTTCTATCGAAACTTTCGTACCCTTGGCGACTCGTCACTCTGGATGTTTCAAATCATTTGTGGAAGTTATTCCGGCGAAGATGTCCTGTGAGTAACATCGATGATGATGATTTTCCATCCAAAGGGTGTCCATTCAGCAAGGTGTACAGGGGTGTCATTGACCTCCGAAGGGCTCGAACCCATTGCAGATTTAGGATCTCCTTCAACTAATGCCAAGCTTTCTGTCTCAGAGGAAACCGTGCAGTGACCTTGGCTATCAGAAAGGACACCCCTGAAGTGTCAGGATGATACTTGACATGTCGGAGAATTAAATTTCATGTCCACACCGGTAAATCTTCGGGTTGGCCAGACAGGGGGAAATTATCCAGCACGGAAATTCTCCAACAATCAGGAGGATGGTGGATATGGTTTGTGTCAGATGCGCGCATAGCTTCAACGAGCTCTACGGAGCTCTTGGGTGGTATATAAACCCCTCGGTCGACCGTGATATGCTCTCAATCTTTTGATATCAACTCACTCACACTCCGGCAAAGCATCCTCGAGACCCAGTCTGCTCTGTTCTTCCAAGATCTCTTTCTGTGTCCACAATGGCCCCTTTCAACTTGATCGCAGTTTCTCTGCTCAGCTGCTTGTCTACCCTTGCACTGGGAGCTCCTACTCCAACCAGCAATGAGGCAAAGCTGCTAGGAAAGCGCGCAAGCGTCAATGATGTGGGTGTCAATCCGCGCCTCGTTCAACAACTTCTTGATTAGCATCCTAACGTGGCTCTGAACTAGGTCGGTACCGGTTACGCCAGCCTGAATGGAGGCACCAAGGGTGGTGCTGGTGGCACGACTACCACTGTCTCCTCGTACGCTGCCTTCACAGCCGCAGTCTCGGGTGATGATGCCAAGGTTGTCTTTGTGAGCGGCCCCATCACCAAGACGGCCGATCAAGTCCGTGTTGGAAGCAACACTAGTATCATTGGCAAGGATGCGAATGCCATCTTGAGCGGCTTCGGCATGTATGTTGTCATTCCTCACCTCGGTTCGAGATAATACTAAATCAATATAGCCTGGTCAAAGAAAAGACCAACGTCATCATCCGCAACCTCGGTGTGAAGAAGGTTCTTGCCGATAACGGCGACGCCATTGGTGTTCGTGAGTACATCCTGCAGCATACTTATATATTCACGAAACAAGAAAAAGACTAACTCGTCTTAGAAAAATCAACCAACGTGTGGATCGACCACTGCGATGTCTCGTCTGACATGGACCACGACAAGGACTACTACGACGGACTGATCGATGTAAGTCCAGCCCACAAGTAAAATTCCAGCAACCCACATGCTAACACAAACTCCTAAGGTTACCCACGCCGCCGACTACGTCACTATCTCCAACACCTTCATCCACGACCACTACAAGGCCTCCCTGATCGGCCACTCGAACAGCAACAGCGCCGAGGACACCGGTCACCTGCGCGTGACCCAGAACAACAACTTCTGGTACAACATCAACTCGCGCGGTCCTTCCTTCCGCTTCGGCACTGGCCACATCTACAACAACTACTACCTGGATGTCGCGGACGGTGTCAACACCCGCAAGGGCGCCCAACTTCTGGTCGAGTCTAACAAGTTTGTTGGTAGCAAGAAGCCTCTCTACTCTACTGATGCTGGCTATGCTGTGGCCAATGATAATGACTTTGGTGGTGCGTCTAACACTGCTTTGGCTGGAACGCTCAAGTCGGTTCCGTACAGCTATACCCTGCTTGGATCGGGCAAGGTTGAGGCTGCTGTGTTTGGTACTGCTGGTCAGACTCTTGTTTTCTGAGGGATGTTGAGTAATTAGGGAATTGCTGTCTGAGATTCGCAATTTGTTTTTGTTTGGTTTGAATTTTGCGATTTAGGCTCTAGGAAATATATATGTTTGCAAGGATGCATAAATATCACATGCACGGTATTATGTGACTCAAGATATACTACAGTATGGTAGAGCTCATGAATCGAATTCAAGAGTGAGATCAAGAAAATGGAAAGATTAATGGGATCGACCTATACATCTCTACAAGTGAGACAATTTAAAGTTATCTGGCAGATTGAGATCGACCCAAGTAGTGCCTATTCCATTGCCAGGATTGGTGGATTAAACATTAAACGTGACTTCCTCCTACAAAAGTACGAATCCAAAAACTTTTGCGGAAACATCCACAGACATATCGATTTAGATATCGGGCTAATTAACCGGGTATCAATTAAAATGATCCACGCTCCACGCTCCAGTCCATGCAACCCAAACTCCGCCAGTCCTGTAATATGCTTTTTTTTATAGAGTACGGTCTCTCAGAAATGAATTCAACGAAACCAAGTCTTCACTGGGCGCTGGCGTGGGGAGGGCCATTTTAGTTGCGTCAAAGGCCCATGCCTCCTCACGTGCTTGTTCATTGCTTCTGATGTGGAATGTCATCATCCACTCTTTCAGTCTGCCTTCCAGCAAGCCCATGTCGCGGTTGCGTTCCCACATACGACGGGACTCTTTGAATGCGCGGTTGATGGTGTCGCGACGGAGATTCTCGTATGCGTCGAAGACCTCGGCTAGAGGCTCTGAGCGGTAGCTTGCCAGAATTCGAGAGAACAATATTGCGTCGTCTAGTGCGTATGCAGCGGACTCGTCACGTGGGGGCATCTGGATAATTTGTTAGAAATGAAAAAAAATAGCAGGGTTTGACCGAATGAGACATACCGCATGTGCTGCATCGCCCAGCAAAACAACTCGATTCATGCACCAACGTCCTCCCGGGGGAACTTGATATACGGGATAAAGCATCCAGTCCGCGTTACTCTCAATCATTTCTTTGATACAGGGAATAGCACATTTTCGGAAGCGATCTCTGATCTCCTGACGGAGAGCGCAGCGAATTTTGTTTTGGGTAGCCCAATCCTGACCAGGCTTAAGTCGATAGAGAGCCAACGCCTCGCGACTGAATTGCACGATAGCAGCCGCGAAGATCTGTTCCCGATCACGGTCACAATAACTCGCCAGCATTGAGCCATGTCGGGAGATATTGAGGGATGATGTGCGGAAGTGAGGACGGGAAGGAATAGAATTCGTATCAATGGTAGCCTGCAAAAACGACAAGCCCGTGTACTCAGCTGGGCGATCCACGTCGACGAAATTGGTCCGGACAGCTGAGTGGACTCCATCACAGCCGATAACTAAGTCACCCACAGCCTCAGTGCCATCTTCGAATCGCACCACGGCTCTATCCGCGAATTCCTCGCCACTGATGACCTTCTTCCCGAAGACAATCTCCACATTTCGGGCTCGCTCCGCCACGGTCAACATGGCTACGGAGAGAGAAATCCGCATAACTCTTCGGCCCTTGTACCCACCAAACCCTTTTCCTTGGTGGTCTGTAAAATTGATGGCACCGATCCCGCGGCCCGAACGCATGGAGAAAAGCTCAATAGCATCAACATCAGCACCGCCTTCGGGACCCATCCGGTCCAACTCATTTAACACGCCCAGCTGTGCGAGATGTCTTTGAGCAACGGGTGTCAGATTGATAGCACCGCCGGACGTCGAGAGGACATCATGTCGTTCGTAGACTGTAATTTTCAAGTCTGGTACAAAGGGAGACAGCTCCCGGGAGATGGACAATGCGCACGCGATGCCAGCGATGCCAGCACCGATGATGGCGATATTTTGCGGGGGACGAATTGGTTCTATCATTGTGTTGATTGTAGAAGGCAAAGTTTTTGAGAGAAAAGAAGTACCAAAGTGAGCTTGGCATGAGCTTATACAGATTTTTTTTTTCTTCTTTTTTTTTCCATCTGACGATTTCCGCTTATCCTAGAATTAATATATACTATGCACCTAAAAAAACTAACGGGCAGACTAGAAACCTCAAGGCTCGGCCGGGGCAGGAGATCCTTCGGGCATACCCATCCGTGGATTCCGAAGTGGATCATAAACCGTAGAAATCTCAAATTTGAATATACCTCACATAGTGAGATTCGATGTATCTCTCCGGGGCTAGATGTTTCGATGACATAGGTAAGCATTGGCGAGTGGCGTGAAGTATGGGGGAATCATTGACGGTCCGTGGAATGTTCGAACAAAGAAAATGACATGAAAATCTATTACGGAAGGAGTTCGGGGAAAGCTAAGAACGGAAAGAACCCGTTGGACCGGAGAAATATTGACAGCACCGTTCTTTGTTGTACTTTTTTTTCCACTTTCGGGACATAAAAGGACCACTTAGATACTCTACAGCTTATCTGGTAGCCTATTAGCTCCATTTTCTTTGTTTTCTAGATTCCAGTTCCACTTCGAACTTCCAACTTCTTCCAACTTTTTAGTCTGGGGTTGATTGTTCTGGGTAATTTAATATAGTATCTTATATATTAGACCTCGGTAAGTAGCAATCTAACGGTCTTTCGGGCCCCCCTTTGAAGTCTTTTTGTTACGCTAAGCTTAAAAATCGGGCTTGTCAATTTATTTTTATTTTTTTAATTAAAAATTTTAGCTCATTTTTCGTTTTTCCTTTCCTTTTTTTCTCCCGAATACCTTCCAATCCCAAACACTAGTGAAATGTGACCAATATAAACACGGCACATTCTTTGGATCTCATTTCTAATCTCCCAATTTCAGATCCCGCATCTTAAGACCGTTGAGGCACAGACGATTTTAAATTCCAGAAGGCGGTGAAAGAACAAAGTCCGCACATCCCCGCTGGCCGCATGAAAGTCTGCATTAGCGTCGAACTTGAAGAAATCAGGCAGGGGGCCATACCTAACACACAATTCATTCCATAATATCCGATTTGTTCCGTACCGTATCCCGCAACGATCGGCCCAACAAACATTCCCGATGTCCAGCTAATACTGGAGACGGATATCGCTCTCGAATATCCTCCATTCGGCCCAAAGATTCCAGGATTCTCGGCCTGAATCTCATCAACCGCTTCTGTAACCCTGTTATTACCCATCAAATGTGAGAAGTCCCTAAAAAAAAACTTACGAGTCGCCTCCATCATCCCCACCCCATTGAGCAAACATATCACAATTCCAATCCCCGTAACAGCTGCGCTGTATATAATCCATCCAACATTCTCTTGGCAAGCCCATGGAAACCGTTCATCCCCAGGAACACCAATAAGCCACATTAAAGGTACCAGAAGAGCAAAGCCTATCGTGGTCGGGTATCGCGTCCCCACCCGATCCTTCAGCCATCCGACAGGAACGCTAAAGAACACCGCGGGGCCCTGAAAAGCGGCGAATAACAAACCCGCGGGGAGACTCCCCCAATGAAAAGCATCGCGCACATGGAGGGGAAGCGTCGTGTCGAAACTGGCAGTCAAAACGGCATAGCAGAAATAACTAACCACCCCACCAACAAACCGACCATTCTTACACATGCATAGATAAAATTGTATCCCCGTTTTCTCCGGACTGCTCACCTGTTCAGCATCATGCGACCGTGGCAAAAGTACCTCTGTCTCGGGATTTTGTTCCCGGTCGCAAACAGGTTCGGTATGACGCGATCGCTCTAACATCAGACATCGCAGAATCACATCGAAAACAATAATGAAAAGAACACTCGACCAAGCTACCCAATACCCGCCGATATCGAACAAAACACCAGCCACGAGTGGTCCGCCCGATGTTCCTACGCCAATGGCAACAGTCACGAATCCATACATCTTGCCCAGCTGGTCGGCTGGAACGTTATCCGCCAGTGTAGCAAAGCCGACCACCCAGAGACCGGTGCTTGCAACGGACTGGATAAGCCGACCGGTAAAGAGAGTGAACACTGCACTGACATTAATTGTCTCGCTGGAAATGTCATCGAATGGTTGACCACTTACACGAAGTCGCTACAGCGATTATCAAAGAACCCAGTAATGCGCCCGCAAGTCCGAACAGCAGCCAGCCACGTTTCGCGCCCGAGCGATCAGCATGAGACCCGATCAGGGGACTTGCCACGACCATGACGAGCGCGGTCTGCGATAGCAGCGCTGTGCTTATGCGCTGTGTGAGCGCGACATCAAGTCCCAGTCGATGCTCGAGCACGAACGGAAGAATTGGAACGAGAAATCCATACAGATACATGTCTATGGACTGGGTTAAGAGATGAATTTTTCTTTTCGCTATATCTGCAAAAGAAAACCTACCAGTGAGCATGGCCACTGCCATCGTCGCAACGATGAAATAAGTGGATGATCGCCATTTCAGGCCCCATGGTTCTTGATTGTTTGAGGCTCTCATGATGTCCACGGATAGTTCCACGAGTTCAATGAATGAACCCCCAAAAAAAGGGGTGTTGTACACCGACTAATTTACCTCGGGTCTATATGCCTACCTAGGTCGACCCGCTTATTAATAGTTCGCTTGAAATAAATCCATGGATGCATCGATTACCCCTGTGCCAGGATTTCGAGAATTTGTATGACTCATCATGCAATGGTCTGATGTGCTTCCCGAGGTCGGTTGAGCTAGACCGGGGTGATGTTGCGCCATCGCTGTTAGAACCTGCCGGCAGACAAAGGGGCTTTGTCGGCAAAGCAAGGGGCTTGCATTAGTTGCTTTAGGAAACTGCGCCACGGTTGAAACTTTCGATATATCAGCCACACAGCCATAAGGATTCAATCAATAGATAAGACATTTTCAAAGCTGCCAAAGAAAAAAGAACAGTCTGGACATCGAATACTTTTAAGTGTGCGGAGTAGATCTCATCGAGTAGATCTCAGTCGATTTACACTACAAAGTACGGGGTATGGAGTATGGGGTAGAGATCAACGCATTAGCTGATCACGCGATACTCCACTGGAACACATAGAAGGTCACATATCTACCCGAAAACAGTTTCTAGAACTTCAAATAAATTCAATCATGCTTCATGGCATTAAAAGATTCGTTCACTCATGATACATTGACGTAATATCACTTAAAACACACATTCGCCGCTCGCCGAGCTCAGACATTCCCCATCGCAAAAGGTATAGAAGTATAACAAAAAAGGCAATATCGTAATCTCAGATCAAAGTTTCCTGATGACAAGCGAGCGTCCACTCGCCATCCGATCCTTGACTCCAAGTCGTCGAGCCAGAGCAGATATATTCTTTCTTCCCGCGCTTAGCGCGGACCTTGTATGTGACGACACCGGCCATCAGGTCGACGATGATGACTCGTACCTCCTCAAACTGGTAGGCGTCGAATCGGTGGAAGGGTGGTCGGACGGCTTTCTTGAATTTCTCCTCGTCCTCGAGAGTGATGATTTCCATCTGAGGGAATAGGAAACAGGCTTCTGGGTTGCTGAGTCTCCAGATTGGGGGTGCTGGATCGGCGGATGTGAGGGCTGTCCAGAGTTCGCGCTCTTTGTGGAGGATGTCCTCGCGGATACGTTCGTGCATTCCAGGCATGATGGGTGGTTGTGGTTGTTATTGTGTAGTTGGTTGGTGGGGTATCGAGGGAAAGACGCTGTTTGTGCGGAAGTATGTCGCGATGCGAATATGCAATTATGCGAGTATGCGAATATGCGAATGTATATGTTAAGAAGACAGAGGCAGAAGATAAACAAAACTCTGAGGGCCCTGGCCTTGATTTTATTGTTTTGGCATACTGTGGTACCTATATTAAAATGACGTCAGATGACGTTGAGGCAAACAATTTAATGTCCGGGATCAGCACCTCACAGACATCACAGCATATGGCAGTTCCATTCTAATATTGTATGCTTGACATGCGTCATCCACCGTTTAACGTCTGTAGTCAGTGGCTTGAAAGACCTGGCCTCACTGGGCCCTGGCGCATCCACAATCAACCTTCCCGAGTTCATCCATGGAAGTGCCCACGCGAGTTTGATTTTTTACTTGGTTCTCAACTGCCAATGAGATTGTTATATTCTTTGCCACTTGCTGCGATACTTGGGCGCACATGTATCTGCACCGGCTTTCCCCCGGATGTTCTCCTATTTGAGTCGCTTAATAAGGGCGCTTAGTTAGGATCTTAGAGTGTATATTTAGTGATAAGATTAGGCTATGTGATTACTAATGCTGTTGAAATGCTCATTGGATGCTCTTACTCGCTGATACTCGGTTTCCAATGGTTGGACGAGGGACCGGTCAGCATTTGAAGATGAGGCGTTGATTATAGACGGGGATTCCATATGAGCTAAAGGTACGGTCGATAACCAGCAACCACTAGATTGGAATAGCACTGATACCTCAGAGTTAGAATCCGACTGAATTCTCCCGAGTTCGCATCTAATGTACCATTGTCTAGAAATGGTAAAGCCCCCCAGCGCATGGGGGTATGCAATCGGCCCTTTTAAGCTCTGTGGTTATACTGGTCGTTCTCGGGTGAATAATGAGAGAAAGGGGAATAAGGAGACATAACAACAGCTCTAGAGGATACACTGTTGAGACAATGTTTCTAGATACATTGTTTGTGAGGCTTCCACATCATGTATTTTCTTTACTTTGCCTCCCCATTACATTTGCCTAGACAGAATGGCTAATTTCCTAGCTGTCCAACCCCTCTCCCCAACGGTAAGCTCGTCTTACATTTAATTTCCCATTACCATCTAACAAACAGGAGGCCTTGAACAAGAGGGATCCCGGACACGATATAAATGACGATTGCGATGAAGACGATATTTCGAGTTGAATGACGACGGGCAGTGATGAGCTCAACTAGTACAACACGAGTATCAAGTATCCTTCGGCCGTTTTCAGCGGTAAGCAGCCCAGAGACCTGAGACATCATCGACCTAGTTCTCTTTCCTGAATCTCCTACTACGTTTCAATACGGAGATTTTATGTGCCGTGGGACCCACCACTGCTGAAGGAAATAACCCCCGTGCTATCTTTTCCAAGCCCGGCGTCACTTTGAAATTTTCGATTGGCGGAGGAACCGAGATCCCTCATTTTCGTGTACGTCTTCGCGTTGAAAGTGTGCAGATGACTACCTTCGAATTCACCTTGGTCTGGACTGCCTGGGATCACGATGGCAACGAAGCCAAGAGAACACCGACCAAGAACCCCTCCAACGAAGAAAGATATAGATTTTCAGCCTGTCTGGCAGACGTTCAATTTGAGAAGATAGTGTTGGATGGGGTTCAAGCCAACGCAACCAATGGTAAGCGTAGGGAACCATGTTTCCGGACTCATTGGAAATGTCTCAATTGCCCACAAATGATCTCCGGCTTTGACATACCCCAGAGAGAACTTGTGTCATTGTTCACTCCGGAGCAGGTTCTTACCATCGAAACCTTTGAGGGATTAGCCGCAAGGCAGTCTGAGATGAACGTTGTTACTCGCACGCGCCGTTCCGAAGTGGAGGATAACTGGCATGTTATGACTTCTATGCCTTGGCCTACTATGCCACCATACCCCTTATACGCCTGCCGTTACAACAAAAGAAATATATTGTTCACATCGATGAATGAAATTCCCCCAATTTCCAACCGAACAATTACACCTCACCATCGTCGACGTGGATTTGGATGGCCAAGTATGAAGGGTGATAGTTACACAGAGAAACATGAAGTCGTGTTCTTCGCGTCAAACCCGTTACTTGTCTTCCATAACGAGAGGGAGTACGAGGCAATTAGGATGATCGGCCTTCTCCGAGAGGCGGAGGCAGAGAAGAAGACATACGAGTCAACATTCAATCGTGACTATGAATTTGACCTTTTTCCACCCGCTCTTGTTCATGACTCCCAACATGCCTGCCTGGACCAATTTCATTACGGGATTCTGGACGCTAGGATCACACTTCATGCCTCAGATGAAGCTCAAGAGTTTGGGAACAGAGAATGCCTCTCCCAGAACCTGGAACGCCTGTCACTATCTCCCCACAAAGGGGCACAACCCGAAGACAATTCCCCTTTGAGGTTGACAGGAACAGGCCCTGGCAAGGCTGCGTTGTCTCTCCTCAGGGGATTCCGCCCGCTATCATGAAACAGAAGCCTTTCAACGCAATATTTGTTAAGCTAAAGTTGCTTCCTACCCAGGAAGCTGTGGGGTTCTCCACTTGAGAGGGCAGGCACGGTTTGGGATTCCTAACTCTTCGATTGATCAAGGACGCCGGGCAATTCGGTCTGCTATGTGGGGAAATCTTGACGATGGGCTTTCGAAAGAAAACCACATAAAGCTTCATTTACTAGCTCACCGAAACTCAACACTCAAATTCCACAGACGGGAAGATGTAGTGGATGCACAAACAGGAGAATCCCTCAACAAACTAGCCAGAATCCGAGGTCGATCAGAGGCAAGTAGAAGGCATTCAATCAGCATTTTCAGCTGGGAAGGATGACTGGCGCAATTTCATGATTTTGATCACTGGACCACCGGGCACTGGCAAAACGTCACTTTCCGTTTCTATTGCAGAGCATTGCATTCAGCGAAAGTGGAGACTGTTAATGGTCTGTGCATCAAATCATGGCCTCGATGTTGTCGCAAATCGTATCATTGCGCACATGCAAAAGAATACCATCCAAACAACGGGGTTTTATAGGTTGGATACCAACCTTAGAGAATCAGCTGAAACTCAGATGCCAAATTCGCCAAGTTCTCAATCCAAAGCACTTGAGAAAAGTCTGCATCAACGTGAAATCGAAGTCGATCGTAGTCTCCACGAAACCATCATTACTTCAGTGGAAAGCATGATTGACCCCGTGCGACATTTCTCACTGGGAAGACATATGACACAGAGACTTTGAAAAGTGTCATGGCAGATCCTGAGCGAGCCCGAACGCAATTGCCTGTTGAGGAATGGAGTCAAATTCGACAAGTACTTTGCTATAAAGAAGCTTTGGGGAAGCAAGAAGGCTTATTTTTGCAATCGTATCGCGAAAATCCAGAAGAACCTTTTCTAGGAACATCTCCAGGACACTCACCTAGCGAGATTCAACAGCGTTTCTATGTCAAAGTCGACAATCTTGGTCCAGTCTGTAAGAGTTCTACCTTCAAAATGCAAAAGTTGTGTTATGCACTGCATCGACTGCCGGCCGCAAGTCAATGCGAACTTTCGCGCCGTAATATGTCAACTTCATCGGGAATCTCGCTTCGAACGCGACTAAGGCTATGTACTCCCAGAAAGATATTCTTATACTGTCCTTCTATGAGGAAGAACGACGTGCCCTTTCTACATTGTTCAACAAAATGCTCGGGCTGAATGACATCGCTGTGGAAAACGTCGATGCCGCTCAAGGAAGCGAAAGTCCCTTTGTCACTGTCTCTATGACTCGGCCCGGGATTAGACCTAGCATAGGGGTTTTCCAGGATCAGCATCGGCAATGCGTTGCCCTGAGCCGAGCCCAAGATGGCCTTGTGGTGGCTGGTCATGAGAAAATGGGCAAGACGCCGGGGGCAGGGTACAAGGCGTGGGATAACGTCATTCGGGCCCATGAAAGAGGCAACCGTTTGATCCAGCGGATGGGATATGGTGATTGGATAACAACGCATCTTCAAATCTCCAGCAAAGACTGGGTGCAGATCGATGGGCAATTCTGAATGGTGAAATGGAGTGTGAACCTTATTTTGTATCATATGGAGGGAAATAAAAAGAACGTGATGCACATCAGAGGCGAGTATGTAGTCTGTGAGGCAAACAAAGCATACCCATGTTATCCTTATAGCAAAAGGGTCAATTTAATGCCTGGAAATGACAACCCTTGAAGATCTTGAATAGAAAGTATGGGTAGGGAGACAACCTTCATAGATAATGTATTGCCTCGGTAAAAGGGCCAAACAAGGATTTTCCATGTAGCATCGTCATATCTCAGCTGCAACATTGGAAATGGGGTGGTACAGTGGGACTATTGGCTGTATAGGCGGAAATTTTATTTAAAATTCGAAACGGCTACGCATTGGGTGCATATAAAATTGTTTATGTAGAGCGTTATATGGCATCATATACAAGTCTGGTGTAACACAGGTGTGTGACCACTGGGGGAGTGCATAGGAAAATCCACGTGTAATCTCACAGCTCGACAACATGCCTGCATAACTAAGAACTCAAATGCAAGATAAACTACACTACCACCAAAAGCATACTATCTCTATATCATATACTGCGATCAAAAGCGAATATCATACGAAAAAGGAACGATACTAGTACCAATTGTGGGGCACCAGATCTGGTTTCAGCTGAGGACCCATAACATTCTGACCAGCCAATTTTGGGTGCCAATCAACTGGATGTGTACGCATTCAAAGTTCAGATATAACGAAAACTACTACATAATAACAGCGCTAGAGGCCCTAGAGACCTTTCTATCTTTTTACCAAAATTGAGGGTAATTTATTTAATTTATCCAAGGCCCAGATAGTACAGGTAGTGCCAGTATTGGTTGGGACAGTCGGGTTTTGACCCACACCCCATGAAATATATATCTTGACTTCAACTACATATATCTCAACGAATATATATTCATTTCATAATTAATCTAAATTTTCGTCTAACTAATTAGCTGAATAATCAGTTAAGACAAATAATTAGTGCACTACCGTCTTACTTTACGTAGGGAAAGGGGCCAGAGAGTATCTAGCTATCAATTACACCATTATTATAAAACTAGGCCAAAAGGAATAGAATTGAGTGGCGAGGGGGTGATGAGATAGAACATGTTAATTAACGCGACCATCCTAACTAATAAAAGCAGGGATATATAACCGACCGAACCGGGAGATAGATCTACTCTAGAGAAAGTTAAAGATATCAGGCCCTTATATATCTAGTGTCCACTGCCCATAATTTGTCCTATCTTTATTCTCTGCATCTTTCCTCCTTTACCTTGTTTCTGCATTACTCGTTCGAATCCTTGGTAGTCGAGCAGCCAACAGCACATCACTTGGATTCAAGCCATTATATACTTTGCTGCCTATAGCTCGTCGTGACCATGACGAGACACGCCCAACCCGCTCATATGTGCTCAACGCTGCAACTCTTGGGACGTTTACGTGATCTGAGGAACAAGAAGCAACACGTTGTTCTCAACGGCAATAACCTCGACATTGCTTCCATTGTCGCTGTCGCCCGATATGCAGTCGAGCCCACTATCAGCACTGATGAGTTGCTTGTCAAGCGGCTCGAGATCTCTGTCGACACTCTGGCCGATGTGATTTCTCAGAAATGTGTCATCTACGGCGTCAACACCGGTTTCGGTGGTAGTGCCGACACCAGAACTAACGAACTCATCGACCTGCAGACCCATCTGCTCCAATTCATCCAAAGCGGAATTATCACTGCCGCTGACAAGGATCCGGCCAGCAACTCGGAGCGGGAACCATCCCACGTCATGCCTCTCTCCTGGGTTCGAGCCGCCATTGTGGCCCGAGCTAATCAAAATCTCAGGGGTCATAGTGCCATTCGCAAATGTGTGCTCGAAAGCCTGATTGACCTGCTGCACAACGACATTACTCCCCTAATTCCGCTGAGGGGGAGTATCTCTGCATCAGGAGATCTTATGCCCATGGCGTATATTGCCGGAGCAATCATGGGTAACCCAGATGTTTTTGTCCAGATTGGAAGGGGTGCACAAGCCAGAGTTATGCCTTCTTCGGAGTCGTTGAAGATGAGCGGGCTCTCCCCGTCAGGACTCGGCCCGAAGGAGGGACTAGGGCTGATCAACGGGACTGCTCCTTCTGTGGCAGTGGCAAGCCTGGCACTATATGATACGCAGCAGCTCGCGTTATTGTCCCAAATGCTGACTGCCTTCGCTTCCGAGTGCATGGCCGGAAATGTGGAGTGGGCTCACCCTTTCATTCACGCTACTCGACCTCACACTGGGCAAATCGAGGTGGCAAGGAATATCCGGCACTTTTTGAAGGGTTCCAAATTTGTTGTTGGCTTAGAGTCGCAGAAGAAATCCGGCGACGGACTCTGCCAAGATCGATATTCGACAAGAACAGCTCCTCAATGGATTGGTCCTTACCTTGAGGATCTTCTCCTGGCGCAACATCAGCTCGAAGTGGAGCTCAACTCCACATCAGACAACCCTCTGGTAGACATTAGCAAGCAAGACGATGGTTCCAGTGGGAGAGTATACTCTGGTGGAAATTTCCAAGCAGCCGCCGTCACGTCGGCTATGGACAAGGCTCGTTTGGCTATTCAGATGATCGGCCGAATGCTTTGGTCTCAGGTCACTGAGATCATCAATCCTGCTACAAATAATGGACTGGAGGCCAACCTCAATGCCACCGCACAAGAGAACTTCACCATGAAGGGGATCGACATCAACATGTCAGCATACATGTCTGAGTTGGCAGCCCTAGCACACCCGGTTTCTGCCCACGTCATGTCAGCTGAGATGCATAATCAGGGTATCAACTCTCTGGCTCTGATTTCAGCCCGACGCACCATAGAGGCCGTGGATCTGTTGGCACACATGAGTGCCTGCCATATATATGTCTCGTGTCAGGCTGTCGAGATCCGCGCGAACCACGTCCAATTTCTCTCAACACTCCGCATGAAGCTGGAGGACTTCACGGCAAGCGGAGCCTTGTCTGGACTCGGATTGAAGGATTCGCAGACTGAGACACTATGCGCATTACTGCTCCCCATTGTGCAGTCGAGCTGGTATCGCGCAAACACCAATACTTGGAAAGACCGTGTCTTGTCCGTAGTTGAAGCCGTTATGTCATCAGTGAACGAGTTCATGGCGACTCACAACCCCGACTGTTCAGTGTCAACGATCATCGCCTTCAAGAAGCATTTCCAGAGCATCGTGTCCAGCACAGCCGAAGCAATGTTTTATCCCAGCCCAACTATTTCCCCCGATGTCGTGGCCTCGCAGCTTGGTAGGGGGACTGCACAGCTCTATACCTGGGTACGCTCGAAACTCAACATTCCCATGAACTGTGGCCTCCAGGACGATCCTTTGTATAACGCCCAGAAGGGTCTTCCCACGCAGGGGAAAAAGAGCATTGGAAGCTCGGTGAGCATGATATATGAGAGCTTGCTTGAGGGTGACATGATGGATATGGTTCTAGAAGATTGGATGCAGGACGAGGTTTAGACAGACACATTGTACATTGCATCGGGAAGATTTGAGAGTATATGATGTATGGAAAAATGGCACACCTGGAACGACATAAGTAGACATCGTGGACAAGTAGGTAGAAATTGAATGAGCCAAGCTTGGAACGAGCTCGAGGCGCAAAGTCGGTATAACCGAGGTTTTTAATGGTACTAAGGCCTATCGTATCCATAATAGGTGATAGTGTGCTAAATATATAGGTGGTCGTAGATGATACGTCGAAGATGTGGCTCACCGTCAAGTCTACAAGTTGACGGTGTTGCTAACTGACCTTGGAGAGCGAGACTAAGTATTGAGCATTCAATGGGCACCGTGAACTCACCTGGGCAGCAAACATTAGTCGTAGTGCACGTGCTGACACTCAGTGAGCGGCAGCTCAAATAGGAAAGTCCTCGGTGCGTATACCCTGTAGTTGGATATGAACGAAAACGGCCTCTTAAGGCGTTCCATTTTGTGCAATCTTTTTGTTTTATCTTCTAGTTACAGAGTATAAACAGGAGGCGACACAAAGCCAAAAATGGTTGAAGCGCAGGACATTCTCCCGTAGATTATCCTTGACAGGAAGCGTTCATCATAGCATCATTTCCCAATCCGACCTGACCCATCCTGTGTATTGATCTTTCTACAAGATGGCAACGGACTAGCAACTGCAGTGCACATAGATAATTGGCATAAGACTTTAGTTTTGGCCTATATGGGGTTAATATTCCAGACGGTTGTGTCAAGTCTGCCGATCATCTCAAAGACTGAATGGAGGAACTCACGAGTATATCCTCTACTTAGCTTTCCAAAAGGCCCAGGCTAAGACGAGCAAGCCCTTGATACCAGCCGATAGCCAGAGAATGGGAGAAATCGCCCCGGTGGCCTTGGTGACCCATCCACCGACGATGGCGCCCACAAGGGTCAGCACGAACGCAATGATTCGCCGGTCGCGTTTCACATTTCTCACAAGAAACAGCTGGGGGTCCGACATCAAATCACAGAGAAGACTGGTAATCACGACGGTCGGGATCTCATTGAAACCCAAGGCACGACTCGCTACGATCTGACCAGCAGACTGGAGACTCAAGAGAACAATCGGGACTTCCTGATCCCATGGGGGTACTGCTTGGGATCCTTTGCCAGCTAGCGCACTAGAAACGGCACCTCCTTGAACCAGTCCAGCCGTAAGCAGGATTATACTGGCCTGTAGCGTGAAAGACAGCATCAATGACCCTCGTCGCCGAGCGCCCAGGATGCGATGTAATCGTGAGAAAATGAAGGATCCCAGGATGAAGCAACCGATGGAAGTGAGCGAGCGAGCCCAGCCGTACGGACGGAGGTTTTGGTGTGACGCACCCAGTCCGACGAAGATGGTGTTTCCTACAAAGAACTGGTGATTAGTCGACCCTGATATGGGATTGTGAATGCGTTGGTGAGATTACCTGTTTGCATAGAAACAAAAGTGTTGTAGGCTGCAGACGTTAGATGTGCCGCAAGTAGACGGGCCTTGGACTTTGTCCTACCGCGGTATATCGTGCTATCCACAAGTCCCGATGTCAAGCAGCAAGCGTAAAGTAGGAGGTCGGCATGCTGCGGCTCGAGTTCAGCCTTCAACGATGTGGAAAGTCCACCGAATGCACCTTTTTCATGATCCATTTTGGAAGTTATTGACTACAATGAGAGAAATGAAGAGGACGAAATGCCAATGAGACACAGGAAACTTTCGAAATAAAGCAGAATTGACAGCGGCATTTTTTTTCCGCAGCGAGTGAAGGACGGGCGAATAAACTATGAAATTTGCCAACATGCCCTTCCCCTCCCTTCCCCTGGTCAATGGCATCATCATCTCACCGAATCGATGCACCCTAAGACGGAGCCAAGGGACAGATAAAATTCCGAAGCTCCGTGGAAATCCACGAAATCTGCAGAAATCGAAGCGAGATAAGGACAGCCACAATCACATTTCGTGCATATTGCCTCGCGAGTTATGTTGGGCCGGGCCGCAGACCATGCCGACTTCACGCTAACTTACTAACTTAGTCTCCGATGCATGCCTAGAGTGCCAAGGCTGACTCGGTGGAATGGGTGTTGGCGAGTCGCTTGGCGGCAACTTTCTCCTCCTAAAGTCTATCCGGGGAGCAGGCCTGTGTCACCGAGGGTTCTCATTGAGGGGTTTGATGTACGACCTGCTGTGCATGATCTTCAGGCCTTGTGGCAGCCAAGAGTCTCAGATTTGCAGACAGAAGACTCCTGATAGGGCGATACAAGACGTTGAGGCCAAGAATGACGGGTCAATGGCGCATGTTGCTGCAGGGAAAATAAACCATTCAACCCTCCATCTCAGCCTTCAGCACATCAATATCCAATTCTGCCATAACCCCAAGCACGACACCTAGACTCTCCATAAATCCATTGACAGAAACGCGGAGCATCCGATTCGTTGTCGCGATGTATGTTATCTTCAACACAGTTTTAGATTCTTCAGGGTCCTGCTTTTGTTTCTTTTCTTGCGGCTCGCACGATGCTTCGACCGCCGGAGCCTCGAGGGCGAAACTCCGTCGCACAAAGGGAGATAGTTCGGCGTCAACTTCCAAGGCGCGTAGAGCGCATGATGCAAGGCGATTTGTCGGGAGGGGGAGTGATATTGTGCTGAGTCAAGATGTGAGTATTGCTTTGTCTAATCGGGTCTTGTTTTTCGGCGCCATTTCGGGTCGGGGAGGGGCTTACAGTGAGCAAGGGAACTCGGGATTGGTAGATTGTGCGAGAGCCATGATAAGCGTAATTGAGGTTGGTAATAGCGATAGAAGATTGTCGCTGTGAGTTCAATAAAAGGGTCTTCCAAGAAGCAGGGGTGTGTCAAATATTGGCGTGAGGATAACGGGGTGGAAATTGGCACTCGGAGTGCTGGAAGGAGGATGTCCGGAGGGGGAACGAACTAAGTGGCTGACTCAGCTCCACTTCCACCTGGGCAGCGCCCAACCAGGCTAGAGGTCTAACTTCAACCTTGACTCAGGTGTTCTCAAAGGTACACATTGCACCACGGTACGCGCTGATTAGCTACACAGTATGATAATGGCGCCTTCTACGTTCTTTCGGGTGATGATCTCCCGGTTTGAAGAGCTTGGCGAACGAGGGTCTTTGTGGAACGGTGCATTTGGCCAAGAGACGCACCCCCTCTGGAGATATTGTTGCGCAGATCTCTCCCACAAAAAGAGCGCAATTGCACAGCCTTCAATATGCAGTCATCTTGCCAAGGTACTTCAGATTGATTAATTATCTCTGAGGAAGCTACAGGATCGAGTTCCCTGCCGCCGACCTATCCCAATCAACCTGGAAAGCCCAATATAAACATACATTATCTTTATCTTGGCTCATGCATTCGGAGATATATCTCTGCAACGCTATAGTTCCTCTTGATTGATGGGAATAATCTGAACACCTGTCCCGCGACGACTAGCGCGGTTGATCGCAATAACTCTGCTTCATGGACTCACTGGACTCACTCAGCTGAGGTCATCTAGGATCAGTACGACGCGAAGGAAGATAAGGGTCTGCGGATGTCTTGGCGGATGGTGGAATGTTACATCCTCAGGAAACCAAGGCTTTCTGTCTTTGGTGAGATGCTTTTGTCCTCTACGAGCAGGCAGCCGTTTCTCCTCTGGGATTGGTATCTCCAGATGTAGCAAAATTCCTCGCGGGGTATAGATCTTGAAAATATAAAGAGCAGCGTTGTCCCCTCGCGGATTAAACTGTAGTACAAGAACTCAAGTGTCCAAAACAGAACACATCTCCTTTATCAAAGCTCAATCATGACTATCACAATCACCGTCGAGAAGGACGGATACTACGAGGTCAACGGGACCCGGCAGGAGCCTACTGTCTCTCTATATGTGATTCCCGCAGCTTCAAAGTTGCGCCGCATGCTGAAAGACACCAAAGACCTCATCGTATGTCCTGGTGTGTATGATGGCCTCTCCGCTCGCATTGCCATGCAGGTCGGTTTCAAGGGACTGTACATGGTAAGAACTCTGATTTCTAGCTCCAGATCCCTGTATTCTGACCAAGTGCACAGACTGGTGCTGGAACTACCGCATCACGCCTGGGGATGGCTGATCTCGGCCTGGCTCAGCTTCATGACATGAAGACCAACGCTGAAATGATCGCCAACTTGGATCCATTTGGACCTCCACTGATTGCAGACATGGATACTGGCTACGGAGGTTAGTAATCAGCACTATGAAACAATAGACGCTTATCGCTTGTTTGAAAAGTAGTCTAACTTTCTTCTAGGTCCTTTGATGGTGTCAAAGTCTGTGCAGCAATACATCCAAGCGGGCGTGGCTGGCTTCCACATTGAAGATCAGATCCAAAACAAGCGTTGCGGTCATCTCAATGGCAAGAAAGTCGTTAGCCTGGATGAATACCTTATGCGCATTCGTGCTGCCAAGCTAACCAAGGATCGCTTGCACTCGGACATTGTTCTGATTGCACGAACTGACGCACTCCAGCAACATGGCTACGAGGAGTGCATCCGTCGGCTGAAGGCTGCCAGGGAGATTGGAGCAGATGTCGGACTACTTGAGGGTTTTACTTCAAAAGAGCAAGCCCGGCAAGCAGTCCAGGATCTGGCACCTTGGCCTCTTCTTCTAAACATGGTGGAGAATGGAGCGAGTCCTCTCATCACCACAAAGGAGGCTGAGGAAATGGGATTCAGAATCATGATCTTTTCATTCGCCACGATTACCCCAGCTTATATGGGCATCAAGGCCACTTTGGAGCGCCTCAAGGCGGACGGAGTAGTCGGTGTACCCGAGGGACTAGGACCACGAACAATCTTCGAGGTCTGTGGGTTGATGGATTCCATGAAGATTGACACAGAATCTGGAAATGATGGTTTTGCCGAGGGTGTCTAGTAAGTGGTGACTAGTATGGATATATGAATGTTTTGCATTGAACAAGCAACGGAGTTTCTATAGCTATCCTCATGTTTTCTCAACTAAATCATAAAGCCAGATATTCAAATAGGAAGCAATATTCGCAATAACCAACCCCCCAAGCCAAAATCTTTCTAAATTTCATCCGAATCTGTGTCGCCTTGATCAGATTCCATTTCATCGATCATTTCGATAGGAACCAACGGGGGAATTTTTGTCACAATCTCCTTTTCGACTATGCACCATTCGCCTGGCTGAATGACCTTCCATAAACCAGGCCATAGGCTAGACTCAACGAGCGCATCCGAGGTATCGTCTTCTATGAGGGTACGCATCTTGTCATCCCGGAACGGCCCGAATTGGTGACTGCTCCAGAAGATGTACGTGTCTTCCTGGCACTCCAATCTATGTTTGAGCGTGATACAGCGCGCAATAATGTCGTGTAGCTGTTGCATTCGCTTTAGTTTGTCGGTGACAGCGTAGCGACCGAACCAGACTTCTACCTGCTCGATGATCGAATTGCACTGTTCTTGTAAGGCCTGGGTTTCCATGGATAGCATGACAGTGCTCATGGCACATCGCCAATGGCGGTAAATATGGGTAGAAACTTCAGATATTAGAAATCAGTGACAATAGTGATCATTTTCTCGTTGCTTACATTGTTTATTTATTTCGGAGTCGGCCTTGCTGAGATAATTGCACCAAGGATGCTCACCCCCAACCATAAATCGGTTCCAAAACGATCGATAGATTAACCCAGCAATTTCCGATTGGATAACATCCAATCTCGAGATATCAGGGCTCTCTGATCTTGCCGTAGGATCGTTCCCTTGTTGACATGATGGCTTTGCTGCAAAATGAGTAAATCTCCAGTGTTCAAGATCGTGATAAAGTAGAGACATCTCTCTCTTGGCTTCCTCGTCGGAAAGAGTCTCGGCTCCAGCTTGTAGGTTTCCTATTTTGGCCAAGAGGATCCGGTTCTCCTTTCTAGCTGCATTTGCTTCCTGAATAGCATTTTCGAGCAGCTCGCCTCGTTGACGAGACTGCTCCTCTACAAGAAGCCGACCCCTATAAAGCATCTCTGTATTTTCCTTCCCGGATTTGACTTGCTGTTTTATTCGTTAGATAAATATTAGTGTAGAAGGGGCCTTCACCACAGACCTGACGCAACCGTTCAAGTTCATCATGAATAGCCTCATGATCCATGCAAGCTAATAGATTCAGTAAATTATATTTTAGCCTTGAAATGGAATACAAACCACTAGTCACTGGCCCGCATTTTGAGGATAAATCTGGGGGTTGAGTACTCCTGTCTGCCTGGTTAGGCTTGGGCTCGGGCTCGGGCTCGGGCTCGTCAGGATGCCACGCTGTTGTCCACATTGCGTACCAATACCGGAGTGATGGGAAGTCGGAAATCCTAACAGAGTTAACAATTCTTACCCATGAAATAAGTTCTACATTGATGACACCAGGATTAGCTGAGGTATAAATATGCCTCATGCCGACGCTCATTGCGGCTAAGCGCAGGAGTCAATGATATCAAACTTGCGAAATGAGCAAACTTTTCGTTAAATAAACACCACCCACAAGTGCTTTTTCTTGCAGAAAGCTTTTCCACTTACTCTATTTTCCAAGACTCAATAAGAAAGAGGAAGGGTACAAATCCAACATGTCGAACGCAGAGGAGCGACCCAAACTCATAGTGGGTGTTGACTTTGGAACAACGTTCAGCGGGTAAATATGTCGTTTACGATAGTAATGGTTGGGTAGTGATCTGACCTTGATAGCATTGCCTGGGGACTGGAAGATTGCCCTGATGATATTGAGCTCATCCAGACATGGCCAGGTGGTGGTAACAGTGAGTCTCACACAAAGAGAACTCAAGTTCATCAAAACTGATAATTAATTTGATAGTCACAAGCCAGAAAGTCCCAACCTTGTGTTCCTACGAGAATAACGGCATGAAATGGGGTCATCAGACTGACCAGTCGAGCCATCCGGGCAGCGAACATGGGCTGATCCAAGGAGTCAAGCTTTTGCTAGATGAAAGTCAGAAACTCCGCTACAAACCTGCTACCGACTCTCAGGAAATTATCAAGGATTTGAGAAAAACGCCAGTAGATGTTGCTGGTGATTACTTGCAAAAGTTAGTCGGCCACGCTCGGGAGATTTTGAGACGTCGCTTTGGAATTGCGCTGCTCGCAATGGACTTGGAATACATCCTTACCGTCCCCGCTATCTGGTCAGACAAAGCGCAATATTTGACTATGCAGGCAGCACACCGGGCTGGTATATCTCCTGCGAGTCTGAGACTATTGTCTGAGCCGGAGGCGGCTGCGGTATGTGCAATTCGAACAATTCAACCGAATTCAATCGCGGTATGGATCTTATTCCCCAATAAACTGGAGTTGAGTCACCTAACAAATTATAGAAAGACGACTGCTTGGTTGTTTGTGATGCTGGGGGTGGAACTGTCGTAAGTTCTTCTTGCATCGAACTGATTTGACAAATTCTAGTGACATTCATATAATAGGACATAATTACCTATCGCGTCAAGCAAATCGACCCGTTGAGAGTCGAGGAAGCGACGAAGGGAACTGGTATTTATTAAAGGCCTACATTCTTGGTTCTATCTAACAACATCTAGATGCCGTTTGTGGCTCTGTGATGTTGGATGAGAGATTCGATGCACTTATCAAAGACATCATTGAGAAGCAGTCAGGCTAGTCAATCCCTCAATCGACAGTGAGATCTGCCAGAAAATATTGGCAAGATTACATCAAGCCTGGTTATACAGGTCCTCTCGATGATGATGACATGTGTGAGCCTGGATACTGGATCCCGGTTCCCGGGGTTTCAGGGATCTTGAACGTCGAGCTTAGTGAGGGGCACCTGTATCTAGACAGGTACATATACTGAATTTTACTTCGTCGTCTCAGCCGCAGGCTTCTCTAATTCAGAACCAGAGACCAAGTGAAAGGAATATTCGACCCTATCATTGAGCAGATCGAGAATCTCGTCGTCGAGCAGAGAACAAGCGTCAAGGCAGCAGGTCATACGACCAAGGTAAACCCCTAGAGTACTTTCAAAAGAATATCAATTAATTCTTATTAGGCGATCATTCTAGTTGGAGGTCTTGGTGCCTCGGGATACCTCTTCAAGCGCTTACAGGCAGCTTCTGACGGCATTCAAATCATGCAACCCCCAAACGCGTAAGTCCTCAATCTCCTGTTAGCTCAAAGAAATACTAATGTGAAAGCAGGTGGTCTGCCGTTGCCCGGTACGTATTTGAACCAAATCATAACATTTTGTTTGTACTAACAGGCTCAGTGGTGCTGTCATCCGTGGTCAAGAAGGGAATCAGGTCGAACGTCGCATCGCCAGATGCAGCTATGGCATTAATGTGAGCGTCAAATTCGATCCTAAAAAGCACCCAGCAGACCAGAACCTCGAATGGTGTCCTTATGAGGAACAATGGAAGGCGCGTAACCGTATGACATGGTATATCCGCAAAGTGAGTAACTTCTAGTGTTCACCGACAATTCTTTGGAGATGATGAATGCTAACTAAAGGGACTTTCAGGGAGAATCCTTGACCGAAAGTGAGCCAATCAGGATGACCTTCTACCATGTGGTCGACATTGACAGTCACATGGTATTTAACGAGCAATTGAAGTTTTGCCAGGAGGCTACAGCTCCAAAAGTGATGAATTCCAGTATGTCCCCATTTCGAAAATATAAAAGACGGGCATTTCTCTGACTTGAAAAGGTGTCGTGCAACTGTGTGAGCTTCAGGCAGATCTGAGCAGAGTCCCCAAAGGGCTTTTTACGAAGAAAACGAACTCTAGTGGGGTCCAATTTTACCATATCACCTTCGATCTGGTTCTAACGCCGGCCTCTGCATCGTTATTGTTCGACCTACAATTCAATGGTGTCTCCTATGGGAGCGTGAAATCTCAATATTGAATTCTAATCCGGCGAGCTACTAAAGCCATGTGTTAGGATGGCGGATTTGAAAGGGACTTTCGGCCTATGATAGGCGTGGCTGTGTTTTTTACAGGCTCACTCACTTGATCGCTTGAAATTGGCTTTGCGACATATTTGAGAAGACAGAAATAGCTAGCAATCAGAGCCCGGTATTTGCTTTCTTTGTGATGACATACTTAACACAACGCGCGTTAGCTAGTTTCACACAATCTAGCATGGTGATTTATATTGAACGGGATGCGAGAAAGGCTAGCACTATAGGCTGTGATATTCAATCATCCCTGCTACCCTGGAAAACAGCCAAATGTTGCAAGCCCATGCCTTCCAAAACATTCAATGGTGCCACGAAAGCCATCTGACTCCATGAGAAAACCGTATTTTTTCCGCCATAGATAAAGACTTCGAAGCGGCCGACAAAGGCACCATCTACCCAGACACGACTTCCATATATCTCGTTTGTAGAGATGGTGACCTGTGATTTGCGTGGAACAGTCACGGCCTCATGGCTTGAAGTGGTCTTGTTAGCCCAGATTCGTCCAGGCTGGTCTAGCTCAAAGCCGTCATCCTCAGCAACTGAGCGAAGTGAGTATGGCCATCCATCAGAAACAAAAGTTAGTTCACCATCCGATGACAAGCTAAGTGTCGCATCAGAAGACTGCAGAGAAAAAGGTCCCGTCACGTCTAGTTGGAGGGTGTAATCCATGCCCTTGCTGCCATAGCCTAGATTATATTTATTGTCGTTGGATTTTGTGGTTGGTCTTGACCATGAAAGCAATGGTCCTGCTCCATGGCTCCTTTCTCCTGGGAGGCGTCGGTCGAGGTTCTGCCCCACAGCTTGAGAGGACAATTTTGCGATAGATTTAGCCAAGGTTTGTTCGTGCAAGCGAGGTCCATGCGCACCAGACCACGCCCGCGCAGCCACTACCGGGATGCCATCACGGATTGCGTAGTAGGCCTCAAGTTGAGTAGTGGCGTCTGGACCGCTGTCATTCCAGGCAGCCAGGAGAGCACCTGGCACAGCTTTGGCATCCGGCTGTTCAGTCTTGTTCACCGGATTGAAGAGCTCTGGCGTCCACTGCCACCCATCCCTATCGGCAAAATTGAGAACGCGGGAATTGTTGAAGAACTGAGGGTATGGGGCTGGGCTGATAGGCACATGATTGCTTTTCAGCGACATATATGCCCACCAATCCTCAGAGTTGATGACTTGGTAGCCGTTGCGGGCTAGATCAACCGGGTCTGACTGTCCATACTGCCAATGTTGAATTATCACATCCTTATCAATCGTAAGGTTTGATGGCTCGTATGTTCCCCAAATACGGACAGTTTTGCCAGATGTTTCTTGCACAAAGCGAGACATCTCGTTCACGAACTCAACATAGTCATCCGCAAATTCAGGATCGTACTCATCAGCGCCGATGTGCACCTCCTTTGTATGGAACCAAGGAAGGAACTCGGCCCAGATTGACTTCATCAAAGGAACGGTATCCGGATGGGAAAGATTGAGCAGATCCTTCGAGTGCAATGCGAGCTCAGGTCTCCATTTCGTAACCGTGAGACAGTGCCCGGGGCTTTCAATCTCCGGCATCACTGTCACACCTCGCTGGGCACAGTGATGCTGGAAGTCATCAAACTCTGCCCGGGACAGCGTTTCGTTGGCACGCTGGACGAGAGGGTGAAGAGCCTCGCTTTCAGGGTGCAAAGAGAATTGCGAGTAGACCTCGTTCCAGGTCTCGTTATGACCGCGACTCAGTGGGTAGTTATCAGTCGCATGGTACTGAAACTCGGACATTTTGAAGAACGAGGCATACGTGCACAGATCTTTCAAAAACTCCAACGAATACCATTTTCGACCAGCATCTAGCAGAAATCCCCGAGTCGCATAGGCCGGGGCATCCTCCACGCGACCGGGTGGTAGGGGTGAGCGCGTCAAAACGAGCTGTTGAAGGAGCGTTCGCGTCCCCCACCACATACCTCGCGCGCCGGAGCCTCGAATAAACACACTGCCATCCTGGATCTCCAAATCGTATCCCTCCTCTGTCTCGCGTCCATTCTCGTAGGTAAACCGGTGTGGATGGTCTGCGCGACCGAGGAAGATTCCTGACGCGTGTTTTGGAAATTGTTTGACCGTGTGAAGCTCCCAGGAACTGTTCGTCAGCTCCTGTAAATCATCGCGAAACGTGTTGGCAAAGTCGGATGCCGATGGTGGAAGCAGCGTCAATCCATTCTGATCCTTCCAGCTAGCGAAATTGGCATCCAGGTAGATGGTCCGGTCAGTTGTTGCTAAAGAAAAGCCTTTGTTATGATCTGAACCAGTGTTATCAAAGTGCACTGGAGGCAGACTCTGCAGCGCAGACGCGACTGCGGCAAGGGAGAGGACAATCCACTTCATTTCTGGACATTGTGAGATTTGCTGTGATCTGAACTCAGTCTCTTATGCAAAGCAAGGGGTATCTCGCAACTGGCACCGTTACATTCCCCAAGGGCGTGCGTGGGGTTACGTGGGATGCAGTTGCGGGGAAACGTGGAGTTGATATTGTGGGGTTTTTATATTGGCAGAGTCCATTTTCGTATTTACATATCATCGAGACTGACTTCGCCATGGCCGTGATAGATGGGGATAATGGCAGACGTAAACGTTGAATATTATACACTATCGAATTCGAATTCTGTTATGAGACTAGCCGCATAACCTACAGCTTATTCTTGCCCACCTTGGCTTCCTCTGCCTGCAGCTTCGCAGTGACGTTCAACGCGCGCCGTGTTGCCAAGTCGAGAAGAATCTCCTCGCTACCTCCGGGGACGGTGATGGCCTTGACATCTCTCCAGATACGCTCAACGCGCTCTCCGCGACCACCACGGGTCAAACCAATGCCACCCATGATCTGAATTGCCTCCCGTACAACATGCTCCAGAACAATACCAGCATGGGCCTTGAGTTGGGCAGTTGTACCAGCTAGAAGGAATACAGCCTCTTCAGAAGACAGCTTTGAGATCTGGTAAATCAAGCTCTATCTATATCGTTAGTCACGTTCAACGTAAGAATCACATTGGTTACTTGCCTCAACCCACGCTTGTAGGGCTTCTGTCTCGCGACTCATGTTGGCAATTTTGAGGCGGAGAACGGCTGTAATCCAAATTAGTATCTTAGACACCTAAGCCTGACGGGAGGGAGACTCACGATGATCAACAAGCTTCTTGCCGAAGGTTTCTCGGTTCATCGCATGGCTTGAAATCTTGTTAACGCGCGCAATGGTTTTGGGGACTGAGATACGAACCTGATGGAATCCTCCAAACAAACTCTAGCACATCGCAGAGCTTGAATGCCAATGAAAAGTCTCTGTTTTACATTAGTGGCGGTCTTCAATGACACAGGAAATGAACCGACCTCGTGATTGAAGTTGGACATGACGTATTTGAGTCCCTGTCCACGCTTGCCAACGACCATGTTAATTGGGACTTTAACATTTTCAAAGTCCACGAAGGCTGTACCAGCAGCTGTCGATCCGGAGAGCGTGATATGCTTAGTAGTAAGGCCTTCCGTTCGTGGGATGACCAATAGCGTAAATTCGCCTGTTACTTCCTTGACCATGGTGAGGAAGTAGTGCGCATACATGCCGGATGTGATCCACTGAAATATAGTTAATATTTGAGGTTGACCGTATGCCAATCGATGGAGGGCAGTCAAACCTTCTTTTCTCCGTCAACGATGAAGTGTGACCCGTCCTCGGAAACTCTCGCCTCTGTCTGCACACCTTGAACATCAGAGCCAGCTCCAGGCTCAGTGATAGCTAAGGCAATTCTGGTGCGACCGGAGAGAATGTCGGGAATAACGCTATGTTGCGTTAGCTAGTATCACTACATTGTGGAGATAAACATACACATCTTTGATCTGCTGCGAACCGTATTTCTGGAGAGCTGGCACGGCCAAAACCTAGAGGGATCGTAAGTCGGAGAATTCACGCCGATACCAGCTCATATAACTTACAGCACCGCCAACGAGACCATTTTCAATACTTTAAAGGGGTCAGCGCGATTCAATATCGACATATTCAACGCTGTTCGTCACATACCCAATTCCACCGACACGACCAAACTCGTCGTGAATAATCAAGTCGTGGAATCCATCCCATTCCTCAGCGGAAACGTTGCCGATGATTGGGTATTTTCCTCTCCACTCTTGCGGAATCGTAGCTCCAGACGCCATGGGCATGATAAGACCATCCTTGGCTGCCTTCTCGTAGAGTGAATCTGGGAGGCTTGGTGATGTCTCTAATTCTATGGTATGGGGCATGAGGTTCTGCCAGAGTCAGGATCAAAGTTCCCAGTCAAGCATGGAATAATGATTGAGTAGTCACCTCGTCGACCCATGTTCTCATTGCTGCGCGGAGGCGTCGGTGACTATCGTTGTAATATGGACTGGGGCATCCTCGAGCCCATGCGGGCTCGGCAAAGGGCACCGTTGAGCCGAATAGCCATTTGGCTTTGATTTCGTCTGAGAGTATCGACATGGTGATTACTGTCGCACTTGGTCAGATATGCGATATTTGTTGAGGTAATGTGGGGCGGATTTTTGCTATTTTCTTTCCAGCAGATCTGACGAGCGTGAATGTGAGTTATATAACATATCACGGCCTCCGGGTCGACAGCTGTACGGCTTTTGTGGACTGTACTTAGGGGTCTTTACCCCGGCATTCCTGGAATACCGAGGAATGGCCGTGGGGTGGGCGTCTAGACCGAGGCGTCCCCGGAAACACGGGAAATATGGGATTGAAATCGGCAAGTAGTCAACTTGTACCCACTATTTGCTGATTACAAGACGGGCTTCAGAGATAGTAGCAGATAGTTAGCTTGTTCTCCAGGGCTGTAGGCTAGGCTTATGTAATTCTTCCTCGGTCCATTTTGGAAGAGTTAAATGCTTCATTTAGGGTATTTGACAGGTCGTTTCTACTATGCCACACGATCGATACTAGAAAATTTCATCTGAATTTAAATATTTCTTATTTCTTTATAGTATAATGAGTATCTCGCCTCAAAACCCCCAATGTGCTCTTTCAGGTCACTCCAAGATGTAAAATCTGTAGTTTTGAGGTCTTAGCTATAGGCTTGAGTGAGGATCGCTGCCCTCGGTCAGCAAAAAGACACCAGAACGAATGCAACGGATTGCTGGAGTAGAGGTCCTTGTGCATCATGCTAAGGCGGTTGCTTAATACAAGTCTAGAGGATATTAGAGAATTTGACTAGTGTTTTATCCCTGACGTCCTCAGAAATCCACATCAATAAGGGGGAGGCCCCTCTGCAATGTTGGTCAAGACTATAAAAACTAGCAAAAGTTAACATGCAACAAACAAGCCGGACGAAAGGCTACTTAAACGCAGAATTTATGAATTACCGCAAAATGTCGAGGGGTGGAATGATGTGTGGGTATCTTGATGTCCAGGTGATTCTCGGCACTTAGGCTAATCCTTATGCCGAGAACTTCTAGCGGCGCTATAAGGAGCTAATTTATATCTTGCCGGTCTTTCCATTTTTCTTTTTATAAAAATCACGGCGACGTAGCTTGCATAATTTTTGCCATATGGAAATTCAGCTGTGAGTTTGATTTTCCGCGAAAATAGTACGTCTACGATTGCTACTTTGGGCTCACGGCACACGGCACTCGGATACCGTAGAGGACCCGTGGCGGACACCGCTGTGGAGACACTCATGTGAACCCTAAATTCGATCCTCCAACATAACAACAGCCTCATCGCTAGGACACCAGCACCACTTCATATATTTCAGTGAAGTATACAAAACCCTTATTCCCACAACAGAACTTCGAAGATAGACAGCCGAGCCCCTTACGATTGGATGGTGATTGTCGTATTGGGATCCAGCATTTATCCTCATAACTACACTACTCCGGCATTTGAACTCAATTCCCTATATAGTAGATTCACGAAAATCTCGAGAATGGGATATTTGTTTAACGGCCATGTTTATTGATCTATAGAGCCTAGCTAGATGTCCTAAACAGGATCAATGTACAAATTCAGATGAGTTATTATCCTAGTTCACAAGTTGGTTCCATGCACTGTACGGAGTACGGAGTAGTATGCTATAGTAATGGAGCAAGTGGATCCTTCTTGATATTTCCGGCTCAATATTACCCCAAGATTTTGAGAGAGAAATATTAAAAACTTAGAAGTACGATGGTTCCATCCGGAGTCTGTGTGTGTGGAGATAATGCGGGGACAATATAGATATAGAGTGTAGTCCGGGGTTGTGGTAGGTTAATTCGGTTGGTTTTGAACCTTGGAAAGACTTTTAAATTTGCCATCCTAACTCGGCTATTGTAAAGAGATGTAGAAACTATACCCCTAGATATATCGCGCCTAGCTTCGTGCTAGTAGATACTATGGTGAGCACCACCTAGTAACAATATTAGTAGGGCTTTTCTTCCATAACTAAGAATAGTATGAATTTGCTGAGATCACCAGGGGGGCAGCACGGCAACATCCTAACTTTCCCTATAGCCAAAGAGCGCCACTGCGGACCTTGAAGAACTCTAAGAACTCTGATCAGGACCGTGCACTAAAGTAATTTTAAGTTATTCTGACATTTTTAATATTTCAATCTTCCACCAAACTTCAGATCACTTTCTCTCCATCTCCCCATATCTCTATCACCGGGGACAACCTAACATTTTGCTATAATCGCTAATGGCCCACGACGAAGCCACCAGTATTGCAACACACAAATACGGCACCTCCAGCAGCTTCCGCACAGGCATTTTCGCCGCTTTCGCCGCTATAGCCTGGTACAACGCCATCGAACTTATAATCCTTTGCTTCATCTCCTTCAAGCGTTGGAAGGGAACCTACTTCTGGAGTCTACTCATCGCCTCCACTTGTATAATACCCAACTGTCTGGGTTTCATCCTCCTTTTCTTCCCAACCAGCGTGACGCCCTGGCTATGCGTTACTTTCATTCTACTCGGCTGGATTGGCATGGTCACTGGCCAGTCGGTAGTCCTGTGGTCGCGGCTGCATCTTGTGCTACAGAATAACAAGTTACTCTGGCATTTGCTGTGGGTTATCGGTATCAATGCCGTGCTGCTCCATCTCCCGACAAGTATCCTGTTATACGGAACAGTTGCCTACCCCACAGGCGCCTGGGCCCGCGGGTACAATATCATGGAACGGGTCGAGCTAGTTGGTTTCTGTCTCCAAGAACTGATTATCTCGAGCATCTACGTCTGGGAAACTGTTAAGCTGCTCCGACTGCGGCCGGAAGGTCGTCCGCGGGGAATCTTAACCCAGTTGCTTGTTGTTAACATTATAATTGTGCTTCTGGATATCACTGTTGTTTTTGCCCAGTTTGTGGGTCACTACGCCATGCAGGTGATGTTCAAGTCTGTTGCGTATAGTATAAAACTGAAACTTGAGTACACCATCCTCGGCAAATTGGTTGTTGTTGCGCGTGGGTGCGACAGTCAGGAACTGCCGTTATGTGAGCGTGATATCAATGAGGTTAGCTCGTTTCCGTCGGATAGAGATCCACAGTCGAATCATGGGGTCTATTCAATGGGGAAAAAGCGGCAGGGCCTGGGCACTAAAGTGAATTGGGAAAGCCAAGCAATGGCAGAGGAAATCATGTACATAGGTCGGTAGTCATTCTGTTTCTTCTTAGGCGGTATACGTATAATGTAGATAATATAGTTGCATTAAAAGATTCAAGTACAACATTCTCACTATCTCAGTTGTTGCGGGAAGTTGCTCATTGGCAAGGAGTAGGAAAACCATGTCAACTTTTATTTGAATATGCATACGATTATATGTGGTTAATAGCTATCTTTCTGGCCCTTTCCTGTTCCGACCGTTGTGCTTTTGTGCAATTTGTTCAAAGAAGGCCGATCACGGTACGGCTGATGAGGAACACTATAGATGTAAGTGAATACGCACGCAACACACAATGTCGCAGGATCATCTGCTCAAGGCTCTGGTATATCCGGGTTAACGATAGCCGCTTGAACATGCACAGGGAGGACAAAAGTATTTCCCAGTCCCGCCCAGTGAAGCGCGTCGAGTCTTGCAAGTCCAAGTTTCACAAGTGGGAAGCTTTGGCTTTGGCACCGCAGAACCTGTAGCCACGAGTCTACTAAATGCTTTCCCCGTACCGCATGTGCCATGTTCGGAGCCTGTACCAGTAGCAACATGAGGTAATTTGAAATTGTCGCAAAACCAATTCGCGACCCTAATAAAACGTTAGCACCCAGTCAGATGAAATAGTGGAAGTCAAGGTGTAAGCTTACAAGAATACCAGAATGCCGTGAAGTCACTAGACGTCAGTCGTCTCGCAAAGTTCACCAAGATGGAGGCACACTTCTCTGCCGCTTGTAAAGTGGCATCGCCAGTCCCAAACTCATCGGAGATAGCTATTTCCGGCAACGATCCAATTTCCGGGAGATCCATGAAGTCTAGTATCGACTCATCTACGGGCAATGGTGATGTGGCAGACAGATCTTCCAAGTCGAAAATAAGTGGCGGGTCGGATGATCGTGCCATCGGTCTGAGCATCGCACGGTAAACATAGACCACGAGCAACAGGTAAGCAAAATGGATCGACGTGGGGTATGGGGCAAGCCCATTCACGGATTTGCTCCAATTGGGGAGTCGAAAGGTTTCAGGAAGGGAAGAATACCAGCCATTCAACTTTTCAAGCAGCCCGCGGCCTAGCTCGGCAGAGGCGATGAAGTTTGCGTTCAAGAATTGGGAGGCCCGGAGCGTGCTAAAAATCAGGATTAGTAAGTTGCTCTTCGCCGGCGAACATCAGGGGCTCGAGAGCCAAACTTACTAAAATGTATCATGGATCTCTTCGCCGATTCGTGCAAGATTAATTAGGTATCGGAACGGGATCTCGGTATCACACGAACTAGTTGAGAATCCTTGTCGTGGGCCCACTAGAAAGTCTCCTTCATCCAATTCACTCACGTCCCACTCTGCGGGATGGATATACGGCGGACGGCCCATCAGCAAACTGCGCCATTTGTCTTCGGCATACACGGCCCACCACAACCGGCGCCGGAGGCGCTTCTCCCATGCAGGAATGCCCCACATGCGGCATTCGATGTGAAGGCCGAGGGAACAGGCCAGCCCAACGATTTGGCCGACGAAGGACCACAGAAACGGGGTATCGGCGGTCGTGAGACGTGTTTCATCTTTTGGCATTTGGTGTATATATAGCAACGCTGCTTGCAGCACGGCGAGACGGGGACTATGTATCTCTTCGGTCACGAGTTCATAGACCATCCGCCACAAGGTCTCAACTGGCGACGCGTTATACGTGCTCAGCACACAGAGATAGTCATCATGGGCGACAAATGGAAACGCCGATGCATAGATGGCCGCGAGAAGGTGCACGGGGACCTTTTCTAATGCCGATAGCTCCGGTAGTTGATATGTCGCCGCAGTCAACCCTAGTTGGGAACGGGAAATGATTGGCAGGGCAGGGAAGACATACTTGACAAACCTGACCTTCTGTTAGTCCAGTGATACTTCGGGCGTATATTGAGGGGTAGTACTCACAAAGCTACTAGTCTCCTTCCATATTCAGGGGGTACTAGAAAGTCCAAGCGTTCTCGTGTTGCTTCGCCGACTCCGGCCCTAGTTTCATGCTTAATGGAGGTAGTGAGCTCTTCTGACGAGATCATGAAATGTATTGGAATTCTTTGTGCCGTAGGGACACCTCCGGCGTTGCGAAAGTGCACTTTGTAGAAATATTTCATCCCAGAATCGTCAAAGCAACAATGTCTTAACAACCAAGGGTCTGATTCGGACGATGCGCCGAAAAGCTGGGCGTTACCGTGTTCCAATTGATCAATGCTCTGGACGAACTGGGTCGGGGGTCTTCCGGGGCCTAGAACACCGGACCCTGGAGATAACCCAGGATTACTTGGATCAAGGCCGATGTTTGGGAATCGTGGTTCGACGCTTTGTCTTAAACTCCCTGCCAAACTGGACTCGCGGGTGAAATTGCTGTCGCATGTTTGCGGGGCAAATGTATTTCCATCAACACTTTGTGCGCCAAAAGGCGACAAATTCTCCACGGTTCGCGCTCTTTTCGGTGGAGGATTATCAAAGGTACAGTCCAGTTTGGCCGATCGGCATCGCTGACAGGCGCCTCCGCCGTCAGTTTGACAGCCTAGCTTGCGGCCACGGCATTGATCACACGGGCGCTGACGTTTTGATCGATATGGCCGAGCAGAAAGGGGAGAAGACATGACTTGTTTCAGTTGATCGGCGAACGCAAGGAATGTAGGCTAACGCGCACTTTATCAGGCCAAGCCAGTGGAGAGATTATCGGCGAACAGAGAACTGAGGACGGCCGAGATGAATGGCCGAAGGTATAAGCCAGAAAATTCACAAGGCAAAGAATAACATAAGGTTGGCCGAAAGTTGCCAGCAGCGAATCGATGCCACGTGACACGGATCAATGATGTCATCCGCCGAGCTGTGACGGCGCACCGGCGAACGCAGATAGCCGCCACTTCGGCAGACATTCAACGGCCATCAACCAACCTAATTCTTTCGGTCGATGTAAAATTTTACTTCTTGGCAATGCCACAGGACATACATAAATGATCTGGATATCCGGGTTGTAGATATTTATATAGATTAAAACAAATTCAAAAACATTCAAAAGCACTGTTAAAACATATATATCCATCAAAGCACTGCTTCATCCCTCTAAAACCAAATCCACAAATCCACCCCAGAAATATCCATTATCATACCCAAAAAATGTCTGGAAACAGCAGATTGAGCCGCTACGATCACCTCAAGGCTATCTTTTCCAGGAATTCTAGCCAAGAGCGGGAGATCAAGGACGATGCAACATCCGAAACTACACTGGTCCCACGGTAAGACTACCCTAACTATGCATAGATATCACAATGCTAATTCCTGATAGACAGACAAAGGCAAAAAGCTACAAGAAGCGTGACATCCCCCAGAATTACAATGGTGAGCACCTCTACCCTAATCTAATGACATGCGACATCAGCTAATGGGGAAATATTGTTCAGCAGCCGATATGTGCTTCGGCTCTTGCTGCAGGAACTGATCGATATCCAATCATCTCAGTGACAGCCATACAGCCAAGCATAAGATACCATACGCATTTTGACACGACATTTTTGGGAAGACGAACATATTGAATGCCTGCCATTCACCCTTCATACATATAATTTATAATTCATCAGCCTCATCTTCTTTCCATTTGCCTCACTTCTTTTCTTCTTTTTCTTTAGATGTAGGAGGTATGCAGTTGGGGATATATTAGACAACAAAAATCCACTGGTAGTTCGGGGTGTAGAACTCTGTATGAATAGATGTAAGGGCTCGGAATGCGCGGCAAATGGTTTGGTATTTCATCCCCTTTTGCCTAATAGGAATCCTATAAGCGGATTTGGTCTGATTCGTTAGGGGAAAGTAGAAATATAAATTTCATATAAATTTCACTAAAATGATTCTCATTATGATGAGCGGGGTAAAAGAAAATGCATAAAATATATTGTACATAGTTAACTTTTGGACTACCTCAATTCTACTATGTTCATTATTGATCATTAAACTGCATAAATTGTCTCAATGGTAACTGGATCTCCCAATGAAACTAACAGCCTCTCAAAATTGCGGCTTATGCTCTTCCATTTAAGCGACCGAGTTCCGAGCTAAAACCACGGGCTCAGCCGAAACTGCGGGGACATAGATACATCCATTGGGATTTAAAACCGTCGTCTTCCCCGAGCTGTTTCTTAATAACGCAGTAAAAACCCTATAATTCTTGTATCGGATCATTTCTTTTAGTCCACTACAGCTTGTCGGCGTCTATTGCTCAGCACAGTATGATCTTCGAACCAGCAGAAAGGATTCTGCTTCCAACAAATGACCTATTGTCGTACACTTTTGACGAACCAACATACGACCAAGACCAGCCAGTGAGTGACAACCGATATTTCAACTTTATCATCGATCGCCCAACTGACCCTGGTAGCTCTACGTCGACGTCAGCAATCCCACCCGGTCGATCTCCTGTAATCAGGCGCGAAAGCTCGTTCGTCGGCTCATTGCCGGTCTACGGGCAGCTGGTCTGAAGAAAGGCGACTGTGTTCTCATCCATTCTTTCAACGATGTACGAGGTTCCAGCATACAGTTGCAATGTAATTACGGGATGCTAACTTATTTTAGATAAACTACAGCATTCTTGTGTTGGCCATTATTGGAGCTGGAGGAATTTTCACGGGCTCAAACCCATCTTACACCCCACATGAGCTCGCTCACCATATCCGGGCTTCCGAAAGCAAGTTCCTTTTCTCCGAGCCCGAGATCTTGGATTCTCTCCTACGCGCGGCTGGGGAGGTAAATGTGCCCAAACAAAATGTTTGGGTTTTTGACAATCTGGGACAAGCTATTCCTGGTGGAATGCGATCATGGAAAGAATTGTTAGAAGTTGGCGAGGAGAATTGGGTGCGATTCAACGATCTAGAAACCTGCCAACAGACTACAGCAGCGAGACTGTTTAGCAGTGGCACCACTGGTCTGCCCAAAGCCGTGACAATCACACATTACAATCTCATTGCACAGCATGAGGTTGTTTACGGCGTGAATCCACGTCCTTATCCTGTCAGTTCATGTTCCGTATCAGCTTGGAAAGACCTTTGACCAATGAGTGCGATATCACTAACACCTGAAATATTCGAATAGATTTCCCGGGTCATTGCAGTACCCGTCTTTCATGCAGCTATAGCTCCAGTAACGCATGTTTCGACACTGAAAGCTGGCGCAGTCGTATATATGATGCGCCGGTTCGATCTCGAGACTTACCTCACTACAGTCGAAAAGTACAACGTCACCGATCTTTCTCTTGTTCCACCGATCGTGATAGCAATCCTGATGTCGCCTCTTTCTCGGAAGAAACCCTATCTGCAAAAGGCCCGAATTGCAGGTTGTGGAGCAGCTCCTTTGGATAAGAATGTCCAAGCCAGGTTCCGCTCACTGATGGGTGACAACAAGCCATTCACTCAGGTATGGGGTATGACTGAAACATGTTGTATCGGTACCAACTTTCCCTACCCCGAGCACGATGATACGGGCTCTGTTGGCCGGCTTGTCCCAAACCTTGAAGCTAAGTACGTTATATCTACCGCACATGTAGCACTGGTGTCAAGTCTGCGACTAATATCTATTCTGCTCAGACTCATCGATGAAAAAGGAGAGAATATCTCGGCCTTTGATGTCCGTGGGGAGCTGTGTGTCCGAGGTCCGACAATTACACCCGGGTATTTCAACAACCCCGGAGCTAATACCGAGGCCTTTGATTCCGAGGGCTGGTTCAAAACGGGCGACATAGCGTATTGTGACCAGCGTACTCGCAAATGGTATATTGTGGATCGCAGGAAGGAACTGATCAAAGTCCGCGGCTTCCAGGTGGCCCCACCGGAGATTGAGGCAGCGCTCTTGTCGCATCCGCAGATTGTGGACGCAGCAGTCATTGGAATTACTTTCCCTGGTACTGATATCGAGTACCCACGTGCCTACGTGGTTCGACGACCTGGCGAGGCAGGGTCTAAGCTTACAGAAGCTGAGATTCAAGAATATGTTTTGACTCGCCTTGCGAAATACAAAGCACTCACAGGTGGGGTGAAATTTGTGGGCGCGGTTGCACGGAATCCGAGTGGGAAGATGTTGAAGAGAGTATTGCGCGAAGATGCCAAGAAGGAAATCGAGGCTGGGCTACTGAAGGCTAAGCTATAAGGTCAATATAGAGGTAGAATTAGCTCGTGCCATGAATTTTGGAATATATTTCTCTTTGTCTCAATCAATAATTTGAATACTGCGGCGCTGGGAATAGCACGAGAAAAAGAAAACGTAAAATAAAAGAGTCATCGCCTGGGGGCGATCCGGCAGCTCGAGATCAAACCGCACTCGAGCTGAGCGATGGGGGTTCCAAATAATCGGTGAGCCAATTTATCCAATTGTTGCCAAAGAGAAACCGCTTAGCCAACCGCCCGCCCATCTACACATTCACGCCGTGTAGTACAATATATTATAAAGGAATTGTGACTTGAACTTCAATCACGACAACCTTCTCATTCGACAATGTTATCGGCAGTGACGCACTATAATTCACAGCAGGATTCAGCTGCTTTGATATCTTGGCAAGGATATACGGCGTTTTGCATTAGATAGCGCCACTTGGATCATTGAAGTGGGGAATTGCGGAGAAGCCGAGTTCCGCGGCTAAGCATAACTTTCGCGGGGTAAGGTCATCCATGGACAAGGTGATTAGATTAGATCATATCTTGATCTGTTTATATTTCCACGGTTGGGTCTTAAAAGCCAATGCTGAATTATCGAACCAGTAGCTTGTGGTTGTGGAATGGGTGCACACCTTTTATATATTTTCACTAGGGTAGGTAGTTACCTAGTAGGCTAGTTTTACTGTAGCCAGTCATTTCCACCGATCAAACCACAGCCTAGGTACATTGAATAGAGGTTTACAGTTATGAATCACATACCAGCTAAGATCGTTGGAATCATCGAGAGCTAACAAGGATCCAAAGTTTAAGGACATTATTATCCACATGGCAGTTGAGTGTGCATAAGCGGCTCCGGGATGACACATCCGAGTCGGCTTCTTCCAAAGTTGGTGGCATAGCCGCTGATCATGCTCAGACCCTGGACTTCCAGACCCCAGATCTGAGTTCCTACTGACCCCCGCTCAAGATATCTCCACTTCCTTCATCATCTCCCCTCCAATCTCTGACATAAGAAAACCTGGATGTCATAAACAAAATGTTGCGACGCACAAGAAGATCGCCAACGGCATGCTCCTGGTGCCGTCATCGCAAAGTGCGCTGTGATGCAGCAATATTTGGCTCTCCTTGTACCCGGTGTCGACAAGACGGTCGCAGTGAATGTGTTCTTCGCGCTCAGAATCCTAACCCGTGAGATTAAATTGAACAGCCTACGTCATGCACTCATGTACTGACCTTCATTAGGTCACCAAAATCTGGAAACCCGGTGCTTCCCACGCAGCGAAGTCTAGCGTCAAACAATGTGATCACTGGTCGACACCCTGACCACCGGCGCCAGTCAAATGGTCATCAACCTCTTACCTCACAGCTCCGTGCACAACGTCTGAGTCCCGATGACCGTAGTACAAGCCCACCCAATTGCCCCAATGTTCCGTATACCGAATACGCGTTTGTCGATTCTCAGCAATTGTTGTCACTCTCTTCCGAAGATATAGCGTTTCTCACATCCAAAAACTGTCTAAATTTGCCAGCCTCCGATACAATCGACGCATTTGTCCAACAGTACTTCAGGCGTATTCATCCACTAGTACCTGTCTTGGACGAGGCCGAGTTCTGGCGCATTTATCGAAACAATCAATCTACCGGCTCCAAAATCTCTCTTTTTGTGTTGCAATCATTGCTTTGCGCAAGCTGTCCGGTAAGTGTCATGCTATACTCCGGTAACTCCTGCGCTTGGACTGAACCATAATAGTTTGTGCCTTTGGAAGTATTGCGCCAATGTGGATTTGATAGTAGGAGGGATGCACGAAAACAGCTGTACAACAGAGCCAAAGTAGGCATCCCCAAATTCAGTGTCACATTTGCCATGGACGGGTATTGATCGCGCTGGATGCAGCTACTATTCGATCTGAAAACTGAAAAACGGTCTCATGCAAACGCGCAAGGCGCTGTTATGCTTACACATTATACATCTGCGGACGACCCCCAGTCTGGAAGCTTGTGGGTCACAAGGGCTATCGAGCACGCTATGCTCAATGACGATCAACCATTCCTGGCGGAAAACGTGGCAATATCGCTCAAGAAACGACTTTGGTGGTCTATCCTTCTTCGAGACCGAAGTCTGTCTGTTGGCCTACGCCGCCGTCCTCAGGTGACTTCGGTCAGCTTGCATGGATGGAGTGATTGGCTGAGTACGGAGGATTTTAGTGAAGAGTTGCATCAGTCTCAAGTCTACGACTATGATACAAAGAAGCGTTTACTGGAGGCACTTCAGAAGCAATGTGAGCTAGCAGTGCTACTCACAGATCTGGTGACTTTGGCATTCACCCACCAAAAGACTCCAAGGCGGCTCCTATCTATGATTGAATTCCAGGGCCTCTTGTTGAGTATAAAAAATATCAAAAAATCCCTTGACGAGTGGGAACTGCCAATCCAGCCTCTGAGTTCACCAAGCGAGACATCAACGTCGGAAGGAAATGACGCAGTTGAAAAGTTGACCCACATGACTTATATGTACTACCAGTTCGTAAGCCGCTTACATTCGACTGTCTTCAAGACTAACCAAGTGGCTGTCTGTTTCTAGCGCAGCGCAAGTGGATCTGGCTCAGTATGCGGCATACATACTGGAAGAGAACGTGTTCTATGCGGGAGACAGATACAGCGATCTGGTGCTAGAAATCAGTAATGACCTCAGGGATGGGATTGAGGGGTTGAGTCTGGTGATGGAACATTTCAGTATCAATGGATATGCTGATAGTCTTCCCTTGAGTGTGTTAGTACCTCTTTCATTTTCATCCTTTACCTATTTCCAACGTTTCGCCACCAGGTGGACTGCTGCTAATATGAACGGCAGACTTGGATACGTTAGCATGCCACTCGTACTGGCAGCCATAGACCTCAAGCTTTCCCCTTCTCAGAAGGAGACAGAGGCAAGACAGCGACGTTTGAACTCGCTGAGTCAAATTATCCGTCACTCAGAAACACTATACGATGTCACTGATCGCGTCGCCGTCGCGACCAACCACCTTTTGCAGCTTGCCTATGTGACAACACAGAACCTCCCCTTGGAGCAAAAAGCACCCCAGCTATATTCATCAGACAAAATAGCGAGAGAGAACGCTTTACCTAGCAACCAGTCCCCGGCTAGAGCCTCCAATAAATCAATTTCCCCCAGAACCAACCGCCCAACGAGCTGGCAAGATGCGTTCATTCGGTGCCCGAGGGCATATCTTTTGATATCGACGGCTGTGGACTATACTATGGCAATTGGGAATCTGCCATGCGCGAATGTTCTTCCTGAAATTGTTCGCGACCTTCCAGCAATGGGCGTTATTGCTCGACTTCCCTGGACATCTGAGATTCCATTCTCGCAATCCACAAACTCGCTTGTAAGCCGTATGAGCCAAATCCAGTGGAAGAGCTACCCTGCGAGCGTGCGTTCATCCTCTGTTGAATGGATAGATGTCTTGGAACCGATCAACATTGAGACCGGGACGGAGAAGAACCTCACCCCGCAAAGGGTCCAATTCAACTACAACTCATCACGAGATGCATTTTCCGAATATTCTGCGACTCCTTCCTTCATTATAGAAGAGCAACTGCGATACATCGACAGAGTAGCGGAGCAGACGGCGTATAAGACTACCGCACCGAACCTGGATTTCATGGACTTTGGAGATTGCCAAAGTGCATCAAACAATGTGACGGAAACTTGTGCCGTCAGGATTCCATTGGAATTTTTCGGTCACGACTTGCAGGCCGAGAGCCCATTGGACCAGCAAGTGTTTGACACCTACGGTGCCACATTACCCCAGTCGATCAAAGCGATTGACTCGACAATCTTTGACTCGTTCTTTCACGCAGGATTTGAACAGAATTGGGTCGTTCAATAGGACAGACTTTGGCTAAACAATGACATGAACATTGCAGAAAGAAATCTTAAAATAATGGCAATATCCGCAACAAAACATTATCTCCTAGGTAGTCCGGTAAGGTGTAAACACATCCCCGGAGCCAGCTGCAGACACGATTATGCGATCTCACACACTGCCAGGTATGATATACTTTCGCACGATATTCAACATGATCTATGAACGCCTAGGCCTCACCAAGAGTCCACGCCGCACAATTCACGTCATCTTTAGGCTCGTTTTCATTTCGGCCAAGCATCAGTCGGTAATTTATTTATGCGGAAACGAAAGTCTGGGGCTAGACACACTGCACATGGCCAACACGAGACAAAATTGTATGCAATGCAAGCCGAATTTCCCCGATGATTCCTCCGACAACGCTCCCACGCTTTGAAATCATCAATCAACTGACGCAATATCTTGGCGAGAAGTGTTACCATTATCCCTTTTCGTGGAAGGACATTTGAACTCCTGTTGTTGCGGGAAGAGAGGAAAGTGGGTGTATCCAAGCCATCAGGAATGGAATGATCGACAAGGATCGACATTCATCCCACGCCGAGAACTTTTCTCAGTGGCGCAGCGTTAACGGATTTTTGCGCGGATCCCTTCAATAGACAGGGGTTGGGGTACCCCGGTAAATCATTTGAATGCTTAAAGTTGGGATCTCCCTTCAAGATAAGGAAGTTGACACACAGCAGTGACAACATTCAAAGTGGCATCGGGATCCCCACTTAATCCTTCACCCTTGCTGTCGTGTTCTATTGTTCGGAATACCAAGACCAGAAGCTGACTATACACTTTGCTATACTTCCTGTGTGTTACTTCGTACAATATGTTGCAGTATGTGGCATATAACCATATCGAAATATGTAGTTATATCTCCGTCGATGCGGTGAAACCTTCGACTAGATCGTGACGATCTAATTCGAGCATCGAAATGAGTCGGAGTGCGCCTAATATCCACCTGGCAGCAATTGAAGTATACCGGGTCTTCGCCTGCGCCTTTGCTCTGCCTTGATCAGGTGGTGATGTCACACTCCCAGCAGACAGGATGGTTAAATATGGTTTGAAGCCAAAACACCGCCCAGTCGGTGGGCTGGCCAATTGGAGGTGAGCCCAGAACATCCATCCCCTTGGCGTTATCGCGTATTTTTGGCGGCTTCATACTCCGTACGGAGTAGAGCGATTGACCTTGCCTGGTATGAAGATACCAACAGCATTGAGGGAGCAGGATTTATCACGCCTTGGCGTATAGTATTGCTTTTTCGGATGCAAATATTCAATCATCTTCCCGCCCGAACAGTAATTTTTGTTCTTTTTTTTTTCCTTTTTGTAAAGTCTCATCTTACAATAGCCATAAAACTCCCCAATCTGATCGCTATTGCAGTACTCAGTTCCGAGTTGGGCATAGATTGGTGCAGCCCACATATCTATTTCAAGGAGAACATGCCAAGATTTGACCCGTCAGCGCGACTCAGTGCCTGAACTGCTTGTTGATGTAGTCAACCTAGTCAACCTAGTCAACGCCAAGATTCAGTATTCGAGGCTGTGTTATCGGAACTCAGCCGTTGGCATGCATAGATAAGACTCCGTGGTGAACCACACTAGTGATGAACCATTGAAGCTGCTGGAGATCTTTCTTGGCGACTAGTCTTACTGTAGCGCGTGGCGGCCCCGAACCCGACTAGTGACGGTGGATACGTCGATCCCTTGGCAAATAAAGTCAATAAAGTCCACCTTTGACGTTTTCAGGGGCCAGAACAGGCGATAATACTCGACGCCATCTCAGCCTAAGGGGCTACACGCATAGTCACATATCAATCGTACAAATACAGGGGTAAGCGAGTTTAAATAACGGTGATATGTCACAATGATTCCAAATTTAAATTCGGTCGACTGCCGCGTAGTGATTGTGCAAGAAATAGCCAATCAATGTCCTAAAAGTGTAACCATGGCGCCAAGAAATAATGTGAGGAAATGCTGCGGATTGCTTGGGAAACGAAGAAGCCTAGGAGTCGGCTCTTGACAGCCTCCACCGAGCCAAGGTAAATCCTGAATCCCCAGCTTCCGACATCGTATTACAGCTTGATTTTCAATGAAGTCCGGGGGATGAATTACGCACGTAGCGAGAATAATCAGGGTGCCAAGAGAACGCCGAGATTCAGCCCAGATGGGATCTGTGAGATCAACTCATTCCAGGATGGGTATTCATATTGGGCTACTGATTTTTATACAGATTGGCCATGTGATATGATCTGGTTATGTCGATAATCAACGTTATAGTGCTTGCATACGCATAGTGTATGTGAGATGAAGAGCCGTATGGAGTAGATATAGATTAAGTAGTTCGGCTCCCAACGTATCCCTCGGCGGTGTAACACATACACGAGACGAGTAGGGATGGGGCAAGTAATACTGTTTCATGTCATCGGGGTGTTTTCTTATCTTTCTTGGCAAAGATCTAGTGTATTCCTTTCATGGAGAGGGTCGGAATAAACCCGAAAAATGGATCAGTATTAAAGAAGGCTGAGTCCGTGTCTTGTTTGGCAATCTATTCCTTTTCATATTGACAGCTAAAGCAAGACCTTCCAGGCTTGATTCTGTTTATAATAAGCTTCTCCGACCTTAAATAATACATACATATTTGCAATAATCCCACTATGCACCACCGGCCCCCTTCCCCGTCGGGAGATATCAAGCCACTTGCACCAACAGGCCACCGTGCCCCCGATAACCGTTCTATCTACCAGAATGAGTTAACAACTGCCAATTTTCGTTTGGAGCGGCCAAATGAGGAAATCAAATATACACCGGGCTTTTGGTCTTCTGGGGGCAGCACAGCAGTGTCTGTCTCTGGCAACCAGACAGACGACAATACGGTGTACTCGACTCTTTCTCGCCACTTCCGAGCAGACATAGACACCACACATACCGATATTCCTCTTATAATTTGCGGGTTCGTGGGTGGCTTGGTAGACGGGCTGTCATTTAATGCATGGGGCAGCTTTTCAAGTATGCAAACAGGTTAGTGCAGGCTATAGTTACCGGGGAATTTGTTCTGCAAAGCACATAGATCTAATGACAAATGAAATAGGAAATACCATCTTCTTGGCCTTGGGTCCCTCCGGCCAGCCTGCATTCCCAGCATATCTCTGGGCGAAGTCCCTGATCGCCCTCACCGTCTTCCTCGCCAGCAATATCCTCTTCATCCGCATGCATCGACTATTGACCCCGCGACGCCGCTCAACTATGATACTTTCATTTGCCATTCAAACTATTGCCCTTTTAGTCACAGCAATTCTTATCCAGCGGGGTGTCATCACCCCGAAACCCGAGGACCCCCGAGCTCCGATCGAATGGATGCAAGCCCTGCCAATCTCACTTTTAGCTTTCCAAGCAGGAGGCCAGATCTGTGCTTCCCGGATCCTGGCTCTAGATGAAATCCCAACTGTCGTTGTGACAGCTATGCTATGCGATTTACTTGTCGATCCAAAGCTGACTGCAAAATTCAATCCGAAGCGTAATCGTCGGATAGGGGCTTTTCTCGCGTTGTTTCTAGGGGCCATGACTGCGGGTGGGCTTGCTAAAACCACCAGTATGGCGTCTAGTATATGGCTTGCGATGAGTCTGAAGTTGATAGTCACCTTGGGGTGGGTGGTTTGGCAGCGAGAGGGGAGGAGGAAGAGTGATTTGGATGTTTGACTTGATCTTGTTTATTTTTGCGTCACCTATCCAAATAGGCATGTACACGAGCCCATGCAACTATTACGTATAGCTTTGTTTGCTTTATTGAAATGCCTAGTCACCTTTCATCGCCCATTACGTTAACTGCTCCGTCTTCTTTAGTCTGTGCATCGTGAAATTTTGTTGTCTGTTCCAAACACCCAGCACATCCGTACATGCGTAGTATTTGTCGCTCTTCTGTCTTCATCGGCCTCCCTGTCGCACACAACCCAACTGCCAAGCGTATAACAGCACGGCTGTGTCAAAATGACTCGCCAGTTTACGATAAAAGTCAACTCCAGCTTACATCTCGCAGTAGGTAATCATCTTCCATCGAGCCACCGCGCATCACAGATCATCACAGCTGATTTCCAGGTCTCTCAAGCCAAGTTCTAACCTTATAGCTTGGACCTCGCACCCGCATACCTACATGCTCGACTAATCGGCTAGTCATGGAATCTGAAGATTTCCCACCGTCCAATAACCAGTCTATTAACTCATTGGACCTCGACGTCACCGGCCAGCGTGGATGCCATATATCTAGCACACACATATCGTTGAGTAAATGTTTCGGTACCACACGTTTACTATGAACACTAACGTCCACTCTCATAATCACAGTCCCGTTGTCTTCCCCTTCCGGATTCGCCAACCGAGAACTTTATGAGCTCGTTCCCACTCCCGTCGGCGAGCCTCACTTTACCTCTTGGTCTTGATCTCAATGTCCAACTCCCCATTCACTCCACGGTTCCTACTCTAAGCTAGTCATTATTGGCGCGACTTATCCTGCCATAGCTTCCAAGGATTGCAGTCGCGGCAAGCCTTATGCTGCGCATCAACACAACATTCAAGAGTCCTTTATCGGGGCTTTCATGTCTGCTAATCGCTACGTTGAGTGGGAAGTCGTCGCTCAACTTGGTTTACAGATTCAGGTTACATTGCACAAGTTACACATTGGCACAGTCCAAATTATCTCTCAAAACTACATAATATGGGGCAACTCGGTTAGCAGAGCTCTTACATCTCCCAAAATCTTTTCGTCCGCAACCATCAATACAACCAAGCATCTATATGCTCTCCATCCTGCGTCATCTCTTGGATCTGTTTTGAGTCCTCGGTTTCCCTACGGTTCTTCTTATAAACATTCACGTTGTGACTGCGAGAGACACTACTGATCTTGGGTTGCTCGATGGTATAATAACAAGCCGAGAAACATACTCTGAACCACCTCGGTCGTACCTGTATGTATCTGCGCCGCCTTTGTTCGACTCTCCCGAACCCGAGTTAAAGCTCGGGAACCATATACAGATACTCGCCACATGCAAACCCACGGTTGAAAACGTCGGTCTATCCCGGGTCTATGCACCATATCGCTTCTCGATTATATGCAAGGGATTATATGCAAGGTTAGATACGTGTGGATATGATGGAGTACCTGACTAAATCACGCGACTTGTAGTTCTTATGGATGCGTCAATTATAAGGATATATGGGACTTATTGTGATCAATCTCGCGACAATCCTATGTTCACATGACAACCTCGCAGTAATTGGATCTAATTGCAAATGGTACACGGAGTATGAGGATTGAGACACAGCAGAGAAATATAATTTTGTTTGGACAAAGTTCTTGTGTTATAACCAAAATCTATAACCGAAATCTAGTCTATGATTTTATTAAATGGCTATTCTACTGGTACCTCACAGTACCGTGCTCATTTGCTCTCCTCGGAGAGAACGAAGTGCAGGACACCTGACTGTCCACTGGCACGACCCTTGGCCTCTGAGACATAGATGCACTTGCGGAAGGTCATCATCAGCGAGTACAAGAAGCCCTCATCCTTCTGCTCGTGGTAGTTTTCAGCGAGCATGGGCTGGATAGCCTTGGTGGCCTTCTCGGCGTTGTAGAAGGGGATGCGGCTGAACAAGTGGTGGACAACGTGGTAGTCAATGATCTCGTGGAAGAAGTGACGACCAATGAAGCCGGTGGTGCGGTCAATGGTAGCAAGGGCTCCCTTGGTGTAAGTCCAGGCCTCGGCAGTGTAGTGAGCAACATCGGGGTGGGTGTGTTGGAGGTATGTGATGGCAATGAGCCAGTGGTGAACCCAGAGGTAGGGGACGACGTAGAGGAAGAAGACATTCCAGGCTCCGATGATGGTTCCAGTGTACCAGACGATCGAGCCCATGATGAGCAAACCGATATCGGAGTAGGCAATCAGCTTCCACTGGGCAGCAGTGAAGATGGAGGCGGATGGGTTATAGTGGCTAGCAAACTCGACCTTCTCGCATCCGTCAGGACCGCTCTTAACACCAGCAGTCACATTCAGGATGAGGTACATCTGCCATCCGAGCAATTGGTGTCCGATGAGCTGGACCAGGGAAACAATGGGTGTCTCCTCGGCGAGGTCCTTGAGCTGCTCAATGCTGACATTACGCTTGGTGGCCAAATCATCCTCGGTCCAGGGGACAAAGACGGTGTCCTTCTCCATGTGGCCGGTGTAGCGGTGGTGGCGAGCGTGTGTGATTTTCCATGAGAAGTATGGGACCATAAGGAAGGAGTGTGTAGCCCAGCCGATGAAATCATTGATGCCCTGGTGCTTGGAGAAGGCTCCGTGGCCACACTCGTGAGCGAGAATCCATAGTCCAGTGCCAACGCAGCCTTGGAAGAAGCCGTAGGTGGCCCAGGCGATGATGCGTAGAGGCAAAGAAGGGAGGAGGTGGATGTGGAGGGCAGCGTAGATCAGAACTGCACAGTAGATGCTATCGCGAAGCAGGTAGAGGAGGGAGGTGGCGAGGGATGATTCAAAGCATTCCTTGGGGATTGCATCTTTGAGGGCTTGCAAGCTGGGAACTTCGGTTTTCTGTGGAACGTTAGTCTATGCGCATTGTTGACTGCATGAATATCTCATACCTGTACCTGTTCTGCCTTAACCGGCTGCCTTTTTGTCACAGCCATTTTGAAAGTAAATTTAAAGATTTCAAGATGAAGATAAGAAAAGATGTCGAGGATTTGAGTGTATTTTTATTTCCCTCTTTTTTTTTTTTTTTTCTCCTTTCGCCCCCCCCTCGCCCCCATGGAGTTATCCCCTAGTCTCAAAAAAAAAGGAGCTCTAGATTGTCGGACCTCAAAAATATATTGACCAATCCCCTTTTTCCAATTCTTTTCCAGAAGACTGTCAAATTGGGAGCACTGACAAAGGGGTAGCCTTTTCATTGGCTAATCTTGTAACGGGTGGACGCGCTTGTTCCATGGATTCACATGCACTAGCCTCTTTTCTTTTTAATTTTTTCAACGTTTCTGCGTTTCTGGAGCCCAACGAAATTTGATTTGAATATCTTATTTTTTTTTTCCAATACAAACGGCATAATGAACCTGATTTAGAATGCCATGGGAGACACCTGATAGAACCCTGTAAATCTATGGACGCTACTGGCATATTTCGGTGTTTGCCTATCCACACGGGAAGTCTTGTACAACCCCTTTTTCGACCTCGGGAGAATCTAAGGGATCCACTAATAAGCAAAGGTTGGGAAAAAAAGTCAATAAACGGCTTGGCGGTTATCTCGTTGTCCTACTGGCTCTATCAGGTGTACCAAGTGCACTGCCCTCAATTGCTAATCTCTCGAGCGCTTTTCGATCATTCGATTATAACATGAAATGTGCTTTACCAGATACATGGTCAGCACTTCGGCTATTGGAGGAATTGCTTTGGACTTTATTTGAAGCTTATTTCCGTCTAACGTTGTACAACATACCTATGTAATCCGTAATGTACGCGGCGTCTCGGACCAATGTTGTCTTAGCTTCAATGAAGTTTCATATATTGCTCAATCATAGCAATTAACAATGACCTATCATTTCTCATAGCATTTGCCTAATCACGAAGGTATCGAAAATAACGTATCATGTCACTCGGGTCGTTGGTTCCCGATATTTTGAATCGAGCGTTTCGCGTGCAGTTCTGATATGTACCTAGATCCAACCAAGGGGGGAATACGATATTTATAGAATACGAGACAAGGCTGTAGGGCATTTGCATTGCCTATGTCGGGAATAATAATTACCCCCCAGGGCGACGGTTTGAGCCCCGGGAACAGGCAAATTCCCGGTTGTCGCCATCAATACTCCATACCCCGTACCTTATTTAAAGTTACATAAAGTTTGAACTTTCCAGGATCTGTGTGGATGCACGTGATGGCAATAATACACCGCCCCGGAAAAAACTCGGAATCACATGAGAATAAAGATTTGCATGTGCCCAAATTGCATGTGTTAAAATCACATCATTTTGCGTTCGCACGGGATGAACGTTCATTCGTCCATTCACTTTCTCTATCTTTGATCTCGTTGAAACCATCCATTGTACTTCTTTATGTGCTCAATTTGCCTACTCGAGGCAATAGATTCTACCAATATCTAGATGTGATATATCATACCAGCTAGTTTTAGATATATTAAAGCTATGCAACTTATATTTTAGTATCTCTCGGGATTTTTCCAACCCAATAATATAACGCGCCGCACCTAAAAAAGAAAAGCAAACACATATTATTGGTATCGTCCCATTGGTTGTTATTTTGTTAAGTGGGTCCTGATCACATGCCACATGACCCTCGAGATTGCAAAAGTGTCTGCTTTCACTTGTTTACTATATCACATGTATTTATTTGTGTTATCTTTATATCGTATTGAGCACCTCGGACCACGTGTAACAATTTGCTATCAACGGTGTAATCCTGTGCGCTTTATTGGTTTGCTCTTTTGCAAATTCCGGTAACAGCTTAGTCTGGGACCGGAAGCTAAGCCCTAGGAACCGGTGGAGCATGCTTTGAAATCGGGGGAGGTTGGGCAGAGTGTAAATTGATGAAAACGCGAAAAGGGGACACAATTGTATAATCTGGCTAGCCATCCATACACATTTGGGAGGTATATCTTGAGGGAGCAAATATCTCCAAGACAGCAAGGTCTTCAAACTTTCAAAGAATTGGTTCACATCACGACGAACCTTTGAGATATTAGTCTCGAAGGAAATACTCATCGCATCTCCAACGGTGCCTATCCATTGCTCTTAACCTCATCCTCAGAGCAATAGAGATACTCCGTTCTACTGACAACATTGTTGAGCCTTTTGAACCTCACCCAGAAAATGGTCGTCTGTAGAGCCAGCGCGACAGCCGGTGCCCCCAACTCCATAATAGCCATGGATCCTTCGTACCTGGAATAAAAATTTCACCAAGTGCACTCGACAGAGCATTCATAAATTGGAAGACTGCCACAACCAAGCCTTTCATGCTTTGAGGTGATCACGAATAGGTGGCTCTTTATAAATTTTATTGCGAACCGGTAAAAGTAGATATGTGAGTAGCAAATAAATGACATCTTATCAATAGAAACCACAGCCAGAAACCAACATACCTCTCAGCGTATGTAGTACAAACCGCCGATGTTTGTAAAGACGTAAAGAATCAACATAGTCCTTGTAGTCGTGGCATCTGGGCCAACGATGAACCAGAGTTGAGCTGCTTGGTGTAGGCTTTCTTCTGGTGAATTTGGTCTAGGATAATGGGTGAGATATTCGATTTGAATATTCCAGCGCCGACAGCCAATATGGGTATGCCGAGGATGAAGGGTGGAGCGGCGTTAAAAGTTGAGATTGCATAAAGTTGGGGAAGACGGTCTTGGTTCCATAGTAGGATGCACGTTCAGCGAATTCAACCAGACAGAGTGAAAAGGAGACAAGAGGTAGAGTGCCTGCGACTCGGCGCAATGTCTGGCTGTCGGCGTCTGTGGCACGAGGGAACTTGTAGATGTGCATTCCTATTGATTTCAGTTCTGTGGGTTCGCAACTTTTCCACATCCCCAGGGAGTCTGAAGCTTGATTGCACGTCCGTCATAGCTACCCATCAATTTGTTACTCTTGAGAACAACGGAATATTTATGTGATATCAGAAGCTGTTGTCTTGTGGGGCACGCGAGAAAGGGATACAAGACCCCTTTGCGAAGCAAGGATTGAAGATGCAGGACAATGTGTCTCACTTTGGTAATTGTTGAGACTATACAGATGAAAATAATTTCCCGTTCATTGGGATACGTTGCATCCTCCGAGCCTTCCAGTTCGGTAGTATCGTAGGTCCAAGGCCCCTCTCTCTGGGCAACCCTCTTGCGATGAGACAAAGTAGTTTGAGCGGCAGTTGATCCAACCGAGTCATATCGTATTCTAAAATTCCAAGGGTTTAGAGGCAGATAGTAAAACATGATTGGGCATTGACGAGACACAGTATCACCTAGGTAAAAATGGAGGTTGGATGTTTAGGTGGTTTACAAAGGGTGGTTAGCGGGTGAGCGAGATTCACTTATGGTTACTACTAAACCAGTCCACTTTAGTTCCATGGAGAAGATTTTGTGGATTCCTCTTTCGAATTTAATGTACCACGCCTCCTATATAGGAAGTTAGTATCGTCCAACATCGGAATAGACTTCATTCTTCGCAATTAGTCTCAATTCTCGCATTCTCAGGGCCTAGACTGTCATGGTGAATTAATCTATCGCCTTCATTCTTTTTAACACGTCGAGTTTAGTTCCCCAGGCATATTACACACATTAGATAGACCGAGATGGCGAATAACACTTATAGTGTAACGCGAATAATGTCGCTCCTACTCTTCCACTTAACTAATGGTCTGTGAAGCATAATATCGCAACTTTGTCACATATGTTGCAAGGTTCGGGTATCCATTCGCCTGGTACTAAGGTGACCATATCAGACTCTAGTTCGCAATCGAGAAGGTATGCTACACCTAAATATAGCCAAAAGTGACTACATCCGAGGGTGCATTCAGTTATGTGGTTGTATGTGATCGGTTTGCGTTAAGACAAATGACATTGGGGCTCACTATGGGCTGGATAGTCTACGCATTAGAGGAATATCGGATTGAAAAGAAACAGGCGCACACGTGACCTGTATGGGGAAAAAATCAACACCTTTCGTTTGTTTCTTCCCAAAATATACAACACGGACTTTGTTCTTTTATTCAATTTGCACCTGGAGCTCGATCATCTGCAAAATGGGTTCAGATAACGGGGACTTTTTTGAGCAATTTGCTATTCTCACACCTCGATTTATTATTGTTCCCACCACCACAGCCATATCTTTCAAATCATACCGGGCCCTTTATTCCGAGCTACATGCGAATGTAGATTTCTGCCAAATGGGTTTCGGACATCACTTTCCAGCGAGGACATGGAACGATGATGAGACGCGTGATTGGATGCAGACGCGTGATATTGAACGTTGTTGGCAAAAGCGCAGTTTAGGTGATTTCGCTGTGGGGTTGCGCGGACCATCCACATTTGATTCCGACATTCAGACCCCACAAAATGGTGATTTCACCTTGCTCAAAGGCGATGACTATGCTCGGGTTGCGGGCCTCAATAATATCCATCTCGCCGCTTCCGAATGGGTGGGATATGCAGGTGTCCGTGATGCCACAACAACCTCGATGCCGCCACGAGAACCTGGTGATCCTGCGCTGCCATCATGGGTTGAAATGATTGAGTTGCGCTACGGTGTCTCGCCAAAATTCTGGGGCCAGGGAATTGTACAGGAAGCATCGAAGGCTGTTATGCAGTGGTCTGTCGATGAAAGAGGGGTCAAAAGGTTCATCGCCGAGACGGAGAGAGAAAACAGTAGGAGTGCAAAGGTGTTGCAAAAGCTTGGTTTTACACCGAGTGATACGAACTATTGGAAAGAACCGACTGAACTGGAATGGGAGTGTGCTGCCAAATGAACCTTGAGATATTTCAACTGCCATGGAGTTCAAATTTAGGGGTGCAACTTCGCCTATTCGCAATGTAGCCCCGCCGATGTTTACCAATCTGCCTGGAATTTCGTCCAGCAACGTGGAATGTATATATACCGAAAGATATCCATATCACCAGCATGGCTGGGCGTTGAGTGGATCGAAAATATAACCATCTCAACCTCGAATTGCGTCAATACCAGCCTAAATACATCTTGCAGATTATTCCCAATGAAAAGTCACCACCGAGCTGGTGTCAAGAAATATTGACCCATAATGTCCTAGATTCAATTCCGACAAGGTGGAGTATTTTGACATCATCGCTTACTTTTGTATACGATAAGAATCCAGCCCCGATTTAAAAGAGGCTCACATCCTATTGTTGATACTTCTCAGACGGCAAGACTATCCTTGAAGATACTCTCCATTTTGAAAACTCCACGAGACGACTTCGTTATGGCGCCCCGTTTCCAGAGCGTTGCTGTAATCGGCGCTGGCCCATCTGGCATTTCGGCAATCAAAGCCTTGCAAGAAGAAAAGATTTTCCAGACGATACGTCTATTCGAGCGACGGGGTCACATTGGAGGAATCTGGCAATACGATGAGATCCCCGATCGGTTTCCATCCCAAGAATCTTCCAGCCAACAAAATCACGAGGTCCCAAGTCGCCTTCCGCTGCTCAAGTCCCCTTCTCCTGAAGATGTGACGTCTCGGACAGGCATTTATGAGGGCCTCGACAGCAATGTCGGTGCCAAAGTGATGGCTTTCTCGCATACTCCCTTTCCCGAAATAAATTCTGCATCGTCAACGAGGAACTTAGGGCATTCCAACCCTACCCGGCCATTTCGGGTTGTGAGAAAATACTTAGAAGATGTGTTTCAAGACTATCTTCATCTTGCCTCGCTCAATACAACAGTGGAAAAGGTTGAAAAGCGAGGCCAAAAATGGACATTAGCACTTCGTCAGTCCGGCCATGGGGATGGCAATATCGCCAAGGACTATTGGTGGGAAGAGCAATTCGATGCTGTGATTATTGCATCGGGGCATTACAGCGTGCCTTCTGTTCCCAGCGTTCCAGGGCTAGATGCTGCCTTCGCGCGCTATCCGGCCGCATTTGAGCATTCAAAGTCGTTCCGAACGGCGGACGATTATGTGAACAAGCGTGTGGTGGTCGTTGGAGGCAGTGTCTCCTCGGCAGATCTTGTCGCTGATTTACATGCCATCGTGAAAGGCCCGCTGGAGGTATCCCAGAGAGGGAAGAACGAGGCGCTGCAATCTGCATGGGACCTACCTAATGTCAATCTTAGACCAACGATCAAAGAGATTCAAACAACAGATAACGGGATAAAGGTCGTGTTCTCCGACAACAGCTTTTTGGAGGACGTGGACAAGGTCATTTTCGCTACTGGGTACAAGTTGTCGTATCCATTCCTTGTCCCAAATCCAGTGACCCCCAACAACCGGCTATCGGGGTTTTACCAACATATTTTCAAGATCGGGGACCCTTCGCTGGCTCTGGTTGGCCAGGTCCGCGCTGCACTCAGCTTCCGGGTTTATGAGTACCAGGCGGTTGCGGTTGCCCGATATTTTGCCGGAACGAACGCGGCGTCCTTGCCAACGCCACAAGAGCAGGATCTATGGGAGGTCCAACGTCTTCAATATAAAGGCTACACGGCTCTTTTCCATGAAATAAGGCCTGACTTCAAGGAATATTTCGATTTCTTGGCAGATTTGGCTGGCCCCCCAGCACCAGGAACGGGGGGTTACACACTCCCTTCTTGGGAGGATCGATGGGCAGAACAAGGATTCGAGATTCTCCAGCTGAAGGATAAGTACTGGAAGTCACTACGAAGAACGGCGGATGGATTAGGGGCAGTGAAGGCTAAACTGTGAAATCAACATTGTCTACCGTCCATGGGAAGGAAATGTATATATCGCAGCTTTAGGTTGCCGAGTGACAAGGGCAAAACTTTGTTGGACGTCCTAGAAGATAATGCACGTGTAGGTTGTCTGAGCCGACTCTTTCTTCGCTCCTCCATCTCTGTACTTACTTCCCACGGTACATTGCAACTTGTCCCATATCATCTAAATTGCGAAAAACAATAGCTACGAGTCGGTACACACAAGAGCACCCTAGCAAAATACCAACACTGACCCCTACCCGCCGCGGATTCTGTGGTGTTACTGCTTGTAGATGTACCCTCCATGACTACTCTAGAATGTGTTTGGTCTAGCCTCTAACCCCATGCACTTTGGGGGATGCAATGTGAGTGCCCTGACAGTGTTTCTAATTGTTACATTCATGCTTACATTCATGCTAATTGGTCATTATCTGAAGGGTATTCCGATAATATCCACCTGCTGCGCCGGGTCATGTACAAATCCCAATACTGATAAAGCCCATTGTTCTTCCTGCATTGCACTGGCACACATCCTACCTGCTGTTCGGCCTTCTGTGTCGATCTAAGCCCGAACAACGTAAACGGCGGATAGTGTAGTATTGCTTTAAGCTCTTCACCAACCTTAGAATCGGATCTAGTGGAGGCACTACCCGGCAAACCCGGCGCGTTACTCCGGTGCATGTACTAACCTCAGTGCTCGCACCAAGACATAATCATTGTGGGCCTTGCAACGCTAATGCGTGCATGGGAGGGTAGCATGCATATTCATCTGCTGATTCCAGTGCGAATCCTTCATATCGCGGATCGTCTGATATCAATTGCAGTGCTCCTAAGCTTCCTCTCCATTGTCTTTGTACCGATGGATCTACTCTTGGCTGTTGCCCAGATACTCTTAGTCATCCGCCACTGTTAAATCTGAACAGTCATCCTATAGGTGTGGGCGCCGCTGTAAACGTAGCATCGAGAGTGCATATACCTGATCCTCTAGTGCTTACGGAGTATGCGCTTTGTAAATTCCCGAGGTCTCCTTGCGCGCCGGGTCCTCTATGTGTCCTGAAACTCATTGGAAACCCCTGGATTCGCCGATCAAATAGACAATATAACAAAACCGGACATTGACAGATGAGATAGATCGACGTGAATCCACCCATTTTCCTAGCTTGGACTGTTATTCTGTAGGATTGAAAACACGGGGGCGGGAGCGGGGGGTCTGCGATATACATATCGTGCATCTTTCCCCTTTGTGAGTAATGCGGAATGCAATATATAAAATAGGAGTTTCCTTTTATAGACAAGCACACTATAAGTCTAATCCTACTCTGACTGTCCTCGGATTGGCTGAGATTCTATAGTCTTTTTGATTAGGCGCGGGCCCACCTGGGCATTTTCCCCATAAGGCTAAGGCCACATTCATCAGCCAATCACATCTCAGGTACGTGTCATGACCGGCCGATCATGAAAATGGTTGGTGTGCCTGAAGTCACTCATACGGAGTAGAGATTATATAAATATGAAGTTCATTTAGACATCTCTCTACAACTCCCATCAATCATGCTCGGATTTTTACCTTACGGCCTACTGGCCATTGCCGGTCTCGCAGCAGCACGCGAACCCACAGTCTATTTCATCCGACACGGAGAGAAGCCTGAGGATGGAGGAAATGGGTTGAATGCAAACGGTCTCGAACGTGCCCAATGTATTCGCGAGGTTTTTGGCAAGAATTCAGAGTACAAAATCACTCACATCATGGCGCAAACACCCAAGAGCAGTATGATTATCCCCAGTGCCTATGCGGCTTGCGCAGTATTCAGAATAGGGGGCTAATGTGAACGGCATAGATGGCAAACGCGCCCGTCCCCGCGACACCGTCAAGCCGCTCGCTGACGACCTGGGTCTCGAGGTTGATATCTCTTGCGATCGCGATGATCCGGACTGTGTCAAGGACGTCATTGATTCATACGATGGAAAGGGCGAGGCCAATATTTTGATTTGCTGGGAGCACGATACAATTACCGATATTTTGGAGACGCTAGGAGTCGATGATGCACCGCATTATCCGGATGATAGGTCAGTTTTTAGCCCTTGTGTCATAGCTTTCGAGCGACTTCTCTAACATTACTATAGTTTCGACCTCATTTGGACTGTCCCATCCCCTTACGATGCGATCACCGATGAAACTAGCGAGCAGTGCCCCGGATTGGATGCTGTGCTCAAATGCTGAGATATAGTCTACAGTAGCGCTGGATGCTTCTAACCCCATGCTGAACTCGGTGCTTTTGTCGGCCGGTTTATTTTTACAAGTTATACAACCAGAACATAGGATTTACAGATAATCTCGTCTTCCTTTTTGATTTCGGCGTTGCCTGGGTATCTATATGAGTCACGCCTACCAACCCGGGGTCATCCATGGATAATTCTTGAGAACAGACCGCGGTCCTTAGACGGTTACACTAAGAGATCTCATATGGTTTACCCTATGTTTGTGAGAGCAAGAAAACTTTCAAGGTTGATAAGATCTCCTTTAAGCGTAATCGCGTATCTTGTGTTTTTATAGGTCTCAATATACGAATGATCACAATAGAGACTATTTCGGATTTATCTAGTCGAAGGTCACGAGGCTGATTGGAAATAATGCTTGGTCAATTCTGCCTTGACGGCTTCCACGCTCAATCAAAAGGCCTCATCTGGCCCAAATACGCCTCGGAGTTCAGTTTTTGCATGAGTTGTTGATGGCTAGTGAGAGAGATCAGACATCACAGAATAGCACAAAAGAACAGCGCGGTAAGCAACCAGGAAGACACAAAATGTTAAGGCACATGCACGTAGAACAAGCAAGTCGAAGAAATGAGTTGCCACACCGCTACTCCACCATCTCCTCAATCATTCTTTGTTAAAAACTCAAGTTAGTTGAGCCTAATTTTCCAACCGCTGATCTTAAACGCCCATTCGTTACCAGCGGCCAATCAGTCTCCGACGACTCGTGCTATTGAAAGTCATGGACTCAATGAATTAGAAATCCTATACCAACCATAACGAATCAATACCCACGATCAACTAGACTACTTTCATAGAATACGCTATCAAACTCAGAGACCTTCAATCCCCCAACCCCCTATGTTCTTAGATATGCCATATTTATCCATCATACAATATGGGCGGTCTTTATCTAGTCACAGTTATCGAATTCGACGACGGAACGAAGTGGATTACACGTATACAGTTACACTAGTGCATAAACGACTCTAAGAAACGCTTACTCTATAAAGTTCACACCCTCGCTTTACTTCGAAAGCGAACCGATGTTCCTATACCAGAAGTATTCGGCTATAAAACTAGCGGAGATACCATCGGCCGTTCCTTCATGATCATAGAGTTAGTTCCTAGTAGCACTACGATAGATGCTCTTAGAGGTCAGAAAGTCTATAATGGTGAAATACCCACGAGATATAAGTGTGTCGACTAAACGTTCACCTATATATATAGAATGTTAACTAACTAATAGGTTACTATATCCAATATTCGATTTCCTAAGATTAGTCTCATAAGAAAGAATTCTAATGGTTCTTATGATATCCAGGCAATACCCAGCCTCGGAGGCACATTTAAAACCGCAGCGGAGTATTTTGCCGTATTGGGCAAGATAGCCAAATTCCCTTCGCGAGAAACCGAAATTAGATCCCGTTTATAGTATTATTTATAGGATGATATTATCGCGTCTATTAGATATTTCCCTACCCGGATCGGACAAAACCGATATAAGTTTCTAGTCAAAATTAAGGGCCCGTTCCCGCTCTATCACCGAGATTTCCGATATAGCAATTATAACATATTATTTATTATTGATTAGTATAATGCTAGAATTGTCCCGTGGGAGGTTGTTAAGTTTCCTCTCTTCTTAGATACTATGCCTCCGCTAATGGATCTGCCAGCGAACTACGACGAAGGAAACCCTATCGATGAAGAAATACTAGAGATATGGAAAGGAAGAAACGACTAAATGCAACGTGTTGCAGATATCGAGAAGGAGATCGGCTGTGATGGAAACTTGTCTGGGATTCTGTCCTCGCGACTGCCCTCAGGCTTTATGAGGAACCTGGGAAAATAGGGTATTACTGCAAAGTCTTGGATAAGTGCTAGTCAAGCAAATTCCGTGATAGGTTCTACCAATCTAAATCATTGCGAAAAGCTGGTTTAGAATGTCGGCAGATCGCAATGGGGGATTTTTATGGGGGGGGGGGGGGGGGGGGGGGGGGAAGAGTACATAGTGAGAGAATCAAAAACCAGAAAAAAAACCGCTAGTGGGGAGGATGTATCGCCTATTCAGTTGAAACTGACTTTGCAATGGGTAGAGTGCTGTGGAGACTAATTTATTCTATCCTGGTCTACATAACTTACATTTGAACAAGATAAAAGCAATAAAAATTGGTATTTCGAAGTTAAATCATGATTAAGAGGATGCGGGAGTCATAGACAGCCCAACATCTTATGATGAGATCAAAAGCATCTCATCCAGTTGGCAAAGCACTAGCACTGGGCCCAATTGAGGATACAAACGGAGATACTATACGTCATACAAACCGGGGTACCTATTCAACCTGCGAAGCGGTAGTCTCCTTCTCAGTGGACTTGAGATCATGGGCTGTTCCTTCCTCTGCGCGAAGGTCTGCTCCCTTGCCGGACTGAATAGCTCCCTGTTCAAGCTTGCGAACATGGTGGTACTGCACAGTGGTCTTCCAGGGGACAAGACCAGGGGTGGTGAACATGCTTTCGACCTCCTCCAGTGTCTTTCCAGCGGTTTCAGGGAATGCAAAGAAGACGTGGACAGTCATCGCAAAGCAGAAGACTCCAAAGACCACGTAAACCTTCCATTGGATGTTTTCAAAAGCGGGAGGGACGAAGTAAGACAGGGCAAAGTTGAAGATCCAGTTCGACGAGGTTGAAAGTGCGACAGCCTTGCCACGGAGACGAAGGGGGTAGAGCTCAGGAGGGTAGATCCAGCTGACAGGACCCCAAGTTGGCGCGTAACTGGCGACGAAAAGGTAAGTGCAAGCGATGACTCCCTTGGCAGCTTTGGGGACGTCGGACATGTCCCATGACTGTTCGGGGGTATGATCGACACCACCCGGTGGAGCTGGCTTTCCGTACGATGCCATGATACCAGCGTTTGCAAACATGAAGATCATCATGAGCGTAGAACCGACCAAAAGCGGAGTGCGACGGCCCCATCGATCAATGAAGAGCAAGGCGAGAATGGTCATCACGACGTTGATGACGTACTGAATGGAGGACGCGACAAGGTTCGAGTTTCCAGTGAGACCGGCCATACCAAAGACGTAGGTAATGTAAAGCATCATGACGTTCATACCGGTGAGCTGAGACCAGATCTGAGTGAACATACCGAGGTGGGTACGGTAGAGCATCTGGCCCTTGAAAAGGTCGAGGTATGAGGCATCTTTGTTGTGGCGTTCGAACTCGACCATTTCACGGATCTCTTGCAACTCAGTTTGCACGAAGGGCGCATTGCGATCGCCCTTGGCATGAACCGAAGCCAAAACCTCGAGAGCGTCCTCCCAGCGATCTTTCTTGGCGAGCCAACGTGGACTCTCAGGCAACAGGAACACCAAGCCGAAGAGCAGGGCAGCGGGAACCATCTGCAAACCCCAAGGAGTGCGCCACGCAGCGGTACCTTCAAGGAAGCTGCAGCCGTACGAGACGTAGAACATGATCAAGATACCCCATGTGATAGCCCACTGTTGTGCTCCCACCACCTGGCCACGCTTACTGGGCTGGGCTAACTCGGCGACGTAGACGGGGACTTGAGCGCTGAGAATACCGACGGAAACACCGTTGATGAAGCGGCCGACGACAAGCTGGGCAATTCCGAAAGATGAACACACGATGGCGCTACCGATGCACCAGATGACCGAGCCAGATTGGATGGCCCCGCGGCGACCCAGGTAGTCAGTGACAAAGCCAGAAGCTAGAGCGCCGACCCAAGAGCCACCAGGCATGGCAGCCGAGATACCACCCTGATTGGAAGAGGTAGGGCCGCCGCATTTACCTTCCTCGTTCATACCAAGTTGGTTGAAGAAACATTTGTATTGCTGTGTGCCAAGACTGCAAGAGATAGTCAGTCATCACCAGCCCTCACCCTGCTCTCATTGAGGGATAAAAAAACTTACATGGCAGACATAGAAGCAATATCGAAACCGAACAGTGCGCCGCCGATGACGGCCACCGTGGTGATGACATAGATATTGGTGATCTTGTACCCCATGATGAAGTTCCGCAAGGGAGTAAGATCTTAGATGGGGGAAGGAAGAGGAAAAAGGGAAGGGAGGAGGGATTTTAAAGATGCGCCGAAAGAACAGTAAAACAAAAACAGTAAAACTTCCCAATTGGGAAAAGGGCCAAACCCAAAAAGAGAAAACGCGGAGTTGTGGAGATGCGGGGGAAAGAGCATATGGCTTCCCCGGAATACTTGCATACATTACAATGAATGTAACACCTCAAAAAATACTATGGCACACCTACAAGAGAACCCAGATTTTCTACTGCACTACACCCCCATCAAAGGAAAACAACCCAGCGGTCATCGAGTCATCGAGTCAGTAAGTAATCAAATCACCAATCATCAGATAGATATCAAATTAGTTTGTGGTCAGATGTCGGTCAGCTCCCTAGTGTATGTAACTTCATGTTACCTCAAGCCACATGGTATCATCGCATGTCGGACATTTGCCTATTTTGTTCACTCTTAGTGGAACATCTATGGGGCTACCGTCTCTTGGTTTCCCCTCTTTGTCGAGGGACCAGGGAAAAAGGTAAAATACGAAACTTTCCACCATACAAAGCAGAGGGCCGAGGACCAAGCATCCAACGAGTGCCGACATCCGCTCTGTGTTAACATCGAAGTTACGATCTTGGCTTACGCCAGACTTGACTTAGCGCGCCATCGCGAGACGGGGTGGCATAAGTTCTCCTTGGCAACACGCCTCTCCCGTTTTGATTTGCCAACACGACGTATGCATCAGCCAACGACCTCGGACCCTGTTTGCCCGAAAAAAAAAAAACACTCGTGTCTGTGGTACGACCCGACCAGGATGCTTGGTTTGCACATCCTAAAAGGAAATTCAAATGCTGGTGGCCTGGCGTACAACTCAGGGGTTATTTCTACCCAGGGGCTCTCCCGAGTTGAACCAGACCCAAATCCCAGGCCCCAGAGCTAGTCTCTTGGCACACCTATAAAGCGCCACATTACGGTTGGGGCTGGGATATTGAGTGCACACCCTGGGAGGGCGTAAATTAAGGAAGTAAGCGGGTGACCATGGCTCCGATTACCAGGTTTAATCCTGCCACATGACTTTTGCTCTCGGGGTAAAAGCGTAAAACAAAAGGGTTCGCTCACATCCATTGCTGACCACCAAGACTCGGAAGGTTGGTTAGAAGTTGAGTACTTCGGTACTTCGTTCTAGGATATCAACGATCCGAGAGCCCGGAGCTACAATCGGGAACAATCCAGTTTCCCCGCCCCTACTAAGAACAGTGCTCCGTACATGGCTGGCACCCCTGGTTTGAAACATGGGCCTACTTTTCCGAGTTGAACACCTCGAATAAAATCCACAGTCTGAGATGCAAGCTTTACCGTTGCCTACTCCCTGCTGATTCTGGCTTACTAGCCAGTAATAAAATGTGATACACCATGTTTGCAACTTCCAATATTACTGTGCCTAGCATCCATGCAGTCTAGATTGACCAATCCGGGCGAGAAAATGCGATTAACCGACCGCGTTGAATATACCCCTGAATTTGCTAGCTTCACACTTGGATCTTAAATTTCGGGTCCATGTTCATAATAATTTACACAAACTGATTGATAATTGCGGCCAGCGGAAACCTGTTCTGTGCTGAGCCCCAAAAAAGCGAAATATCCCGGGTGTACGTTGTTTCCCCTTCACTGCCTAGCGTAAATTCGACATTATAGCAATAATTAGCATTCGCCGAACAATGTAGAAGAATCAGCTATTAAGAGAAAAACCCCCCTTAGATCTCGTAATGGTCGTCGTCTTTGGTGATTTCCCGCAATTTCTACGGATTTCACGCGGATTGTCCCTAGCTTTCCCCGAGCTATCCCCCAATGGTATACATATTACGCTAACTCTGTCTGGAGATGCATTGGAACGAGTATTGCAAGACGGATTCTTTGTGCATATATTCATGTCAGACTTCCCTTCGCGGCCGGTATTCCTGTTTTAAATACCCCTTATTCCGGCTTCCTCCTTCTTGATGTCGTTGGTCAATTCCCTCTTCTGCTCTCAGATGAACTTGGTCGTCCTTTTTGTGTTGCATCGCTTGCGTTGAAGACCTTCCAGTGTTGGGTTGAAAGAACGAAGGTTCTCACGCATCTTGTCGAGCTGTCTTTTGCCAATTTGGGCCACGGCCTGCTCGATGTCGTTGCTAAGTTCCCTCTTCTCCTCTCCGGTGGCCTTGATGGTTTTGTTTCTTCCGATGAGCTTGCGCTCAAGGACCAGGAGGGTTCTTTTCAGCGACTCGCGGTCGCCACGCATCTTTCGCAGGATCCCTTTGGGTGGCCTCCTTGGGTCTTCTGCTGGCGTTTGTTGAAGGCTGCACACTCTGAACTATCTCTCCCAGTGTCAATCTGTGCAGCATTGGGCTCCGGGAATGCGCACACACGAAAGGAATTTCCCATCGAGCTTCTGGCAGCTGATGCAGACCATCCCCCCGCCAGTCTCTCCCAACTGCATGGCCTAGTAAGGCCTCAAGATTCTCCTTGTGGCTGCCGACTTAGATGTCGAACGCCTTTGCATCAAGCTCTGTCCGCATCTGGGTTTTGCTGTTCCCTTTTAGCATTGGCTCCCGTTGGAACTCAATCTTGGACAATCTGTTTAGGTGCGTCATGGGCCTATTCAAGTGGCTGATCCCTCTGGCCCACTGGCAACTGGCTGCAAGTTTGCCCAATATGCCGGTGGCCCTTCGGGACCACCATAGGTACCATAGTCTGGAACGGGTCCGAAGCGTTGCAATCTTTGTTAGGGGAGGTGATTTTCGACCTTAACCCCGAGAACCTGGTTCTTGCTTAGTCTGGGTGCTTCTGCCATTCTCTTCGTGTCCATCAAGATGTCAGCAATGCATGCATTTTAGCGCGCCGAATCCCCTCAATTTGACCAGACTCACTGTTTGCAACTCAAATATAATTGCAAATTCAAGGTGATGAAGCTGAAGAGTGATGAAGGTGAAGAGGGGTTCGATATATGCGGGTTCATTCAGAGAAGTGGGAAGGAGCTCAAATTTGAATCGGTCGGTTGCGTCGTCATGATCGACAAAATACTTGAGACAGGTGGGAGCACCATTTGAGCCAGACTGACAGTGGAGGAAGCAGGCGTAAGCGAAGCAAGGCCGTAGTCACTTCTCGAGGCTGGTAACCCATCCTAGCTCAACCAAAGTTTATGAATGAAAAGGGTGGGCGTTCTCAAGAAACTTTCATGGTGAGGTAAGGCTGCAGGTAGGGATGATGTGAACTGCAAAAATGGAGGGAGAAGTTATTTTATAAGGGGGAGAGGAGAGAAGTGCCCAAAGAGTGATTTGTTGTTATTTCAGGAAGGTGGCGCGTTTGGGGAAGGAGCGAGAGGTACACGCGCGGGTGCAGAGGTCGTAGACACTTAAGTGTAGACTTTTATTTCTTCTTCGTGACATCTGAGTTGGGATCTTCATTCAACATTCTATAGAATTAATGGTCTACTTGGTACCTTAGGTTCTTGGTCAATGGAAGGAGTAATATGGAAGTTTAAGAACAAGGAAGAACAGCCGCTCTGGCCTCATCAAATCTGGAAATCGATTGTACGACCGTAACGAAGAAGTGATAGAAGAAAGCAGATAGGTCAAATGATGCCCACAGAAGAGGATATCCTTAGCAGCCTGTTTACTGCTGGCTGGCTCCCAATCGTACTAGAAGGGTGTCTATTGCCGCTTGCAAAGCACGGAGCTTCTGCCAAATGGGCTGGGGGAGTGCTTCGTTTCGAATTTCACGTGTGACGGCAGCTGTTTTCAGTCGAATTGCTTCCAACAGGCTGTCCAGCTCGCGACACATGGCTGGTGTCAAAATGAAGAAGCCCGTCCGTCGTTCGATGCGTTTTCGAGCGCAGTGGTTAAACGAGCACGGCTCATAACTCCGGTGGGAACTCTGCCACCAGCAGCTTACACAGTCCTTAGGTGTCCCAGACTGATTGCTGAAGACGTAGAGGGTGACGATGCCGTATCCTTGCAGGACGAAGTGACACTCGACGCTGGCGACAGTCCCATTCATGAAGATGAAGACTACCTGTAGGTCCCGGAGAGACTGTCTGATGTGATAAAGTAATTTCCTGCTATTCCAGTCGTTGGTGGCCCGGAGGGTTGGTTCTCGAAGGATGTCTTGCTCATAGAGGGCATGAAGAAAGGGAGAAAGGACCATGTTGCCCCGGCGGGCAGCAGATTATGGAATCTCGAGGGCTAGCTCAGCCCACTCCCCAGGAGTACCGGCGGACGTGCCATGTCTGGCAGTGGGAAACTTGAATGGTTGATCGCCAGAAATGTCAGTATAAGTCTCATAAAAGTCGATGAGGGGTGTTATCTTACTCAGCCATGTTGGAATGATGGACCTTGATGACCGGGATCATCATGTTGGATGAAAAGCAGAAGGGATAAGCAGGAGGAAGAAGGAAAACGGGGTTGAAGTACTATGACACGAAGTAAAATCTGCATCTATATACGTTTCTGTGTACCCCATCCCTTCTCTCACTTCTCCCTTACTAATTACATACAACCGTTTGGTTTTGATATACACCACTCTAACAGCCTGTTTTTATAAAATTCAACAACTCGAACAAAGTGTCGATCCTAGATTTGGTCAATCCAAGATTCGCTGGAGCAGGCCAATAAAACACGAGCTGCGATACAAGCAATATGCATGGCAGTGTCTTTAAAGCCTCTGGTAAGACCGTTTTGGCAAGAACAGTGACAGATAACGCATACTTCTATTTGAGAATGGAGTCCGCTCAACTCTTTATAGTAAAAGGATCTTCGTAGTTCCTTTCGATATGTGCCCATACTGATATGACCCGCCTTATACAACCTTCGCTACAGGAAGACCACAAGTGTCATGACCACGATGGAAACACGGTTTTATAGCCCGAAAGTACGGCCGAGGAGTATCTGATCATCTCAAAGAACAGCCACGAAAATACTTTTGAGACTTTGTTTGCAGCGCCTAGAGGTTTCAGGTCTTTCGTGATTGACAGTAAGGGCAAAGTCTGTGGTCTGCTTTGTGGCTCTGTGGACGGCTTTTACGGGCTGAAAGATGACAGGGCGCTTCACGCCAGTGTTGGTTACCGACGGTACATGACTTTGTTCGAGTGAGAGTCGGCCCCTCGACCTCCATTTCTTTGCTTTGTTGATTAATGTGTATGTTTGCGCTATGAATAGTAAGCTCTGTCATCAAATATTACGCGTGAAGGCAATATCAAATTAGAAAAAAACTAATCAAGTGAATCAAAATGTAGAGTTGGTTTTGTCCGAGATTGATTTCAGTCAGGAATTGATATGAAAAGCGTGGGATGACCTTAGGTACAAATGTAGCTCACTATACAATGGTGCACGAAGGGCTTTATGGTGACGTGATAGGAGGTCTTCACGTGCCCCGCACAGACTCTAAATGGTCTCGGTTTGCTTCAAGAGCATTTGCATAGTAAAGTATGCGAATGAGTATAGTAAAAGGGCTTAAGCTAGTGGAATATCCAACAATATCTTCAATTAACATCATTATATATATCTCTCTGATACATCTTCTCTCTATATGAATATACATCTCTAGATATCTCTATGCTGCATATCCCCTGCTCTCTATGTAGTGTTATTGGTGAAATGATTTCATGAAGCTAAACTTTCGTTTTCGATCCCGTTTCAGATGTCTTTTCGAATATTTTCTCCCCCTTCTCAGTTTTATAGGTAGGTAGATGGCAGAAAGAAAAGATGTATAACCTGGGACAGTATCGATAAAACCAATCACCTGATCGGATCTTGATGTAACCTTAGAATCCAACCCCTGCTTACTCCATGGATGTTTCATATGCAGATCACAAGAAATACGAAGTCGCCCGTTTTGGGGTGAAATACGACATCCATCCAACCACCGGTGACGTGGTTCTAATATCGAATATATTGTCGCGACATTTCCAAAAGATGGGCTGCTAGGGTTCCATTGCCGCCAATCGCGTGTACCGTTCTCGCAGAATACCTGCACATGGTGCATCCGGTCAATGCTTCGAGCTAAATATATCAGATGCACGTGGGAAGGTTTGAGTCTACCTGAATACACGCTAGGAACGCCCTTTTCTTATAAATTGGATAAAAAGGAAAGTATTGATACTATTTCCCCTAATGGGCAATGTTATGTTGCCAAGAGAATTGATACATAGTCGCTGTCCTCTGCAGGCGCAACATTGAAGTATTCAATGAAACTGAAATACTTGTTTTTCTGATTCTCTGCCTAGTCATGTCGCTAATACGTAAATAAACTATATCTCGAAATCATCCCTTGCAGACAACATCGGGAAGTCTGACGCCTGTGACGCTGGGGGCACAAAATGTGGGGGGCTACATCCCGCGAACATTTATTTTCTTCATTTTCCCCTATCATCGTTCTCTCCGCGAACTTCACACAATGGGTACAGCGACCGATTTGCCGTCTATTTCAAACCGAAGTGAACCACTCGGAGATGCCTTACCACCACCTTACACAGAGCACGACCCGCAGACTGCGGCTGAAGCTCCCCAATATGAAGCACCGACCTATACTGAATCTACCAGTACATCTGCGACAACCAAATTTCCGCCCCTCATGAACGGATACTTTCAATGGAAACTTACAAGCACATTCCATCTTGGGCCGGCCGCGGAAGAAAAGTTATTCGCTGCCTCAACTCCGGCGACTGTTTTGAATAACAAACCCTCGGTCGTGTTACACGATGGTCCGACTAATAAGCACCCGGTAATGGCAACGGCACGCGGCGACAAGTGGGGCAGGAGCAGACCCATCGAAATCACACTCCCACCTCGTCCAGGGTCTCAACATAAACACGACATCGTGGAACATGTCGTGCCCGGCGGGTCACTGAAGCATAGTTCACCTAGCTACGCGTTCGAAATATGCGTGGGTCCGAAGGGAACAACACCCGAGAAATTCGAGTGGCGCAAGAGCCAGGGCAATGAAATCAAAGAGCTCGCCGGTCTTTCCTATGGATGGAAACTAGTGCGGCTGACACCATCGGCGAACAACAGTGTAGGTGGGAGCAGAAAGGAGCGCGATCGCGGTTATACAAGCGATGGGTTGGAGGTTGTCGCTATCATCGCACACAACGCATCTTGGAGTATGACCAAAGGGTTTCGATTCGCTTTCTTGGGCACTGGCTTGACTGGCACCATGGGAGAAAACTGGGAGATTGTGGTGGTTACTTCCGCTGTCCAAATGTGGTTCATAGACGTCCAAGGCACATCTGCTACGACCGCTGGAGCAAGTGTTGCGACCAGTTAGATGATGTCCGACGAATTTAGCTCACCGCAACGCCCCTATCGCCAACACCCGGCTCTGCAGTAAAGGCAACAGCGAGACCACTGTTGAAGCGCGTGACTGCCTGGGTGCCTCAGGCTTGCTCCTCCCCCGTTTGTTGTCAGGAGCTGCTTCCGTGATATTCTCTTCTCTCTTCAATGGTTATCTATCAGGGACCTTCCCAAGGTTCTCCCGTGGCTTCGCCATCAACCACCCCTCTGAAAAAAGTCAAGAACACGCTGTAAGTTTTGCTACCTTTATCCACTACGACGCATAAATGATACCATACCTCATAGCTGTCGCTAACACTTAGTAGTATTTAACAGGAATCATTGTCAAGGAAGTTGATTACGACGGTAATCTCGACGTTATGAGATCGCGCCTCTTGTCAGAAGAGCCTGTCGAGGTCGATACGACCCAAAGAGCCATCGGCGATGTACGGGGCCTCAGTGTACCAGTGCGAGAGAATGCTGAGAGGGAAAAAGACTACGCTCAATAGAAGGAGTATGCTGAGTGGAAGAAGGCCTACGCTGAGTGGAAGAAATGGTACGCCGGGTGGAATAGAGAGTATGCTGAGTGGATGAAAGACCACGGCATGATGGCAGGTGGCTGGAAGAAAGAACTCGCGAGAGAGGAAGCTGAATTAGAGAAAAGTCTCGCTCCGGTGCATACGAAGTTTGGATGTCATGAAAATCAGCTCACACTGATTCGGTAATCCACACAAAATGACTGGGTTGGCCGACAATAAAGAGCTACGGAATTCGGCAGCTTATGATGGTGATAGGTATCCTTCCGGACATCATGATCATCACGGCTTTTGCTCATCAAACTCCAAATCAAATGTGTCGATGGGAAGAGGTTTGTGGCGAACACCAAGGCATCGGTTATAAAAAATGGCATAACGACCTTGTCGATCTACCGGATACCACCACCGATATCATTGCTTTCCTGAATGTTCGCGCCCTTACTTTTAATGCGATCCGTGTTTCTGTTCAAAATTGGAGGATTCTTTCACTTCACAACGATACGTTCATTAGGAAATGGGTAGCTAACCCAGCTACACGCATACCGTGGGACATTAGAGCAAGCATTAAACCACTCTGTTTGATGTTGTTAAGTTAGTAGGCCGGTCTGCTGTTGTTACGGCTACTTGTAATGTCTAATGATCTAATGACCGATACCTGTTCTTGCTGTTATCACGGTGAAGTGATTTAAGTATCCTTGAAAGCATGGATAACTACCCGGGATCTTGTCTCACATAGTTAATGTACATCTAGTGTTAATTAGCCTTACTTTAGCGATGTTAGCCATCCCTCTACTGCACACCCACCGCTAAACCAACGCCGGTGTCACCGTTGTTGTTTCACCCCCACTTTAACAGGAACGGAAGGGTGTTGGACCAGAAGCCCTTTGGATTGCCTGTAGTTGATCACACAAGGGAATTCATGATACAGAATTTGAAGCCACGTGACTAGGTCGGAATGTCATTGAAAATCGCGGCATGCGCGGGAGCGGATATTAACATTGAAATCTCCGAAGGGATGGCGATCTGTTGATCAACAAAACTGTTGTACACCGGACATTGCGCGTTGATAGTAATTGCATGTGAACTTTGTCGCTAATGTGGTCCAGTCCGAAAGAGTCATGTCCAATGTCTCAAGGACGATCTCTAGCTCTTTCGCTCCACCACCTCCCGCGAGCCCACTCGGGCTGATCCACCTCATCATCGTCGGTTTTTGTATTCCCATGCTACTCGATATACATTTAATATCTTCCGTGTGGCTGTTCTTCGCGGACTTTCTCATTTTGAAGCGATGTGGAGATCCGTCTCTAATGCCATGACTCCACAACACTCGGACACCATCTTCAGAACGGAGTATCGTCGCAATAGCTGCACTTCATGCACCTAAGTGGCTCTTCAACTGTCAATCTCTGCCTCTCAGACCCCAAAAGCTCCCCGCCCATCCAAGCGAAGTTCGGGACATTCCGCATTGAGCCCAATATGATCATTTCCGTCGTACCTGCCATATCTAATTTATGGATATAGCCGGAATTAGAATCCGCAAATGCGGCAAA